ATTAACCTCTTCTTGTGACGCTCAGAGTCGACCATGACCGTCACTTCCCGGAGCGCATCCGCTGTGGCGACTGTGTCTGGATGGTCAGTCCCTAAAAATGACTCGAAAGCCTTGTATGCTTCTTCCCACTGATATTTGGCCTTTGAGAAGTAACTGGAAGCGAAGTAGGTCGTCCCCAGATTATACCTGAAAGAAGAGAACGAACGCCATCTTTGATATTTAGTTTCTTAAAAAAAGAAAAAAAGAAAGATTTACGACGAAAGAACTTATAAATACAGACAAATTCGTTTGCGGTTAGAAATCGAATCTCACTGGATGCTTTATTACTCCAAACTTGTGCCAGATTATGGTAAACTTATTAAATATCTACAGGATCCAGATATTTATTATGACTACCCGTAACCCGTTCGGTCACAGGCGGTTCACGTTGTAAAATATTGAAGTTGATTTCAACGTTCCATTGAAATGAAATTTAATTTTTATTATGATTCAGTTAAAATTTCATTTCGTTTGTGTCATCATTGGTCTGGTTCACAAGTTCATATTTAACGTTTTACTGATTGTTTATAGCATTTAATAGGAATAAAATTTCCGGGATAAACTTGAGCTTTAAAAGAGATTAACTTAAAAACTTTCATATGCTAAAAAATATTTTAAAATCATTCATTTGAAAATATTTTTTAAATTTGCCAAAAAATATTTTTAAATCATTAACTTGAAAATATTTTTTAAATTTGCCAAAAAGTATTTTTTAAATATTTAAAATATCGTTTGTTTAAAGAAAGCTGAAATATAAATAATTACTCTCCAAACAACTGGACGAAACAGCAAATCAGGATCTCTTTGTGTCTGTCTTTAACTTAAAAATATTTTAATTAAAAATTTGTCTTGGTTGTGTAAATTTGTTATTCTATCTCTTCCAAATGTTGCCTCATCCGCAAACAAGACTGAAGAGGCAAACAACAAATCGGCAGCTTGTGCAATAAACCTTCAGCAAAAGTTCTACCATGGTCAGTGAACAGAGGGCGAAAGCCCCTGTACACGTTAGAAATGATACGGAGAAAGGAGCTGCAGTACTATCAGATGCTAGGGCCACTTGACGTTTACTTATACCTGGATCGTCTCCGACAGTCTGTAGAATGTGTTCTTCTTGTTCAAGCATATGAACAGATTTCGGTCTTCTTCGATTCATAATTTGTGGCGCCAGCAGAAAAGGTTGGATGACTCGGCTATTTTCGGTCTGGAAACGCAATCTGATAAAACTGTGCAGACTCACGTTTATTACAATTCGCGCGACCGTACGTAAAAAAAATCATATCTGTCTGTTCAGGATATGAATATTCTGTCATTGTTAAAACGGAACACTTTCTCAGTTAACTCACTATTACCTGGGTTAAACGTTGAAACAGACTAGCCACAAATGTACACGAATAACAAATGTAAACTAATCTACATAGCAACATAGCGCCATCTACCATAAACTTTCATTAAACGTAATAACAAAAAAAAAACATAAGTTTATATGAACTTTTGTCCTTGTTTTGGTGAGAGGTAACCGCCCCCAAAGTTTGTAAAAGTATTTTTGATACACCATATATCTCTCAATGCTTGTTAATATCTATTTGCTTAGTTATATCAATCTGTTCTGTTCTATCTATCTATCTATCTATCTAGGATTGTTCATATCTATCTATCTATTTATCTATCTATCTCGGATTGTTCATATCTATCTATCTATCTGGCTTAAGGTCACATCACGTTGAAATACCGGTTACTGTAGGGTCATTGAAGTTAAGCAACTTTGAGACTGGTCAGTACCTTGACGCTTGACCTGCTTGGTCATACTAGGTGTTGTAAGTTTGGATTTTCGGGAGGTGCAGTGGATAGCAGTTTGGAAATGTTAATCAGAGTGCCAGGTTCTAATTCCAGTTGCGTTCGTTATATTCACTTACGCGCAAATCCACCTTTTCTGACACAGCTACGGGGGCGTAAAACTTGTATTATTATATCATTATTATCTTATTACCAAATTCTTACAATCTAAACATATTTCCTGCGGTTAAATTTCATTCTGTTACTATCTATCTATCCCTTTCTTTCTTTCTTTCTTTCTTTCTTTCTTTCTTTCTTTCTTTCTTTCTATATCTATCTATCTATCTATCTATCTATCTATCTATCTATATATATATATATATATGTAAATGTATATATATATATATATATTCATTAATGCATGTTTCATTAAATAATATAGACAAGTTTTGTCTATTTTAAGTAAGCTCCTTTCATATTGTCTGATAAGCTTAGTAACATTATCATTGAAAGACGAAAGGAAATCACTATATTGATACATGTTTCATACTAGACGCAATCGTCAGGCCTCTTACGTCTAGCATAAAACAGCCTGTTGCCTCTGAGTGTTAACTTCAGTGTTCGCTTTTATATATATATATATATATATATATATATATATATATATATATATATATATATATATATATCAAAGACAAATGGATAGGAACAGACTGACATAGATAGATAGATAGATAGATAAACAGACTGAGATAGATAGATAGATAGATAGATAGATAGATAGATAGATTGCTCCAAATTAAATACTTGAGAGGACATTTTCAAGAAATAAAATCCGATGGTGATATTTCTGATTTTTTTTGTTTCTGGTGTACAACCCCCCCGGCCCCGACCCCTTCTCACTCTCTCACTCTTTCTTACTCTACCTATCTCCTTTCTTCTCCCATTTTCCCGCCCTCCCCTCAAATCTCTATCTATTTCTCCCTTCCTCTTGGGACAGTGAAATTTGTTCAGTGTTGATTGAAGTCTCTTTCCACAGCGCCCTCTATCGACAAAATAAAACAGCCGGCTTTGTTGTTATCGACATTAATTCTGGTTTGCATGTTCTGCTTATACAATGTGTGAAATTCTCTCTTTTGTGCTGTCAAACAAACAAATGTAAATTATATTTTCCGTATTTTTATTACTCCTCTTTTATCTTGTTGCAGATTTTTCCATGGAGGATTTTAGAAGTACTTAAAAATATTCCTTGATCTTAGCATCAAACATGCACATAGACATTCACTCATGCATAGAGACACACAGACTCCTATATATATATATATATATATATATATATATATATATATATATATATATATATATATGAAGAAATATACCCTTAAGATGTGCTATATTTATGGGACAAAGTGCTCAATATCAAAGATAGAGCGTGTGTAAATATAAAAGTGAACATTGAAGTCAACACTTAGAGGCGACAGGCTGTTTCATGATAGTTTTGCAATCGTTAGGCCACCTGATGATTGCATCTAGCATGAAACAGACTGTCGCCTCTAAGTGTTGACTTTAATGTTCATATATATATATATATATATATATATATATATATATATATATATATATATAGTTACATATACATATATATATATGCATGTATCGGATAGGATAGATGCAATGTTTCAGATTTTATTATGTTTTCACACTAAAATTGATATTAAGTAACTGGTGTTGGTAAAATTATTATAAAAATTGATTTATTTAATAAAAAGTTACATAGTATATATAGATAGATATTAAGAGATCATGACCAATAGATTGAGGTCGGCATGTCGACCAGTTTTAGGTCATTTAATTTTATATAAAGCATCCAGTGAGGATCGAACTCACTACTCAGTAGCAATGGCCAACTTGTCAAACTACAACCTCATTCTGAGGTGTACATAGGTAATCATGAACTAAGATACATTAACAGGCATATAGATAGATAGATAGATAGATAGATAGATAGATAGATAGAAAGAAATAAAGATAATGAACAGATTGAGATAGATAGATAGTGTTATGGTCCAGGTTAGGACCAAGGAAGAACAACACGAACACAAGAGTAGAAATAATGAAGATATTTTACACAAAATAATAATACAAGATGTGGAAGGTGTTAGTATGACTGTCAGTTTGGTTTGGAGTGAACTACTATCGGCTCGACTCGATTCGACCGTTCTCTCTTGAGATGCGTAGTATACATAGTGTTAGGAAGAGTTCATTCTGTAGATATAGGTAAGGACCCATGACAGATAGATAGATAGATAGATAGATAGATAGATAGAGATAGATAGATAGATAGATAGATAGATGAACGAATCGACAGACAGATTTTAAATAAATCAAAAAAATAGCAAATCCTCTGACATGAAGAAATCGATAGACGATCAATATGAAGCGATCAATTGATACACGTAACGACAAAGATTGAGAAAAAAGAAATTGAAGATAAAATCAAATGATGTGTACTAATACTACTACTTCTTCTTCTTCTTCTTCTTCTTCTTCTCATTGAAATTTTATAGTGCATACAATATATCTAGGCGTTTCTACTTACCTCATCAAGGCCACATCGACATGTCCAGTTCCGTAGATGCCGAGTAAAAGAGCCAGTCCACACTCATAGAACTTGTCAGCATCCTGCTGGCCCTTTTCGTCATAAACCAATGCAATATCATTGAGGATAGACGCTATCCTGGGATGGTTGGAGCCAACCTCATTTCGAGTCAGTTTCAAATCCTGAAGAAAGTAGCCGAGGGCTTCGTCCAGGCGGCCTTGTTGGAAACACAACTGACCCAACTGAAAAAAGAACAAATGTAATCAGGAACTTTGTTTTTGTTCGAAGAGAAATTCTAAAAAAAAAAAAAAAATGGCATGGTTTGGACACATTAGAAGCACGTCATCCTGTACAAGGTCATCATGCAAGGCGCCTTTGAAAGTGGACGTAGGAGAGGACGCTATCGTAAAAAAACTGGTTAGAAAATGTCAAACAATGGACAAGTATCACTGTACCAGAATGGCTGATGGCTGCCGTTGATACACCGTTGTGGAAAAGAGATAATGTGGCTTCTGCATTCGGATCCGACTTACGGTGACAAAACTCAAGGGGGTGATGATGAACATGACGATGATGATCACCAACACAAAAACTGGTTGGCCAATGTCAAACAATGGACAAGTATCACTATATCAGAATTGCTGAGGGCTGCCGTTGATAGACCGTTGTGGAGCAGATTTAGTGTGGCTTCTGCATACAGATCCGGCCTACGATTACAAAAGTCCCGGGGGCCATGATGATGATGATGAAATTCTAAAACATTTTTCTTTTAATCAAGAAAGGCGGCTAACAAACCATAAAACGAATTTTTGGATACTTTTATTTTTTTAATGTTTTTCTGGATTGTAAGAAATCTTTTTTCTTATTTTAATCTTTATTTGATAATAATCAAAATAAATAAATAAATAAAATGGAGACACGGTGGAGTAATGGATAATGGCTCGAATTGAGGAATCGGAGAGCCGAGTTCGAATTCTAATCGGATCCCCTCAGCTATGGGTAAATAGCAGAACAGACTGGGTTCTATAACCTTGGGTGGCAACCAGTCTAGGAAAAGGAAATTCTGAATTCAAACCGGCCTGGAGAGGGTCGGTCTCTGTCAGGCCGTCTTGCCCAAGAAACACCACTTCTACAGTGGCTTCAGTACATGTGCTGCCCCTACGACCCTCAAGGGTCAAGGGATTCGCGATCGATCGATCGAATCAAAAAAATAAAAAAAAATTAGTTTTCTTAATCACACAGATTTTTATCAAATTATATGAATTTCTGCTTTGGTGTCGGGGATAGAATCGACTTCAAGTTCATAATTTTCTGATGTAATTAACACGTCCACTGCTGTAGACGTACTTATGCGTCTTTCTGAAACTTATATTGTATGCTGTCGACGTATATATATGTTTCCAAGACCTCGTAAAATGTTGGTCCTTATCGCTTGTGTTACAAACTAGCATTCAGTGCCACTTCCAAACTAGCCTAGTCAAATAGTAGCGTATACTACAATCTATTTTGTGTTGTATTTTTATTGTATTTTAGGTTGGTGGTTTTTCTATTCTGCATGGTACTCAACAAAACTAGAATGGTATTTACTTGATTCCCACTAAATCAAGATATGACACAAAACTAGAATGGCGTCGCCCAAGAGTCAGAGTCATTTCTTTCGAGTAAATGGCAGTTTCCTATTTTCCGAAAACGGTCCAGCACAGCCAGGCAACAATACTCTAACAAATGCAGCAATGAAAGTGAAAGTGAAAGTGAACTGAATTGGGTAAGCATCTTCAGCTTTACTTGTAATATTTACATGCCAAATTGTTACAAGGTCCATTTTCCGATCATGAGATCTTGGTTCGAATCTCATCATGGTCGATTTATGAGAAAGGTAACTTCTTGATGTTATAGGCTTTTGATAAGTAGCTGAAAAATCATACAACGGGTTGACCCAAGCCTTGTGAATGAAATTGGGTAGACGGAAATATTTAGGAGTCGTCGACAGTTGAACTAGCACAAAGTTGCCAGTCATCATGACCGAGAGTTTGAGCGAACTGGCCTTGTTCAGACTATTGATCACGTGACAGTAACTAAGATCCGATCAGCGTAGTTTCAGTATAAACCACATGTGGACTCTGTGAGTGTTGAATACAAAATGTCCGTGAGTATGCATCTGCAACAGAGACTGGCTAGCCGCCCTAATAGACAGACATCCTCGGATACGAGTAGGAGGGGGCAGCCACCATTTACATGCCGACTATTGTCCTCATCTACGTTGTTATTATTCGAACATTTTACCCGTTGTGCTCTCTACTTATGGATCCGGGTAAGCTTCAAGGAATTTCAAACTGAACCTGTTATTTAATCTATAGTAGGGGGGATAGACCGTTCCTGTTCCGCTGACCATGTCTCGTATAGCTTTTATTTTTATTTTTTATTTTATTATTCGATTTAGCTATCTCGGACATTCCTGAGTCTATCATACCAACCATCACGGCCTTCATCAAGATCGGAAGGTCATTAAGGTTGCATTCTGTGTCTTGCGCGATGGCTAGGTGTTCAGAGTATTAGATCGCTTGCGAGTTCTTGTTTTACTCGCTAGCAGTGTCCTGCAAAACGTATTGTGCGTTCGCGTAAGATTGTAGAAATATCAAGGTTAGGTTCATAGACTATTGATTTAGTTGGATGTTGTCTCCAAGAGATTTTAAGTAGAGCTCTCAATATCAAAAGAAGTCCAAAGCACACTAAGTGTACATATCAAAATTAAAATTCCTTTAAATTGATTTTACAAGTATATCATTGTTATAATAAATAAACATATACATAATATATAAGGTGGATGGAGTGGTGTGTAATGAGGCCGCATGACACGACTATAGGTGGCACATTCTCTATCCACATATCGGGGATGGGTCCATAGAGCTGTGATTTAGTTGGATGTTGTCTCCAAGAGATTTTAAGTATAGCTTTCAATATCTGAGTGTAGATTCCATCAAGCTTAGACTCTAGGGTTTTAATTAACGTCCAGGCATTGGCACCAGACATTAACACCGTCTCTACAGTGGCTCGAAAGAATCTCCGCTTGATGTTGTCCGGTAGATCAGATTTCCAGATTACATCCATTTTATTCAAGGAAGGGGGGGGGCTAATCTTTAGCTATGCGAGTTTTCACGTCCTTTTCAGTAGAATTTATTTTGCTTCCTAGAATTTTTGTCATACCGATGAAGTTTTGTATTTAGTATTATTTAATTATTTAGTAGTTAATTATTTAGTAGTTAATTATTTAGTACTTCTTAATTTTTATTTTCGTGCTTGTCCTCTTTCCACTGAGTTCATGTTGGCACCACCCAACCGAGGGATTGAACCCAAAATTACGATGTCATCAAATTCTTGAACTAAAGGGATATGGACAATCCTGAGCGTAGAATTTAGGGTCTAAAAGCTAATCTGCCTGCTGATGAAGCTGCAGCTGCCGATTTTCACGCTTGACTGCACCCAACGAGGCTTCTCTTTTCTCTTGCAGCTGCTGCTAATGTTACTATAGCACTTTGATAAAAAAAAAGAAGGCAAAGATATGTCCGTATGTAAAAGAAGGTAAAGATATGTCCGTATGCTCATGTTGAACTATTTCATTGGTCCCCAAACTTTTTTGTCTCTGGGTCGCATTTTCGGAATGAAAATTTGCTCGCGCCTCACCAAATTTTATGTGATAAAAAAATACATTAAAAAATTTAAAAAATCGAGAGAGTTAAAGGGAGATAATTATGGATTCGAAGTCATTGATAACTTTCTCCTCCAATTTGCGGACCCTAGTTACTATATTCTTAACACTTGATATAATGAAAAATATCACAATGATAAAATAATTATTTATAAATATTTATACTGGGACTCGTGCATGCAATTACATGGAATCCATAATTATATTTTAAATTTTGAAATCATATTTATTTTTGGCTTTTGGATTTTTTGAAACTGTTTCTAAATTTGTGATTTTCTTTCAATTATTCCGCCTCAGCTGCTATCCTCTTCCGCTACACTCTGAGGAGTACTGTTTGGGAAGCACTGAACTCGCGAGATGAAACCGTCAGTTCTATTCTAATAATTTCTTCTTCGCACTTCTCACCTGGGCAGTTCCCTTCCGATTTATTGCTTCCTTGCCACGTACAATGCCAATCGCCATCTTCTGTCTTCCTGAATTCTGTTCTTTTATTGTCCTTTTGCTCACTTCTCCTCACTAAAGTGATCTCATTTTCTTTCACTTCCGGTAACTCCTCAACGTCCCACTGGCATCGTCGCTTTGCTTTAGATGAAACGATTTAAAAAATCCCAGAAATTCAAGCAGAAAATGTATTCATATTTTTGCTGTTTTGATGACAACACCATTCTGTCTCGTCTTTCAAATTTTACGTAACATCTGATAATCTTTGAACAGAAAATATGGACTTCATAAGTAATTCTGTTCATGAAAAAAAAACTGTAATATCGAACCAGAAATATGAGATAATAGTCCGAATAACTCATGGAATACTTAATTCCAACCAGACCTTCAGATAATATAAAAAAGACTGGAGAGTGGACCGGTCGAAACATGCTTATTGAAATAATAAAAGATGGAGAAAACCAATGCAGATAAAGAATCTTTTTTTTGATCAGCATATTTCGACCGGTCGACTCTCCGGTCTTTTTTGTATTATCTGGCAGGAAGTAAGTATTCCATTAACTATCAGTTATGTGCCATACGTTATACACGCTTAGGCAATCATGTATCTTTCGATACATAACTGACGAGGCAGATTTTTTCCCGCAGTAGGTTGCCATTTCTGCGGTAGACCAGTTGCTATCCAAGTCTAAGAACCCGGTTTGATCTACTATTTACCCATAGCTGGGGGAGATGAAGAGGATTCATACCTTTCCCAATGGTATTAGCCCGTAAGTGAATGTAATGGATTCGACTGGAGTTCGATTCCTCAATCCGGGTCACTATCCATTACTACTATCTCATATTTATGGTTAGATTACTACAGTTATTTTCTTAAATAGAATCACTTAACAGAAGCCGATAAATTTAATCATATGCGTAGAGAAAATCCCCAAAGAGGATTCAAATCATCATTCAGTCATTTTTAACCACTTTGGATTGGGATTTGTCTTCTTCTGAACATTTAGTCTATCTTCCTTTCTATCGTTATCAACGTGAATGCGCGACATTATATCGGCGAATTATCTTGTCACCTGCTCCATGACAATGTCCTTTTCACTCCTGAGCGATGAAACGTAATGTCAGGTAAAGCTTACCTTGTTAATAATGGCTGCCACGTAATGGTGCCCAGGTCCCAAGATTTCAGTGGCTTGTTCTAGCGCTCGAAGTAAAAGTTTTTTCGATTCTTTCATATTGCCCTGCATGTAAAAAACGGTAGCCAAGCCGAGCAAACACTTGCAAAGCTGAAAAGAAATTAAAAAAAAAAAAATTGAAATATTTTTTAAATTAAGCGCATGATTCATTTTCTTTGAGCCAGAAAATATTTTTAGATTTTAAGAATTGGTTTTGAAATAATAATTTTTTATTTACACTATTTACATTGTTAGGGCTTTTGTCATATTCACGACGTTTCAGCAGTTACACGCTTCGGCCTTCTTCGTGTATAATTTCGAACCTAGCCCTTTATTTCGTCCACCGAGGCAGATTGTTCTTTTTCTGGATATCTCAATTTCAGTTATTTCCATTTTATCCAAGGTTTGCTGTGGCCAGGTATTGAACTCACAACTCTTTGGATCATGTCACTGGATTGCTTCAATCAATGCTTTAATCCACGTGTACTTGGTGACATCAGTGTATGAATTTTGGTCTATGCTTGGCCGACTGAGGAGATTTTTGTGGACTTTTTTGTAGAAGGCCGGAGCGTACAACATTAAAGATGAGGACAACAGTCCAAACAATGTAAATAGAATAAATACCGCATCTCAGAAATATAGACAAATAATGGTTTAGTGATAAAATTACTATTTAACCCATAGCTGGGGAGAGAAGAGGTGGATTCATACCTATCCCATACGTATTTTCACGTAAGTGAATAAAACGAACCCAACTGGAATTGAACTTGGCCCTCCGATTAAAACTTCCGCGCCATTATCTGTTACACCATCTGCACATCTAAGCTGACAGTACCTGGTATCTCCAAGTGGTCACCCATCTAGGTACTGACCAGGCTCAACGTTTCTTAACTTCGATGATCGTAGGTGAACCTGTAGTTCAACATGATGTGGCCATAAGCCTATCCTGTGGTCCTGGATAATGCAAGTCAATTTTTCCATACAAAATAAAAATGGTATTAATCAACCTTTTGTTGTTAAAAAAGATCAGAATATATATATATATATATATATATATATATATATATATATATATATATATATATATTATAATTATTTAAAAAAATATGATTCCTTCGCTACATAAGAGTTCTCATGTTTTCAAAAACAAGAGCAAAAAACTATATATATATATATATATATATATATATATATATATATATATATATATATCATATCTTTTATTAGAAATATTTACAATGACGTCTTTAGTGACGCTCGGGTTGTATGGTTGCCACAACGGTTATCGATGCACAAAACGGAATTTGTGGTGCGAGTTCAAATTCTCGTCTCATCTGTTGCGTTCACTTTCGCAGAAATGTTCCTAATATATAAAAAAAATGAAGCATCCACTTTCCTTTCCCCTTTCAGCTATTAATTAAATTGCCGGATAGATTGGGTTCTTGAGTTCTGGTTGGCGGCCGATCTAGAAGAACGAAAGCTACGAATTCCAATCAGTTCCGAAGACAACAGGAAACGATTGCGCTCTCTTTCTCCATTATTCATGGAAAAGAAAAGGAAGCTGTGAAGCGCCATGACCAACTAAATCCTAACGGAACATAGCATTTAGAATTGTGGAAATTCAAAAGAAAACTACTGCACCCGCTTTCCCAGGAAGTCATGGCAAGAAAACGAAGCTGTGAAGAGACATGATCAACCAAATCCTAAAGGAACATGGCATTCAGAACCGTGGAAACTGAAAAACTACTGCACTCTTTTTCCTAGAAAGCCATGGCGGTTAGGATAATAAATAAAATGAGGCTGTGGAGAGCCATGATCAACCGGATCCTACAGGAACATGGCAGTTTTAAATGTTGACACAGCAACAGGAAACTATACAACTATATTTCTCAAGAAGTCATGACAAAGAAAAGGAAGCTATGGAGGGTTGTTATCATCTACGCCTTGAAGGAATGCGGCATTTAGAACGGTGGAGAAAGCAACGGGAAACCACTGTACTCTTTTTCTCAAGAAGTCTCAACAATTCATAGATAATTTAAAATTCTTTGGAGAGGCAGGATTCTCTATGGCACAACAACCTTGGCATATATACATACCCACATTCGCGCAGCATCTACCCTCAACTCTCTACCTTCAATCTAGTGATCTATATGGAAGGGCAAATCTATCAACAAGATCTTCTTAGGATCAAACTTCTCTCTGGCCTGGTGTGTTCAATTACACTGCCAGCCTGAATGAAGTCGCATAGGAGTTTCATGCGTTCTTTTTCAAATGTCTTCTCCAGCTTATTTTTGTGTCATTTGGCGGAAGTTTGGAATCCAGAGTCCAGATAATTGATGGAAATTCTGTTCTTGAGGCATGGTGTCAAATTTTTATGTGGTGTTCTGAGTGTACTCCTCACTACAGGAGTTACTTCAACAGTTGTGCTCCATAGCTTTTTTTTTTAATTCCCTACAAACATCTTGGGTATTTTCAATCTTTTCGGTTTATTTCCTGTCTATTCTTGTGTCACGAGAAACAAAAAAAAAAAAATCAATAATCTGACACTTACTAATTTCCTTATCTAGAACAATAATGTCGGGTTCTCCAGGCTTCAACGACACAATCAGACGCGGATTAAGAAATCCCATAATAATTTTCTGTCATTTCCTACCACTGCCTCTGGTTGATATTCCTAGAATTTCAGAATGGAACTACAGCAGGGGAGTCCCTTACCAACCCAGTCATATCGTCACCTGTACTCCTTCTGTGTCAACTTGGGACAATCAACGAATATGTGGTTACCTGTCTCATCAGCCTCTGCCCACACATCCGGCATTTACTGTTTTCTTGTGATTTCTCTATCCTGACCTTGATTTTGTTTTTAATCATTTCACTCCAATCAAGGCAATAAAACCACTAAGACAGAAGTGGGGGGGGAGAATATAATAAAATATTAAGGAGGGAAGATAATAAAATAACAAGAATTCAGAAAACAAAAGATAACATTTAACATTGCATTTAAATTTTTAATATCAAAATTCATAGGGAAGCAAGAAGCCAGAAAAGATTTCCACTAGTGAGAAGTGCGAGAAAAGAAACTTTTAGCATAGAACATCTAGCCATTTCGAATGTAAAATGATGAGACCTAGCCGCCATTCTAGTACTGCATTTAAATTCATAAAGTCTAAATACCATAACGAGGAGAAAACTGAAATCAACAGAAATGTGGTTCTTCAGAAGGATGCTGAGAATACCATGGAATGAACATGTGATTAACGATGAAGTTTTAAGGAAAATGGAAACAAAAAGGACACTTATATCTAGAATCAGAAAGAGACAGTTGAAAATTTTCGGATACATAATGAGGAAAGAAGGCTTGGAGAATCTGACACTCACAGGACATATCGAATGCTGGAGAAGCAGGGGAAAGCTGCGAGTTAGCTACCTAATCCGTTTGTGTAAATAATTGGCAGAACAGGGATTTCGTTTTTACCTGAAGTTTTTCGGTAACGCTTTTTATTCTGTTTAATCTTGCGAGCATTTCTTTGTAGTATTTACTTGCCAATACCAGGTCTCCCTGTTTTGTACAGACGCGACCCAGCAATTCCAGCAACTGAAAACCAAAGAAAAAACAGGATTTCTTGTTAGAACCGTTTCTTACCAAACATCGGCACGTGCAACATTTGCATCATTAACATTTCATATTGCTTGCAAACGGTAATCATTTCAAGAAAATGAATCGCAATTTAGCTTACGTCAATCACCGCCTGATGAGAACAACGTCGTTTCCATGAGAAATTCGTCGGACTGTACACGATCGTCACGTGACTCAAGCAGTACTTCTGTTCCAGACTTTGAAGAAGCCATTCTAAAACCATCCCCCTAAGAGATTTGAAAATGAAAATTAATTTAATCGAATCATTTAAAATAGATAAAATAACTTTATTAAGATTTTCAATTTAAACTATCATCCATGACAAAATACGAGTGAATGAAAAAGTAATGTAATTAGTTTGATTATAAAAGAAATAAGGAACACAGTCAAATATATCGTATATCAAGATATAGCTATACATCATAGGTTCACATCCCTACTTCTCAACATAGTCATCTCCTCTTTCAATGGCAGTGTTCCTCCTTCCAATGATGGCATGTATCCCAGCTTCGCGAAACTCAGATAGCAGTGTCCCTCCTTCGAATGAGGGTATGTATCCCAGTTTCGTGAAACTCAAATGGCAGTGTTCCTCCTCCGAATGATGGCATGTATCCCAGTTTCGTGAAACTCAGATGGCAGTGTTCCTCCACCGAATGATGGCATGTATCCCAGTTTCGTGAAACTCGAATGACAGTGTTCCTCCTCCGTATGATGGCATGTATCCCAGTTTCGTGAAACTCAAATGGCAGTGTTCCTCCCCCGAATGATGGCATGTATCCCAGTTTCGTGAAACTCAAATGGCAGTGTTCCTCCTCCAAATGATGGCATGTATCCCAGTTTCGCGAAACTCAGATGGCAGTGTTCCTCCTCCGAATGATGGCATGTATCCCAGTTTTGTGAAACTCGGATGGCAGTGTTCCTCCTCCGAATGAGGGAATGTATCCCAGCTTTGTGAAACTTAGATGGCTGCTGATGTAGCCAGTTCCTTACAGCAGTTTTCACTTCTTCATCACCACCATAATGTTTGCCTCTTAGTACCTCTTTCACTGGGCCGAAGAGATGGAAATCTGAAGCTGCTAAGTCAGGTGGTGATGAAGAAGGGAAAACTCGAATCATAACCTCTTCTTCTATCAAGGAAATCACTTTAAGCTAAGTGTACCTTATCGATTAGGCCATATGAAAATATTTTCTTTAATATCATTTCTCAATCTCTAGGCCGATATAGATGCAGGAGCTGCCCTTGAAGTACCTTCCTTGCGGTACTATGAGATGTACAAGATGCTAATGCAATGACGTGTGCTGATCGTATCTGACAGCCTGTAGAATGTGTTCTTGTTCAAGCGTACGAGTGGATCTCAGTCTTTCTCGATCCATAGTTTGTGGTGCCATGCTTCCTGTCTCAGCAACGCGACGAGAAACAGCAGAAAAGGTTAGATGACCCGGCTGCCTTTGTTCTGGAAACGCAGTCTGATACAGCCGTGCAGCCTCACGGTCATCACCATTCGCACGACCGTATATAAAAATCATATCTGCCTGCTCGCGATATGAATATCCTGCCTTTGTTAAAGGGAACACTTCTCAGTTTACTCACTACTACACACGTTAAACATTGAAGCCAGACTAGCCACAAATGTACATGAATGACAAATATAACCTAGTCTACACGGCAACAACGCGCACTACCGTAAACTCAAAAACGAAGGATTTGCAGACATGTTTATATTTACTTTTATCCTTCTTTTTATATATATATATATATATATATATATATATATATATATATATATATATATCTTTCAAACATATTTTGTTGAATAATATCTTCTGTCTATTCAAGTTTTTATTAACTTTTTCAAATTTCCGAATTAGCTGTTTTATATAATGGATAAATTTAGCAAAGTTCATTTTTGTTTATTTTCTCCCAAGTGCTTCCGAATCCTACATTTGTCTGCAAGCATTTTTTTTTTTTTTTTGTTATGTTTATGGTACGTTTTTGGTCAATTCCGGCGTTGCTTAGTTTGCTGGAACCAATTTCAAGTCACGTGACAAAATCAACCTGTACACACACACACACACACACACACATATATATATATATATATATATATATATATGCACATTTCATTGAGTACGACAGACAAGGTGCTTTTATTTAATTTTTTATACAATTTCTCATGCGATCTAATAATTTTTTTCTTTTCAGATGATAAATTATATAAAAACTGTCCGAATTTTCTTTTTATCCGAGCGCTTTCGGCTATACATTTAGCCATTTTCAAGGATTACATATTTTAACTGTTAAATAAGAAATAGTTTGTTGTATGTATGTTTTATAAAATGTTTTCATTTTTCAAAACACGGTCAAGATATTGTGTCCATGTTCGAAGTTAATATTATTAAGTGTTGGTTTTTTGTTTTTATTAATAAGGCTTCCATTATTTTTAGCTTTCTTTGCATGTAGATGATGCTATTATATTAGTGTTGTCAACAAGTATGTTACGAATATATGTGTTTAATAAAAGACAATAGACAAAGTACTGCTATTAAGCATTTTGCTTAATTTTTCTTATTTTTGAACAAGTTGTTTTCTTTTCTGGACACAGATTGGGCAGAAAATGTTCTGTAATTCTGAGCGCTTTTGCCTATAATTTTAGCCATTATCAAAGATGATTTTTATTTACTTTTTGCTTTTTTAATTGTAAAAAAAAACGATTAAAATTTTAAAAAAGAAAAAACAACGCTCAATAATTTTAACTACGAATACATCCTAACTGTGTTCAGAAAATAAAACAAAACTTGAAATTAAAAATACCCAGTTGGTAAAAAAAATAAAATCATAATAATAATGGCTAAAAATAGAAAGTGCTCAACGAACATTTCTACAGTTTCTATATATTCTAATGTTTAACTTCATCGAATTTACATATTATTTAATTCATTTTCTTATGTTTTCTTGTGTTTAACCATTGGTATTAATCCAAATTATTCTTGGACAGTTCAAGAAGAATTTCGATTACTACCATACACAAGGTCACAATGAAGATGACAAGACCTGAAACGTGTGTAGCAAAAAATATGAAAAATTATGTATAATATATATATAAAAAAAATCCACATTATAAACAAAAACATTTATTTTAATATGACATTCTTATTACTTCAAACGTTATTATAGTTGCCACTTAGTATATGAACTAGTTCCGTTTTTTTATTAAATAATTAGTTGCTACATTTTTAAAAAAATTAGTGGCTACATTTTTTATTAAAAAATAGTTGCTCCATTTTTTATTAAAAAAATAGTTGTTCCATTTTTTATTAAAAATAAATCAATTAATTCTTTTGAAATTGCTTTGTTTACGTTTCTGATATAAAATTAAACAGATAGAGCTCTTGAGAAAAATAATCGACGTACTTTCCTTAGAAATCAAATGTAGCGCAATGCTTAACTGTGACGTTCTACGTGGCCGAGTGGTACAGCACACCGGATCCAACGATCCCTTTACTAAGATTCCTCGAGTGCGTACTGTTTAATAAAATAAAAATGGGACGTCTATTTCAGATACGAAGTGTCTCCTATGATAACTTTTGAAGTAATATATATATATATATATATATATATATATATATATCCAAGTATAGGATTGGTGTATTTATTCGACAATTATAACATAAATATGTTATAAAATCAATAAAAATTTGTTTCAACACTTCTGATATCTTATCTAGTGATGGTGTTGAATGGTGTATTTATATTATATATATATATATATATATATATATATATATATATATATATATATATATATATATATATGTGTGTGTGTGTGTGTGTGTGTGTGTATATATATATATATATATATATATATATATAGTCATGATTTTTATCCAACCACTTTCCCTGGAAAATCAATATATATGAAATGAAAACGATTTAAGTAAACATTTCTAGTTACCTGGCACCATCTAAAAGTCCAAGTTCTATGAAGAATTCTCCAAGACTTTTCGTCAAGTTGAGGAATTTATCGTCCATTTTGTCACCTTTGTAGGCTTCAAGTTGTTTTATGTAAACATCATCAACTTGATTGAAGTCACCCAACTGAAAAATAGAAAAGCGATTGCGTTATGCAGTTCTTAGCGTATTGACGACACACTTTGATGACACACTGATATCTATGTGGGTCATATAAAAATTGAAGTATTTAATTTTATCTTGGATATATACATAACTGCATAATTGCAGCATTTCGGTCGATTCATTAGCCGGACTGCTAAATCGGCTTTTGCTCGAATATTCTGTTAGATATTTACTAAATGCTGCCAAGTCTGACACAAGGCTAAAGTTGTAAGACATTGAATGACAATTTAAGAATAGCTTGTTAATCTATTGGCAATTTCTCTATAGCTGGAGCCTATGTCTATACACTTTTGCTTGTATGTGCATGTGTGCACGCACACACTCACAAACACCTCTCTCTCTCTCTCTCTCTCTCTAGATAGATAGATAGATAGATTTGTAAACAGACAAAACCGCATATTCTTCCTTTAAAACACGTGACCTTTATTCGGCCAAGACCTCATCATACTCGCCTTCGGCATAAATTGTTTGATTAAAGTCAAAAAGGTATATCTACAATTCTGTCTGTCGTACAATGTTGTTTCTGATAAGGCACTGGCCGAACAAAGATTAGCTTAAGGAGGGAGTTCCACTATCACGCAAGGGGGTTACAGCGAGCGAAAGTAAGAGAAAAGACTGGGTATTGGAGGGGGCTGAGGAAAGGATAAAAAGAAGAACGGGGATCAAGATCAAGGCATCAGAAGATGTCCATTGACATTACATTTATACTTGAAGATTATTTATCAGGGAAGCAAGTAAGAGGAAGGGAGTTCCACTGTCGGGAAGTGCGAGAGAAGAAGCTGATGGAGTAGAAGAACCGGTTACATTTAGCTGTTTCGACATTAAAAGGGGTGGGACCGAGATGCCAACCTAGTAGCACGATTAAATTCATGCAGTTGCAGTAAAAATAGCTCGTCAAAATAGCTCAAATATTTGTAGAAAAGACAGAGGGAAGCCACATCACGTCTTTGAGAAAGTGACTGGAGTCGAGATGCCAGGTCAGGACCGACCAGATTGCATATCCGTCTTTGGATTTTGTTGAGAACCTCGAGATGAACAGCGGGGGCAGTAGATCAGATATGGCAACAGTAGTCAATGGACGAATGGTAGATTTGATGGTATGAAGGATCGACTCTGACGAGAAAACCCTGGCGCGACACAGAGAATCAACTTTCCTTGCGGTAGATGAAGCTATTGATTCAATGTAGTTGTTCCACCTCAGGTCAATTGAAAACATGAGACCAAGAAGGCGCAGAGTGAAGCACCCGTGAAATTTAGCATCAAACATGCTGATAGGAAGCAGGGAGGTTTCTCTATGGTGGGTAAATGTGAGCAGTTTCGTTTTGGAGGCATTAAAGTTTACAGGCCATTTCCTGCCCCAGTCAACCACAGATTGGAGGTCCTTTACGAGACCAAGGACCAAGTTAACTTTGTCAGCAATGCCGGATTTGCTATTGACACAGGAGTAAATGATGTCGTCTGCGTAGATGCCTAATTGAGAACTGATGGCATCAGGAAGATCGTTGATGAAGATCAGAAACAGTGTAGGACACAGGATAGAGCTTTGGGGAACACCAGTGTACGTATGATAGGAACTGGAAGAGAATCTATTCAGGACGACCTTCATTTCCCAGTTTCACAGGAATGATTGGATTAAATCAAATAATCGTCCTGTAATACTGTATCACTGAAGCTTACGTGGAAGGTCGGCATGCCAAACATTGTCAAACGCCTTCGAGATATCTAGAGACACAGCTCGAGCTTCGCGGCTATCATCAAAATCTTGGTATACAAATTCAGTTATGGCCATCAACACGTCAACGGTAGACCGGGTAAAGCGGAAAACCATATTGTTTGTCAGAGAGTAGTTCATGAGAGGTAGGGTGTGCTTAACCACTTCGGTATTGATTAAAGCCTCGAAGACTTTGCTAAAGAGTGGTAGGAGACTGATAGGACGGTAGTTAGACGTTTCAGAAGGGTGTCCAGAGTTCTTGAAAACAGGGACAACAGAAGAGGTCTTCCAACAGGCTAGAAAGCAAGAATGAGCGAGATAATAGTTATATAGTTTGAAGAGATAGCCCAGGAACACATTTCTTTAGGACTACGGCTAGTATCCCGTCAACACCACTTGCTAGAGTCTAATTTAGAGATGATGTCCAATACCATCGACAGGGTTATTCTCATCTCACTCAATAGAGTTTTAGTTCTATGGAGAAATCAGGTATGGGTACCCCGGGTAAGTCGAGTGTTGAGTTGGAAGAGAATTTCCGAGCAAAGCATTCAGCCTTATCAGCTGAGGAAGTTAGGACTTCGAATTGATTGATTAGAGGAGGGATTGAAGATTTGCTGTTGTTCAGTACACTCTTGCAGAGCCGCCAATAATCTTTAGAACCAAACATGTGAGATGCAATACGATGTTTCATTCAAACAGCAAATAGTAACTTTGCGGACAAGTTTGCACTCATTACGAACAGAGACAAAGAGACGTCTGTTGCAATCAGACATGTCACTCTGGTACAGACGGAAGAAGTGATTCCTGCGGGCTATAGCGGCTGAGCAAGAAGGTGAGAACCAAGGAGATGGGCGTGATTTAACTTGGTATCTTGTTGCTAGGATGAAAGCCTTGATGTCGGCTTTTATCCAGTAGGAGAACTCGGGGACGACGCGAAGAAAATCACGGAACGAGTCCCAGTCTGCCTGTCGATAACAGAAAGATATTCTGTTCGCTGGAGGTTCATGGATGGAGGGGGAAGGATGGAGATATTAACAAACACCACCGCGGGATCAGAGTTGCCGAGAGGGCAGAGCTGCGTAGCGCGACAAGATTCGGGCTTGGAGGTAAAACAGAGATCGAGAAGGAAAGCTTTACCGGCAGGGTTACTGGTGAAACGCGTTGGAAAGTCAACCACTTGCGTGAGGGATTGAGTGATTGAAAAATTAAGGATTTGGATGCCAGCGAGGTCAGTTACAAAGTGTTTAAGCCACATGCGCATTAAAGTCACCCAACACGAATATGTTAGGAAACGGATGTAGAGAAATGGCCTTGTCTATATTATCAGAAACGCTATCGAGTACTCGACAGTCTTGAGAGGAAGGTGAACGGTAGAGAAAGAAGAGGAGAGTTAAACGGAGATACATATACGAATGGTCTGGAGATTCTCAAAAGAGTTCCCTAGACATAAACTCCCAGGCCATGCATGTGAATTTCAAAGTCCTTTCTAAAGAGAGGAAGGTAGCCGGCAATCGATAAATCAGAGGAAGAGATTGACAAGGATAGTCTCGCAGAGAACAATTCTGTTTAAAACTATCTATAAGTTCTTTGGTATCAGGTATTTATTCAAATGTATATATATATGTGTGTTCTCTATTTATGGGATAAAATGCTCAATATCAGAGATAGAGCGTATGTAAATATAAAAGTGAACTTTGAAGTCAACACTCAGAGGCGACTGGCTGTTTTCATGCTAGACGCAATCGTCAAACGGCATGAAACAGCCTGTCGCCTCTGAATGTTGACTTCAAAGTTCACTTTTATATATATATATATGGGGGGTGGATGACAATATATATATGTGTGTGTGTGTGTGTGTGTTGAAATTTTTATATTTATATGGGAATAGTGCCCAATATCAGAGATAGAGCATTTAGAGAAAAAGACTGAGATTGAAAATCATACATCATCTATATATATATATATATACATCATCTATATATATATATATATATATATATATATATATATATATATATATATATACAGATGTATGCGTTCATGCGTGCATGTTTATGTTATTTTAATATATATTTTACAAGTATATGATTGTAATAGATACATGTATTTAAATGAGCATATATCGGTGTCCATCTGTCAATATGTTTATATGTGTGTGTATGTATGTATGTGTCATTGTTTTGCGGAAATATATACATCCGATTTTATTATAGAGGTCCATGTTTTCACAACGACATTGGCATTAACCAGCCAATGTTGGTACAAAGAATTGTACCAATTAACAGAAGCCATATCACGTGAGGACTTTTAACAACCGTAACAACTAAAATGGATATCACATGTTACAGAAAGGGAAAATAATGACATAATTAAGATGTTGACACTCCACACGACTTCAAATAAAAGTATTTACACTTTTAGGACTATTGTCCTTATCTTTATTGTCATATTCACGAAGTTTCGGTCGTTGTAAGTTACAGGCTTTGTCTTTTTGATATACGTTGGAATTTTGAACTGAACCCTTTATTTCGCCCACCGGGGTAGAAGGTCAGCAGACCTTAAAACGGCCGGGAGCTCGGGAATATGACAATAAAGATGAGAATAATAGTCCGAACAATGTAAATAGTGTAAATAGTTAAAATACCTCATCTTAGAAATATAGACAGACATTCAAATAAAAAGGTTAGGAAGGAAACCCCATCTGTACTAGAAAGAGCAATAACAGCTACTGGAGGCGAGAAACGTATTTTACTGAAAAATTGTTTTAAAATAAAGATTTTATACATCTCAACCTACAGCAGCATTGGCTGCTCGGTCAATGAATGCCGAATGTTTCCTTATAAGGAAACAGCTAATATTACCATTAGAAATAGAGATGAGGAGAACAGATACTACACTTTGATCCCAGTCCGACGACCAGAAAGTGAAGAAAAGCGTAACTCAAGTAGCATTGGCTGCTCGGTCAATGAATTCTGAATGTTTCCTTACAAGGTAACGGCTAATTAACATATAACTATTTACGCTATTTACATTGTTCGTACAGTTGTCCTCATCTTAATTGTCATATTCACAACGTTTCGGTCGTTTTACGCCCCGGCCTTCAGTTGATATACATTGGAATTTCGAACCGAATCCTTTATTTCATCCACTGGGTAGATCTAGTTCCACGCGCCATGCCTTTTTTGAATATCTCAGTTTCAGTTATTTCCCTTTAATAACTCAACTCTCCATAGTTTCTCGTCACCTCTTCTCTGGCCAGGTATTGAACTCACAACTCTTTGGGTCAAGTCAGTGGGTTTGAAATTCCAACGTATATCACATGAAGAAGGTCGGAGTGTACAACTGTCGAAATGTCGGGAATATGGCAATGAAGATGAGGACAACAGTCCGAATAATGTAAATAGTGTAAATAGTAACAAGACCTCATCTCAGTAATAGAGATACATCCTGAAAAAGGCCGGAGAGTACAACGGCCGAAACGTCGGGAATAAGACAATAAGAATGGGGATAACATTCTGAACAATGTAAATTGTTTCAATACCTCATCTTAGAAATATAGACAGATATTACTATATAAGCATATTTATTTGATAAATACATCCTGTGAATTGACGATGTACGCAATTGTCTTAGACTATAATTCAAATTCAAATTTCAAATGAGGCTATGACTATCTTCGTACCATAAAAGACAAACATGATAATGATATGGATTATTTTACTTACCATTTGCCAAAATTTGATCAGTTCAAACTTGCCTTCTTCGCTTTTGATCAGCCTCTGGAATAGTCCCAGATCACAAAGACATTTGTGTAATTTCTCCTTTTCACCGGCTTTCGCCAATGAATATGGTAACTCCGTGGCCTCAAAAAGAAAAAAAAAATAGTTTAGTTCATTGTGGCAAGAATTTTTACGAGAGACAATTTTTTAACAAAAGTCTCGAGTTTCTGTTTGAATTTCTAAGATGAGAAGTTATCATTATTTACACTATTTACTTACTAAATACTTACTAATAATCTCATCTTTGCTGTTACAGCCACCGTATTTAGCGAGCCTTGGCCCTTTGAAATTCATCATTTTATGATTTAATAAAGTCTTGCTGTATTCTGCATTTGTCTGAGTGAAGCGTTATTCTGTTAAGTAATGTCTTGGTCTATTCGGAGAGTTCATATCCAAGCTGATCTTTCCGAGGGTGTGTCTATCTCTTTCCACAACCCTTTGTCTTCTCCTTGATGGAGTATTACTGACCGCCTCTATTGGTGTATCACCTCGGGTTGGTACCGATTCGATAATTGTGGTCTAAATTTCTGGGATGAGGAGTTATCAGTATTTACATGTAGACTATTATCCTCATCTTTGTTGCTATTATGTCTGCTGATAACAACAAAGATGAGGACAATAGTATGCATATAAATAATATACCAACCAAGCAAGGCGAACCTCAGTTGGAAGCATGGAGTCATTTCAAATTCCACGATCCTTCTGTTATCTGAATAGTACGTGATTTGAATTCAGAGGTGGTGGCCTTCTCTTATACTGGTTGCCAACCAAGACTGAAAAAAACCTGCATGCACCACTAATGAAGCTATATCTGCAGTAGTGAAGGAGGACGAGAGATGGATACGTAGCTTTCTCAAAGGTATTTGCGCGTAAGTGAATTTAACGAACCCGACTGGAATTCGAACTCGACTCTCCGATTTCTCACTCTGAATCGCTGCCATTAGCAAATTGAATCTGGGTCACGTTTGGTAGGGACGGACTGAGACTACCTCACCCCCACACTCCGCTGTAATGCAAATACGTTTCTAGTTCTTCCATAATTTATTGCAAGTTTCATTCAAGATTTATTGATTTTCTAGATCGATTTCTTTCTGAATTCTTTTTTTCACAAACAAAGAAGGGAGAGGCTGTTAAAATTATCTCCATTCGTGTTTGCCGGTGCAAATACATTTTGAATTTCACTACTTTTGGGGATGCTTTAAAAAAATAAAATGGTCCAATTTAAATTACTAAAGAGAGACGTGTTGAGTCAAAATTTAGTAGCACTGGGTTTCCAAATGTAAACTAGTTTGCTAATTGTTAGTCAGAAATTGATTGGTTTTGTTCCATGGTTGTCCATTGCATTTGGCCACAAAGGTCTTCTCTCATGGTTGACCTTGATATTTGTCCCTTGGTTGGCCATGGTATTTGACTACCGAACACTTGATAATTCATTTATTATCTGTTTATATCTCTGGGATGAGGTATTATGATTACTTTTGGTTCGAAATTCCGATCACCTGAAGAAGGCCAGAGCGTACAAACGTTGTGAATATAGCAATGAAGATGAGGATAACAGTCCGAATAATGTAAATAATGCAAGTAGTTTGCAACTTGTTAGTTAATTTGACTGTATTGCGAACCTATTATTAAATTGCACAAATAAATTATGTATTAATGTGGGGTTCACTTTTCTTTTTAACAAAGTCATAAACTGAATCGCCAGTTTTTGCCATAGTAGATTCAATATTTGGCTAACGATCATATCAGGTTGAAACACAAGTTCCTGTACGATCACCGAAGTTAAGCAATGTCAAACCTGGTCAGTATCTAGATGGGTGACTGCTTGGGAAATACCAGGTGCTATAAGCTTTGATGTATGGGTGGTGTAACGGATAACGGCTCAGAATTGGAAATCAGAGAGCCGTGTTATATTCAATGAAACGTAAATACTCTTAAGAAAGCTATGAATCCACCTCTTCTACCCCAGCTATGGTTTAATTAGTAGATCTTGTGTCATAAATGATTATTTTCTCCTAAAAATTCCTACAATCTAAAAATATTTTCTGGCTTTAAATAACCAGTAAAAGATTGACAAGCCGTAAAAAAAAATAACTCAATCAATCAATACTGCTTAGAGATCATCAATACGTGCATAACAAACATGTGAATATTAAGTGGGGGATCACTTTTAAAAAAAAAGTCATGATCAGAACACCCAGTTTGTGCCATAGATTTAATATATTTCTTTATGCAGTGGAAAAACTGTTTTTATATCATCAATACATGATTAACAAACAAATGGATATTAAGTGGGGGATCACTTTCCTTTTACAACTAAGTCACAAAGAGACCCCCAACTTCTTCCATTCGTTAATTTAATTTACACGCTTTTATAAATTTTCTATTCCCAGAAAAATAAACTTGATATGTCCTAGGACGAAACCGTTTTTTTTTCTTTTTTTAGCTTTTTCTTTTAGAAATGCCTTATAAAATTGGTCTTTTCCTAGTTATTATTAAATTCTGTACCACAAAAACTCATATATATATATATATATATATATATATATATATATATATATATATATATATATTCTGAAAAGCAGGTTACCAGATTTAACTACTGTTGAGAGCCGATGGCTACTAAAATTTGAATTTAGCTACAAGAATGGATTCTGTTAGAAATTCCGTAAAGATGAAGACTGGAGTACACAACGGCCGGAATGTTGTGATTAGAAACTGCAACAAAGACGAAGATATTAGTGCGGTTTAAATAGGTTATTTCTCATAATATTGTATCTGCTCAGTTATAAAGATGATATAAGTATGATTTGCTGTCTATACTCTTTTAGGGGGCTTTTTTTAACGTCTACGAGCGCTATGGGTACCATGTCACCCAGTACTGCCTGCAACATGGTCAGGTTTTCGGCGACTAAACCCGTTAACCTCTCCAGGCTTCTCGGGTGAGAAGAGTGACTAGAGATCCATTGGGATTAAAAACGAGACTTATCAAAATGTAAATGTACCTTCTTGTATGGTCAAAGGCCATCGGGCACAATCGGATGGACTGGGCTCCATATGCGACCAATGCGGTGATGATACGGTTTCCTAGACTGGAATCAATGAGCACGTGTCCGTGACCAACGTGAGCCTCGAAGTTGGAGGCCATCGACTGAGGTCGACTTGCGCAAGGCGTGCTACACAGGAATGAATATCTCTCCGGCTTATAATCTCGGCATTTTGAAGAAACTATTGAGGCGTTCTGTTACGCAGTGATTCTACAACCACGCTTGGTTATAGTTCTGGGTATGACGATAAACTACATCCGGCAGCAAGGCCACTAATAAGGAGATTGGAGATTTTTAGAAGCGTGAAACCACTTTTTGATTGTTGTTTTTCCCAGGCCCATCCTGACTCGGGGTGGTAGCACCTGTTGGGGTCCTAACTATGGGCAAATAGGGAGCTCCCAAACAAAAACAAAACACTATGAAAGTAAAAAAATATTTTTATAGTAAAAAATACCAGAAAAGCATTTTTATATAAAAAATTACTAACAATCGATATTTATAGTAAAATTACCAACAATATATTTTAAAGCATAACGACAAACAATATATTTTATAGTAGAATTGCGAACAATACATTTTATCTGCTGTTGAAGACATACAATTTCATTCAAAATATATTTAGTTGAAGCCATAAAATTCTGTTGAAAATATTTAGATTTCAGTATTAAATGACCCATAGACGTGTTGATATGCCGCTAAACAAAAACAACCAACCAACTAGTTGGCCATGGGAATGGTCATGCTGGTTATGAGGCTTTTATATGAGAAAAAATTGACCAATCAGAATAAAAATTCATCAACTCGTATATTTTCTGGCTTTTGATTGGTCAGTCCTGTAAATTTAAGAACAGAATTTCTACTCACAACTCGATCGCTCATTGGCCTTGAGGCAAAAAACTTGCTCAAGCGTTTATAGTATTTTTTCTTGTGTTCTGGTGTTGGTAAATAACGGGATTCAACTGCTTGTCGCAGATAATCGTGAAAGAAATTATAGATTCCATTTTTGTTGACCAAACTGTCGGCGAGAGACAAGTAAAATGGCGACCATATTGCGCTTGGTATCTGGGAAGAGAAATGGAAAAGAAATATTAACAAATAATCAAATTAAAATGACATTAAAATAGAGTACACCTCTCTCTCTCTCTCTCTCTCTCTCTTTCTCTCTCTTTCACTCTCTCTTCCTCTCTGTTTCTCACTTTTTCTCTCGCTCTTTCTTTCTCTCTCTCTCTATTTCTCCTTCTCTTTTTCTCACTCTTTCTCTCTCTTTTTAGCTCTCTCTCTCCCTTTCTTTCTTTCTTTCTTTCTTTCTTTCTTTCTTCCTTTCTTTCTTTCTTTCTCTATTTCTAATTCGATTTCTCTCTTTTCCTCTAATTGTCTATCTTTCTCTCTCTCTTTCTCTCTCTCTTTCTCTCTTTTCCTCTCTATTTCTCTCTCCCCTTCTCTCTCTACCACTCAATTTCTCTCTCTATTTATCTTTCTCTCTCTCTTTCGCTGTTTCTCTTTTTTTCTCTCTTTCTTCCTCCCTTTCTATTTTTCTCTTTCTTTCTATCTTCCTTTCTATTTCTCTATCTTTCTCTCTCTCTTTTCATTCTCTCTTTAATCGCCTGATGCCTCTTTATATCTATATACCTTTCTATGCCTCTCTTTTCCATCCATCATTTTCTCTCCATGCTTCTCTCCCCCATTACTTCCACTCACTATGCACTTCTCTTTATCATTTTTATATGCTTCTCACACCACCATTACTCTTTCTCCATCTCTCTCTCTCTCCCCGTGTCTCTCTCTCTCTCATATATATATACATATGAAGTGCTACCGATGACGATAAAATTAACCTATCTAGTTTTCACCATGTCCATCGAATGCTGATTGTACTCCAGCTTACAAAGAAAAACGACAAAAGAACACTATATTCTTACTGATCAGGCTGTTCAAAGTCCAGTAACATGTAGGTAAGTAGAGAGATAGATAGATAGAGAGAGAAAGAACATGAACAACATACATATATATATATATATATATAAACAGATTGAGATAGATGATAGATATGAACATAGATACACATGAACAGACAGATATGAGCAGAGAGAAATGAACAAACTGAGATAGATAGAAATAGATAGATAAATGAACAAACATACATACATATATATATATATATATATATAAACAGATTGAGATAGATGATAGATATGAACATAGATACACATGAACAGACATAGATATGAGCAGACTTAGATAGAAATGAACAAACTGAGATAGATAGATAGATAGATAGATAGAGAGAGAGAGAGAGAGAGAAATGAACAAACATACATACATATATATATATATAAACAGATTGAGATAGATGAACAGATAGATATGAACATAGATAGATACACATGAACAGACATAGATAGATATGAGCAGACTTAGATAGAAATGAACAAACTGAGATAGATAGATAGATAGATAGATAGATAGATAGATAGATAGATGCTGCTTTGAATATACGCTCTTTTAGCGCTAGAGGGCGTCGTCAGTGATGTTCTTGAGACGGATCATTTGGCAGTTTCGGGTCTTTCAAACATCATACTGACCTCACCAAGTCTACCCTATCAGAGCTGATCAGACTCTGATACGCTCTCTAAAAAATGCTTGTAGACACTGACTTCTATTCACATTTGATTGGACGTTGACCAACAGCCAATCACAACAGTGCGAACTCTATTTAAGCTGTTTACGGGTAATTTTTACTTTTTTTCATTTTTCAGTGGACACCCTTTCATCGGATACTTAGAAGGAGAGAGGGGGGGCGAAATGAACAAACATAGATATGATCAGATTGAGATAGATAGATTTGAACAGATATGTATATATATATATATATATACATACATATATATATATATATATATATATATATATATATATATAAACAGATTGAGATAGATAGATGGATAGATAGATATGAACATAGATACATATGAAAATAGATAGATATGAATGAACAAACTGAGATAGATAGATAGATAGATAGATAGATAGATAGATAGATAGATAGGATGTGTGCGAGAGTGAAACAAAGACAAACAAACTAAACAAAGCTTAGAATAGCACAAGTCCAGAAGGGAAGAAATAACTAGGAAGATTGTCTTGTGTCAATCTTCTAAATAGTGAGGATCTGACTAACTTGAATATAAACATTAAAATACTGTTTGTTTTGGACTGTCGGGTGTGAGGTAAATAGGTGAGATTACTGATCCCTAGCCTTCCTAAAAAGCGCAGCTATTTTCGCCACGTGGCTCTCCACTGACATATTTGTTACATCGACAAGCTAGTCAAGTCATCAATAGATAAATATGAACAGTCTGAGATAGACAGATATGTATATTGAAATACGAACATCCTAAGATAGATACATAGATACGAACAGACATTGACAGATAGATATGAGCAAACAGATAGATATGGAGAGTCTGAGATAGATAATGAATAGATAGATAAATAGATAGATAGTTGTGTGTGTGTGTGTGTGTGTGTGTGTGTGTGTGTGTGTGTGTGTGTGTGTGTGTTTGCGATTTGGCTTGCTTTTCCTCTCCGCACATCGATGTGATGGATACCTGACTTTCAGCGATGCAATTTCGTCATTGGTCGCTCTCCCGTTATTCTACGGATGGTCTCCACACGTCAGCGGAATAAAGAAAAAGAATATTTTCTCCTTTTCATCTGTCTTTGTCCCCTTCTTTTATCTCCTCCATACCTTTCCTCCTCTCACGTTTCCTCTTTAAAGTACTTTGATTACTCCAACCCTCACTATGATTCCATTTTTACCATCTCCATCTTCTCTCTTTCTCTCCCTCTCTCTTGCATTCTCTCTCTCCATTTCATTTGCATTCTTTCCTTTTCTCTTTGTCTCCCTCTCTCTTGCATTCTCTCCTTTTCTCTTTGTCTCCCTCTCTCTTGCATTCTCTCCTTTTCTCTTTGTCTCCCTCTCTCTTGCATTCTCTCTCTCATGCATTCTCTCTCTTTCTTACATTCTCTCTCTTGTATTATCTCTCTCACTCTCACTTATATTCTCTCTCTCCCTTTCTCTTGCATTCACTCTCTCTCCCTCTCCCTCTTGCAGTCTCTCTCTCTCCCTCTCTCTTGCATTCTCTCTCTCTCTCTTGCATTCTCTCTTGTATTATCTATCTCAATCTCACTTGCATTCTCTCTCTCCCTCTCTCTCTCTTCCATTCACTCTCTCTCCCTCTTGCAGTCTCTCTCCCTCTCTCTTGCATTCTCTCTCCCTCTCTGTCTCTTGCATTCTCTCTCTCTCTTGCATTCTCTCTCTCCCTCTCTCTTCTTTGTCTCCTCCTCTCTTTTTCTTTCTCTCTCTCTCTTGCATTCATTCTCTCTCCCTCTCCCTCTTGCAGTCTCTCTCTCTCTCTTGCATTCTCTCCTCTCTCCCTCTCTCTTGCATTCTCTCCTCTCTCTTGCATTCTCTCTCTCCATTTCATTTGCATTCTCTCCTTTTCTCTTTGTCTCCCTCTCTCTTGCATTCTCTCCTTTTCTCTTTGTCTCCCTCTCTCTTGCATTCTCTCTCTCATGCATTCTCTCTCTTTCTTACATTCTCTCTCTTGTATTATCTCTCTCCCTCTCTCTTGCATTCTCTCCTCTCTCTTGCATTCACTCTCTCTCCCTCTCCCTCTTGCAGTCTCTCTCTCCCTCTCTCTTGCATTCTCTTTCTCTCTTACATTCTCTCTCTCTCTCTCTCTCTCTCTCTTTTATCTGGATGGTTCCATGAAAGCAATACTTACATCCACGAAAGACCGGAGTTCTTCCTCAGACATTCCTTGCTTTGAACACCAAATCGCACACGTTGTCTCTTTTACAAATGACTTCCTAACAAAAATTTTGATAAAGAAAACATTAACGCCTCTGGTAATCACGAAAACAAAAACATATGTAAATTATTTACAAACAAAATGCATCTGTGAAGAGACAAAATGAATCAAAAGATAAGAGGCAAATTTATTCTTAGACGATGCGTTTCGTCCTCTGCAGAAACGTTGTTAAAGCAATTTTAAGGATTGTTACACGTGTTTATATACACAAGAAAGGATGTCATTGGTTTAACAAGATTTTTAAATTTGAGAACATTCATGAATATTCATCAGGTGGTTGAAAGGTCAGTCAAAATATATGGAGGACACAAAGTGCCATAATGCAAAGTCTGATAAGACAAAAGCAGCAATTAATATTCAAGAATTATTATTTTAAATAGATGAATATTGCTTAAATTGTGATCAGATTATCATAGTTTGGGATGGAAGTTTGTGTTGTACTTCTTAAAAAACATATTTCTTAAATATTACTCGCTCACTTTTGTATTACCAGACCTTGAATCATAGCACTTTGTGTCTTCCATATATTTTGACTGACCTTTCAACCACCTGCTGAACATTCGTGAACCTACTCAAATTTAAAAGCCTTGATAAACTAATGGCATCTTTGCTCTTGTATATAAACATGTGTAACAAAATAAATCTTTACATTCGTCTTCATAAGGTCCTTCAGAGGACGAAACGCGTTGGCAAAGAATAGTTTTTCCTCTTGTCTTTTTATTCATTTTGTCCCTTTATAGATACAATATATATATATATAAAATTATTTATTCGAAAATTATAACATAAATATGTTATAAAATCACTACAAAAATAGCCACTTTGTTTCAACACTTCTGGTGTCTTATCAAGTGATGGTGTTGAATATGGAATAAAATAAAATAGTATTTGTTGGTTATTCCGTATACACCAATCCTATACTTGGGTATATATATATATATATATATATATATATATGTGTGTGTGTGTGTGTGTGTTTGTGTGTGTATTTGATTCCAATATATATATATATATATATATATATATATATATATATATATAAGTTTTTAAATTTAAAATATTTCTCCTTTATTTAAGCTTCAGCAGAATTTTTGGGAAATCTTTTCCAAACATTTCTGATGAAGTTTAAATAAAGTCAAAACACATGTCCTATTTGTGTATTTATTTTATCATATATATTTCTGTATTTGTCTAGCACTCCCCCCATCCCCCCCAAAAAACCCAACATATCTTGTTGAACATGATTGACAAAACACTTTTGTTTAGATTTTTTATTATATTTTTCTTGTATGTATATAAATGTCTTTTCTGGACTTAACGAATGTAAAAATTGAGCAAACTTATGTTGATTCCAAGCGCTTTCAGCTAAAATATGAGCCATCGGAAAACCGATCTAAATTAGTAAACATGTGGCCAGTTTTTATAGTCATTTAAGTCCAGGAATAAAGACATTTGTAGACATAAAAGAAAATATAATAAAAAAACACTAATAAAAAAACCTTGTCAGTATTGTTCAACGAAACACATATCCTCGCATACAGACGACACGTGAGTGTGTATGTGTGTATGTTTATTCAAACATGTTTTATGTTTCATAAAAGTTGGCCGACAACTGTTTTAAGTTTTATGACAGATCTTTCAGTTTCTTTATAAAGCCGGTCATCCGGAATGAACTTGTGGAGAAATGGTTTTTCAAGTTTTTTTCTTCCACTATTTTCGATCATCTGGAATTTTCATTGAAACAAATTTTATTACAGTCGACTGACCAAAGGTTTCTCGGTTTATTTTATTACGTTTTTACATCTGGCATCTAAACGTGTCGCACGTGCGAATCAGAATTGTAATGATCGAAAGCTCTTGGAGAAAATCATTATGAACTTTAAACAGTTTATCTATAAATATGATTCGAATATGCGACAACTTTTTTTTACTGTTACTCACCAAATATAAGGCCCAAGAGTCACTCAAAGTAGAGTTTTACTGAATGAGGTTGTTTGAACGTAAGACGAGGCAGTAAACAGGGCAGATAATGAGCATATGTAAGAAAAATAATAGGTTGAGCCTAGACTAGAAGTGACTAAAAATTGAGTAATCGGGGAAGCATCATTCCTTCCACAAAGTAGTGCTTCCTGGGAAGAAGCTTTCGGAATGGAATATTCTTTTTCAATAACGAAGAGAATGGAAATGATTCATCCCAGTGTACGTGCCAAGATGGGTTTTAGCTGTGAAGGTCTGAACTGGTGGAATTAATGAATGACCATGAAAGCGTGATGCTATAGCTGTGAAATCTTGCATGCATTCATTTCAACTCTTCTAATTAATAACGGCATTGTTTTTTTCCAGGTACGAGGGTGGGGCTGAAAAAGTTCATAGACTGACTATGAAGGAGTGATCCTACAGCTGTGAAATCTTGCCTGCATTAATTTCAACTCCTCTAATTAATACCTGCATTGTTTCTTTCCAGGTAAAATGACATTTCACTTTTCAAAGGAGACAGTTCATCCTGTTGGCCAAAAAAGTCAACACGATCAGATATGACGTCTTCATATACTGAGATACTGGTTCTCAGTTTTTCATGTTGGGGAACAGATGATTGTCAAATCAGGAGAATAGGAAGGGTGATCAAACATTTCAAAGTCATGCATAGTAGCCATTGAAACCAACGACTTTGATTGTCTTGATGTAACAAAACCCCTTTCGTCAGTTTTCCTTGGCTTTTGTTCTTGATAACCTTTCATTACTGTATATCATCAAATTGGCGTAGTACTCTCCGTTTATGGCGTGGCCCTTTTGAAGATAATCAATAAATACAATGTCTTTTGCATCCCGGAAAACTGAGGCTATCACTTTCCCAGTAGATGAAACAACCTTAGCCTTCTTTGGAACAGGTGAGGAGTGATGTTTCCACTTCATTGTCTCTTGTCTTTTTGTCTCCGACTCATTGATGAACCCAAAACTCTAGTTGGGTGAGGAAACGTTTAAGGAAACCAGCTGGATCTGCCTCAAACAATATCAGATTTTCCCGTAATGGGGTCAGTCCGGTGCGCTTTTGATAAGGTGTCAGAAGACGTGGCACCCAACGAGCAGAAACCATCGTCAAACCAAGTTCATTGTGCAGAATATTCTCAACTCTTTCACAAGATATGACAATAGCATATTTTATATATATTTTTTCGTGTATTGATTTTCATGACAAGTACAAATTTACGAGTTTTTTTTCACAAATGTGTAGTATCAAGGCCGGCATTATTCTGGGCACTACTTAAATAGACGGGTCCACTCATAAAAAACGGGGAAATTTTCTAGGGGGATAATTTTTGTAAACTTTCCATTAATGAAAATCGATAAATAATTATTTTTTGATCATTTTAGAATTGGGGGCTTGGTTTATAATATTGATATAGTGTAAAATCAATCTCTTACCTTTTACCCAATCATTGGACAGAGCTATTAGGAATGCCACTAGTACACAGGGGGTTACAGAGAATGAGTGTGAGAAAAGACTGAGTATATGAAGGATTGAGGAAAGGAGAAAAGCTGAACAGGATTCATGAAGATGACGATTGACATTGTATTTATATTTTTGAAATTTGTAGTTTTCAGGGAAGCAAGGAAGCGAAAGGGAATTCCACAGGGTGGAAGTGCGAGAAAAACTTTTGGAGTAGAAGTAGAGATTGCATTTAGCTATTTTAACAGTAAACAGGTGGGACCTAAACGCCAATCTAGTAGCATGTAGTCGGGGCACCAGGGGAAAAAAAAGATCGTCACAGCAGTGGTCATGAAAATACCTGTAAAAAAGATAGAGGAAATTTATGCAAAAATATTGTTCTTTAATTAAAAAATTATATATTCGTTTGTTCTTGATTTAAATGTTTTAGTGAAAAAAAGAAATCTGTTTTCGTATGCAGAACACTTAAGTCTGAAGAAGTCTGTAAAAATTCAATGATCGATACCGACAAATGATGTGGTTTCGAGGTTTACGGATTCTAATCTACAAAATTATTTCTAAAAAGATTTTTCCCTATTTTTTACGAGTGAACCAGTGTCCTTAAATAGTGCCTTATTTCGAAAGCACAGTCAAGTAATAATATACGTTAAACTTTTTTCAAGGTTAATTTTTCTCTCCAGAATCTATCTATCTATCTATCTATCTATCTATCTATATATATATATATATATATATATATATATATATATATGTCTACCATTTGCCCATGCTTAGAATATTGCTAGCACATATGGCACGTTCCCTCTGCTATTTAACTTGAGCTTGATAAAATTCAAAGAATAATCTGCAATATTATTGGTCCTGATCTGGCGGCTCAGCTCCAGTCACTTTCCCTCCGCCTTTAAGGTTGCCTCTCTTTGCCTTTTGTATAAATACTTTCATGGTAATTGTTTGAATGATCTCTTCGCTATGGTACCGAAACTTTTTGAATTTAAGCGCAACACTAGACTAACATCGAGATCTTATCAATGTATAGTTGAGCTGGCTAGATATAGCCGTAAGTTCTATGCTAACAGTCTTTTCTCTCACACTTCTCGCATGTGGAACTTCCTTTCGACTTCATTTTTAATTAAAAACAGCGATAAAACCAAAAATAGAAGCAGTAGACACACCTGACGCCAAAAATGTAAACTTTAACGCTAAGCCCTCCTGCCTATGTAATTGTAACCGATGTCTGTGTGTATTTCATTCCTACCCTCATGATTCTATCACTAAAATACTATTTAATCTGAAGAAGTCCTTTTAAATGTCGAAACACTTCACATACGATATTTTTGTAATTTGTCATTCAATTAGTCTAGCCTTCCTGCATATGTAATTGTAACCGATGTTTGTTTGTATTTCATTCCTTCCCCCTTTACACCTATATGATTCTATCACTAAAATATTATTTAATCTGAAGAAGTCCTTTTAAAGGTCGAAACACGTCACTTATGATTTTTTTTTAATTTGTCATTCAATTTGTCAAGTACACAATTATATAGTTCGAGACTTCAAAATTGTTTTCTTTCCTTCTTTTTTAACATAATCAAATCGATGGAAATATATCATTTTGAAAAGAGGATAAACAAATGACCAATTCGGTAATTTACAAACTTTTGATCGGCATAATCTTCTTCGAGACGCGCCAGAATTTTCGTGAATAAACTTTTAGGGGAATCGGCATTGAGATATTCGGTGATCTTCTCCGTCAAAGTGAAGAAACTTCCATACATGCGAATCTGGGAAAGCAGACGAAGAAGAAGAAAAAGAGTAAGAGTTAAAGACTGAAGAATTCTACAGTATATGCTGAAGACCAAAGTTTGGGGGCCCACACTCTGGATTTCGAAGACTGAAAATTGAAAGCCGTGTGTCTTTTTTCAAAACTAATTTCCTTGGGCCAGAAAGGCATTCTCTTCCTGAAGTGTTTCATCATAGATATTAAAACAAAAACATGTTAAAAATCGCTACACAATGGCATTTATATTTCAACACTACAAATGTGTCTCTTCAGGAAACGACTAATTTAATTTCAAAAGCAGAATACATCCTCTTTTTCGAAGAAAAAACAGAATTAACAATAGGCTTGTGGGCTTTACCGTGATTAAATAATCGTATGTGATCTATGCTAAATTCAAACTCACCGATTTTTTATAGGTCATGATAGGAAGTTGTCTGCGTGTAAATCCTAGACAATTTCATTATAGACAGATACAAATGGTTACATTATTTGGTAAGATGTATCGACGTCTGTCGTTTAACTTTCCTAAGAAGTAAAATAATAATAATAACAAAATTAACCCATTATAATATAAAGTCTCCTTTAAATGTTACCTCGTTTTGCCTAATCTGCCTTTGCTGGCTATTAGGGCTGGCAGATTTTAAATTTTAAGCAATCCCCTGCTCTCTAAAAAAAAAAAATAATTAAATTGGACGTTATGCTCAAATAAGCTAAATTATTTCAACATATTATCTTAGGAGAATTAAGAAGATTATTAAAAAGAAGGCATGAAACTTACTAATTACTTATTTTTATCAATGTTGTTAATTCTTTTTCCATACACCAATTTCACATTATGGTTGCTACGTTCTAGTGCTTTCTTATATTTAGCTTTATTATTGTCGGATATTTCTTTGTTATTGGAGTTGCTCGATAACCTATACTGTAGCGATTTGGGCAATGATGTAACTTATGTTTGTTGGAGAAGCTTATTATATTAAAACACTTAAATAAGCCTACCTTACTGAAACAGAGATCAGAATCGATGTCTACATGTATCCATAAGACCAAGCACCTGCTCAAACACATTGACCCCGATTAAAAGAGATTACAAAATAGATTATACAAATATTAATATAATATGCAACAACTATTAATATTCTTAGAATCCATCATTAATAACATTTCTTATATATCTATACACACATATAAATACAATATTACTTTACATGATTAATTTATAAAGTGTGTATATATATATAATTTCATTTTTATAAGTATAAGGCTTCGTTCCAAACACATTAGATATATAGTTTCTCCCTGTTATTTTTATATTTACAACCGTATATTACATTTAAACCCTGAATACTAGTTTAATTTAATTGTTATAACTATGGTATTTTATGCAAAAAAGAGAGTTATCCCTCTTGATATTCTGTTTACTTAATTTTAAATTTAAATAACTTTATTTATTTATTTTTTTAATTCTTCGCCTTTCAAACTTTTAATTATATAAATTAAATAATAAATTTAGACAACAATAATTATATAAACAAGTGTTAACACACAATTTTGAATCAACACCACGAGAATGCGAACTCTATAACGGTTAGAATATACACAGCACCTGAAGATTGCAAGACTGCATGGAACACCGAGTCGTACTGTCGACGTTAGATATTATGTATATTCATTAATATATACTTATAGCTCTGCTTCCTAACATTGAGCACTGTATTTATAACACCTGAGGAAGAAATATATTTATACATGCGTGCAAGTATATGCGCGTGTATGTATATTTTATCATATATATATATATATATATATATATATATATATATATATATATATATATATATAATATATATATATATATATATATATATATATATATATATATATATATATATATATATGAATGAAACACATATATATATATAAAAATGAAACATGGTTAGAACTATGTAGCAAAAAACTTATTTTAAATCAATTAATTTATAATGAAACATGGTTAGAACTGTGTAAAAAAAAAAACATATTTTAAATCAATTAATTTATAATATATATATATATATATATATATATATAAATTAATTATATATATATATTATAAATAAATTAATATATATATATATATATATATATATATATATATATATATATATATATATATATGAACGTCATTTTTAGTGGATAGCCACTTTAGGGATACAGATACTATATCTGTAAAACATGATAGAGTCCAATAACTATTGATAAGCCAACGGATGAGAAATTATACAAACAGCCTTTGACACCTATGGACATTGGGCACATGAATAAAATTTATTATTATTATTATTATTATTATTATTATACATTGATTTATTTGAACTATTGTTATCTTGATTTTTATGGTGTTTTTTTTTCATTTATATTAACCCCTCTTTTAAAAAAAATCAGATGCCTTGCATCAATGGGTTAAATAGTTAAAGCACCCTAACTTAATAGGGGTTAATTAAGCCAAAGAACATATCACATCCAGTCCCCCCCCCCCGCAAAAAAAAGTTATCCGTTCGTTGCTATAAATTGGATGCATTTGGGTGGTAATTTTTTTAATTTATAAAAATTTGGTTAAAGTGCAACGAATGTTCTTTGTTAAAGATATTTCTTTTTTGTTTTTCATTTATTTTTTCTATATTTCCGGTGATTTTTCTGTTTTCCGGTACACATCTAAATATAAATTGTACAATGAATATTTTAGTCTTTCATAAGCCATTATGAAAATGTTTGGGTTTTTTTGCGAAATTCGTTTTTTCGTTTTTAAATAGCGTATTTTATATAAGCTGTTAAAAACAATGACTACAAATACAAGAAGCCTTAATTATAAAAGACAAACAACCCAATATCACATTTCAATACTCACTTCATCGAGGAGGGTGCGTAGATACAACGGGTTGTCCGTCTGTGGTGAATTCTTTATTAATTCTCTTTGGTCAGAGCTCAGAGTTTTGCCATAGATTTTCTCAAAAAATTCAGTGATTATCTCCCCTTTCTCCTCTGTATTTAGAGGCTCCACCTTTAGAGTTGGCCACTGGAAACGTTTTACGCTGTCCATGGCCTGAAAAGGGCGGGAAGAAGAAAAAAAGACGAAATTGTTTGCTTTTAGGCTGCAGAATGTACATATTTTGAACAAAATTAAATCAACAAATAAAAGAACGAATTTTTTTTAAAACTTCACAGAATACGCATCATGCTGAGTTTCAGTGACAAAAGATGGCGTTTCATTAAAGAAGATTAGACTAATCAAAGGAACGCTTTGGTCGAAAGATTTGAAAGTTGTGGTCTTAAATAAAATTGGAAATAGAATACAAAATGAACATTGGAAGCGCTTTGCAAATAAAGTCCAAAAGTTACAGAAATTTTGGAATCTATTTATTCTATGATTGGGATTGAATCCCCTTAGAGTTCTCAAAGATGATTTTTCTTCTGTTACAGTTTCATAGCTGAATCTTTAATATTTTGTTGATTCGCCTTTTTACAATCCAATAGAAAAAAAAAATATGGACCCGTTTAATTTTAACAACCACAATCAAATGATTCGAAGTGGATCCACGAAAACACCCGAACTGAATGCTTAGTATTTATCAATCCACCCACGAGGATAGAATGTGGCACAAGGCCGGTTTAATGTGGGTATCCTCGAGCCCGTAGGCTCGGCCAAAAATATAGCCTTTTTGAACCCGCCTAGACGGATTCAGGCCCTGTCTACCTCCCCGGACGAAACCTTACCCTTCGGCAAAGCTTCGTCCGGGTTCCTCTCTGCTAATGCAGAGAGTTCGACAGACGCCAACTCGGAAGCTCACAAAGGCAGCGTACTACACTTTGATCCTTGCCCCCCCCCCACCCCCCGGGGGATGAGCAGCTCTGAATGCTTGTCTCTTCTGCTTAAAGTCAAATCACGTTGAAACACTGGTTCCTGTACGATCACTGAAGTTAAGAAACGTCCAGTCTGATCACTACATAGATGGGTAATCCCTTGGGAATACCAGGTGCTGTAAGCCGGGGTGTGCGGGTGGTGTAATGGATAATGGCTCAGAATTCCCCGTTTGGTTCGTTATATTCACTTACGCACAAATAGACTTGGGAAAGGTAAGAATCCACCTTTCCCCCTCAGATATGGATTAAGTAGTAAGACATTTATCACTTAACAATTATTACCGAAAATAAAAACTTATACTCTGAAAATACTTGTAAATATATATATATATGTATTGAACACTAATAATATCTCTCTCTCTTTCCATTTCATCTTCAAGCGAAAAATTTGCTTGAAGATGAAATGGAACTAATGCTTTTAATTTAATTGCAAAATTAAATTCGGGGCTTTTAGCTTCTATTTTTGAAACATGGTTAGAACTGTGTAGCGAAAAAAAAACATATTTTAAATCAATTAATTTATAATATTAATGCTCTGTAAATTTACATTGAGCACTATCTTGTAAAAATAAAAAATATCTATAAGAACACCGGATTATATATCTTTTTTATATATATATATATATTACTGTTATTTTCTTATATATATATATATATATATATATATATATATATTAATTGTTAATCAGAGAGTCCAGTTCCAATTCTAGTTATGTTCTTCATATTCACTTACATGCAAAAACCCTTGCAAAATGTATGGATCTACCTCTTCCCCCAGGTATAGGTTAATTAGTAAGACTTGTGTCAGTAAATTATTATTATTAACACCCCCCCACCCACAAAAAAGATTTTTTTAATTACTCAATCTTTCTTTTAGTGCAGCAAATTTCTTTCTCTTTTTCAACGCGTTTTACATCCTCTCAACTTCTTTGTTGATTGATTTGTTTTTTATGGTTTATCAACCTTTTGTACCGTATTTAAAACCAAGATATATTTTAGATTGAAAGAATAATTATTTTTATTTTGCGAGTGAATATTGCATAACATTTTTTGAGAACAATAACGATTTTTCCGCATAGAAGTCTTAGCTTTTAATTCATGGCTGGGGGAGGAGATGGATACTTTTCTCAACCATATACAAATCTTACTATTTAACCCATGGCTGGGTAAGAAGATAGATATTTTTCTGAATCATATGTCTCACTATTTAACCTATGGCTGGGGGAGGAAATGGATACATTTCTCAACCATATACAAGTTTTACTATTTAATCCATGGCTGGAGGAGGAGATGGATACTTTTATCAACCATATACAAGTCGTCTTACTATTTAACCCATGGCTGGGGGAGAGATACATTACTCAACCATATACAAGTCTTACTATTTAATCCATTGCTGAGGAGAAGATGGGGACTTTTCTCAAGAGTATTTGTGCGTAAGTGAATATAACGAATGCAACGGGGATTCGAACTCGTCTCGTTGATTTCTCATTCGGAGTCGCTATCCATTACACCATTGGCACACCTTGTTCGCCCAACTTTTAAATGAACCAAAGCCCCCTATGTTCTTACCTTGCCTGGTAATGTTGACATGAGAATCTTGACATTGTCTGAGGGTAAAGGATCTGGTATCCACCTAAGATCTTGTTCAGGGCCTGCGATAAACAGAGAGACTTTCTGAAAAAATCTTTATTGTATTAAAAATAATCTTTCAAATTAAATACAATTGATTGGCATCTGGTTTGCAACATTTAATACCCGTAAAACCAAACTATCATGGTTTCCTCATCTCCGAGCAGACGCTGAATTTTCTCCAGCCATGATGGTTTGTAACCTCAATGAGGCCCCCTTGTCGTAAATTGTTCAGTTCCTTGTACTGGACTCCTCCTGCTTTGCTCTATCTTTATAAAAGTCAGATGAAACCAAAAATGAAGTATTGTTGTCATATCTAGGCTGGAGCTGTCTAATATTCACTTTCCATTCATGACAGAGTTCAAAAGATTTTACACGGCCTTGTGGGTGATGAATTATTTTCCAATCTAGAACTTCTTTTACCACAGGCAAAACATTGGTAGCCTGTCGCTATTCTATTGCTATTTCCACGTTAAATGTTCAAATGAGCCACGTTCCTTAATTGTACCAGTTCAGACCTTCACAGCGAGGCCCCACCAATCACATACACTTGCTTGAATCATCCTAATTCCTTTCGTAGTTTATTGATAAGGAAGATGTTCCACTCATTTTCTTTCCGAGAACTGTTACTTTGCGGAACAAACTCTCCAAAGGATACTACTTCGCTCATTACGATCTTAATGGAGAATATCATGGATTGAACATCTGAGTAAAGAGGAAGAAAATGTGAACAAAAACGTACAATCTTGAAGGGACACGGCACATAGAAAAAAATGAAGAGTAAGAAATGAGAAAAAAGCTTCACTATACATAGTCAAGATCTTCAAACATAGATATGCACAAATATATTTCGTTTTCTCTCGGGTAGGACTCGTGGAGGTCATTGCGAATGTCTCGTCTTCTGAACTCTGAACTCTTCATGGACGCGGTCCCCAAAAATATGATGATCGGAGGCTTACAGCTTATATATTTGTGGAGTGAAAACGGAAATAAATACCAAGACAGTCAATCATCAAATGACAAAAAATGGAGTCGGAGGATTCGCGCATCTTTCCGGTTAATAAATTAATCCTTTGAAAATAAATATTTAACATTTTCCAACCAATGAGTTGCGTTCCCACCGACAATAAAAAAATGCTTCATGATCCCTTTGAAGACTATTTAAGCAAAGTTTCTAGACCAGATCAAAGCCAGTAAAGAGATAGAGATGGATTCATGCGACATCAGTTATTTCCAGGGGAAATGTTCATATGCAATCTATTCTTTAGTTAAGATCTTCACAGATAGAATATGTTAGGTTACTTACACAGTGTTGGATCCGCTAATTTCCACTGTGTTCCAAGTGTAAGAAGACATTTTTTCCTCAAGAACTACTACTTTATGAAACTTCCTATGCTACTTCCCCAAACAATACCCTCTTAACCTCTTCATATCAAGGACCAATTTCATTCTCATAATCTTCACTTCCTCCCACCTCCCTTTTCATTCATATCACACACCTCATTCACCATAACCATTTCAGCAGTAACCCTATACACTACGATCTTAATCACTTCAAGTCAAGGGTTAATCGTTATCTATCCTAATTATCCTCATAATCTTCACTTCCTCCCACCTCCCTTTTCATTCATATTTCACACCTCATTCATCCTAACCATTTTAACAAAACCCTCTACCTTGAGTAGCTCTCTCGCCTTGTATTGGATGAATTTTCGTATTAAAAACATTATTTTCTCTGTCTTCATTTCAAAAACTCTTCTGCAGTCTATTTCTTATTTTTTCTTAAGTCTCTTTTTTCATTTTTTGCATTTGTCGTTTTTTTTTTTACTAATGTTCCCCCAATACAAAGCCCAAGAGCCACTCAATGTAGAGGGTCGCAATGTGATGCATTAGCGAAAGAAAAGATAAGAAGTGCAAATTATGTAGGAAAGATAACGAATAAGCCTTGACTTAATGAGTTTAAAATTGTAGGGATTGCGAAAACATCCTGTCGGGTGTCTGTTCCACAAAGCAACAGTTCTTGGTATAAAGTTGATTGAGCCGAATTTCCTCCTTACTAATGGAATTTCATCTTTGAGTATGTGGTACGGTGAGTCTTTGCTTCAAAGGTTGAACAAAGGAATTTAACAGATGGTGGAAGAAAAGAATTTTACGGCTGGCGGAACCAAGGAATTTAACGGCTGGTGGAACCAAAGAATTTTACGGCTGGTGGAACCAAAGAATTTAACGGCTGGTGGAACCAAAGAATTTAACGGCTGGTGGAACCAAAGAATTTTACGGCTGGTGGAACCAAGGAATTTAACGGCTGGTGGAACCAAAGAATTTAACGCAGGAGAAATGCGATAGAAGATCGAGAGGCTCGCGATGTTTCATTTGTAAGAAAGGTGTTTTAAGGTGGGAAATAATTAATCACACACAAGACCGCATAGATGCTTTTAAAGTCTATCAAGATAGAAAAGTGAAGACTGTATAACTCCATTCCAAACATGGCTGCAATAGTCCATGTTTAGTTTTATCTAGATTTTATAAAGAGTATAGCAGATCAGTACAATTCATTGTCCATTCTTTAGTAATAGATCTTAAATATTAGTTTCACTAGAACTCCGGGGAGAGCTTGAATCCCAGTAGATGTTCAAGACAAGGAGCTACCTTGTGAGTAGATCCATCCATCGTGGGAGCGGAATGTTCAGGGTCTGCTTGATTTTGGAATGTCTTGGGCATCAGGAATTGAAAATCTTTTTTTATGCAAACCCAAAGTAATCTAAAGTTAAATTAAATAACATTTTTGGATGATGAAAACGAATTAAAACGAATTAAATGATTAAAATGAATATCTAAATACCATTGAAAATCAAAAAGTGTTTTTTTTTGGGGGGGATCATTGAGTGGGGGGGCAGCATTGAAGTGGGTAGTATTTTGGCGGGGCAGCATTTTCTACCGACCTCCGATTCCTGATCCATCATCAAGTTGATTAAGCGCATCAAAAACGACCACACATTTCTTGATAGACGCTGCCATTTGGAGCCATTGAGATAAGTCTTGGACGATGGCAGTATCAGATGAAGGAACTTCAAGGTCAAAACCAAAGAAATCTTTCAGTTCTTCATATAACCTGCAAAGTGAAATTGGTTAAAATGGTTTGACATTAAGAAAAATAAAAATAAAAAAAACGAATTTCTCGATTTGAGTTATTTTCGGCAAAACTATTCGCAAAATCACGTCGTTGATTGAAGAAGGTGAATAAGAAATCTACAATTACAGCAGCTTTTAAGGCATTTTCACAATAATGATATTTTTTTGGAAGTTGGAAATGGTTAAAGATGAAAGAAAATAAATTGTTTATCTTTTCAGGTTAAGTGGCATGAAAAGTCATTTGTTACTACATACATTTGGATTTTGATATCTATCTATATTTCTGAGATGAGGTATTATGTACACTATTTACATTATTCAGACTGTTGTCCTCATCTTTGTCGCCATATTTATCACAACGTTTCGGCCCTTCAGTATCTGTCTATATTTCTGAGATGAGGTATTATGTACATTATTTACATTATTCGGACTATTGTCCTCATCTTTGTCGCCATATTTATCACAACGTTTCGGCCCTTCAGTATCTCTATATTTCTGAGATGAGGTATTATGTACATTATTTACATTATTCGGATTATTGTCCTCATCTTTGTCGCCATATTTATCACAACGTTTCGGCCTTTCAGTATCTGTATATATTTCTGAGTTGAGGCATTATGTACACTATTTACATTATTCGGACTGAACCCTTTATTTCGCTCACTGGAGTAGACTGTTCTAGTTCCACATGCTATTTTTAATGGATGTCAGTTATCATTTATCTCCTGTTAATTCCCCTCTCCAAGTTCTTGAGGACACATGGCAGTGGATAACGGTGCTGGTTAGATCCAGTGACAGGATCCAAAGAGTGAGATTTCAATATCTGGTTAAGGCGGTGGAGAACTTGGAGAGGGGAATTAACAGGAAATAACTGATAACTGACATCCATTATACATGACACGTGGAACTAGAACAGTCTACCCCAGTGAGCGAAATAAAAGGTTGTTCGACACTCCAACCACCTGAAGAAACATTGTAATAAATATGGCGACAAAGATGAGGACAATAGTCCGAATAATGTAAATAGTGTATTTGAATTTTGATCTTAAATTAAAAATATATTGGGTCGGAACAAACGTCCGTGGCATTTTTTAAGCGAATTTCCAAGATAATTTTTCTGTTCTGTATATTTTATTCCACTTCCCTTTAGCATCCATTGAGAGAAATCGTAGAGGCGAGTTCGAATTCCAGTCGGGTTCGTTACATTCAATTACATTCAAATCCCCTTGGGAAAGGCATATATTCGTTTTTTCCCCCCCCTCCAGTTATAGGTTGAATAACAGAACAAAATGGGTCTTATAGCCTTGGTTGGCAACCAGTCTATCACAGAAACCTAGTGCGACAATATCAGCCTAGTCAGTCATGACTCGAAAGAGACAACAGTGATTTAGGTGAGGAAATTGTGGAGAGACATGATCGCCCAGGCGTGTATCAGTATGACACTGAACTGAAAGAGTCAACAGTGATTTAGGTGAGGAAGTTGTGGAGAGACACGATCGCCCAGGCGTCTATCATTATGACACTTAACTAAAAGAGTCAACAGTGATTTAGGTAAGGAAGTTGTGGAGAGACATGATCGCCCAGACGTGTATCACTATGACACTTAACTGAGAGTCAACAGTGATTTAGGTGAGGAAGTTGTGGAGAGACACGATCGTCCAGGCGTGTATCGGTATGACAGTTAACTAAAAGAGTCAACAGTGATTTAGGTAAGGAAGTTGTGGAGAGACATGATCGCCCAGGCGTCTATCATTATGACACTTAACTAAAAGAGTCAACAGTGATATAGGTGAAAAGTTGTGGAGAGACATGATCGCCCAGGCGTGTATCAGTATGACACTTAACTGAAAGAGTCAACAGTGATTTAGATGAGGAAATTGTGGAGAGATATGATCGCCAAGGCATGTATCACCTTACTCAAGGTGTCAGCAACCCTACAGCTGTCACTGTATACATGTGATAAATTTTAGTCACGTGTGAAACCAAATCACATGTTCAAGCACCATCTATTGAAAAGAGCTAAGATCTTTTGTTCCCATTAAAAAACAAATCGTGTTTGTTTGCATACAGCCCGTTTTATCAAAAAAGTAGCTTGTGAGTGAAAATCGTGGGAACTTAGAACTGGAGACAATAGTTCAATCTTGCATTTGGATTCCGTTTTATTTTCTTGTGGGTGGAGGGAGAGAATATTGACTAATTCATAGATTTCAATGGTGTTTGAGGTTTGTTGTCATGGACTTACAAACAAAAAAGATGTCCTTGTAATATCAAGATACGACAAAGTATTTTTCTCTTTGTGTTTAGTTTTTAATAAAACTCTTAAACCCCGAGATAATACGGAGATATAAACCTAAGTGAATAATTTGAACGAATGATTGTTTCTCCGTCTTAGGGAGACGCAGGTTCGAATCCTGCCGAAGGACGTATCTCTTCTGTAATGCGATTTCTCGGATATTTAGGCTGCTAGATGAAAATAAATAAATATACTGTTTATCAATAAACAGGGCGTCTACTTAAATATAGACATCTACTAGAAATAACGTTTTAAATGATAGATTTCGATTTAAATCTTTCTCCCCGAATGCTATTAATACAAACGGAAAAAATGGTATTTGCTATTTTGATGCAGAGAATTGGTATTTACTAATTTACTAATAAAGACGAAGATAGTGTAGCTGTTATCAGCATAGAAAGTGAATAGAGAGTTCAATAGCCGCTCGCTTTATGAGTTAAACAGGCTGACTTGGTGCTCTTGCCTTGAGATGGAAACAAGTCTGTATAAATGAAAACTCTGAATTCAAAACAAACCTCGACACGGATTAAGTCCGGTAGACTACCTTGCCTAAGACACACCATTGCTGCAGTATATACGATGACCTTACTACATTAAAAGGTTACTAGACTCAGGCCACAAACGATCGACTTCATTATTTACGGAGCAAGTATAACATAATTGCTGTAGAAGAAAACGGAGTAATCGTCTCTTGAATGAATTGTCTCCCTTACCGGTAGAGCATTTTCAGATAGGAGGCGCTTTCAGACGAACTGCCGATAAAATGAACGAAAAAGAACGTTTCTGGCTCTTCGGCCATAATTCTTGAGCACCAATTTGCGATTAAGGCTGACTTTCCGCTTCCTGAAATGAAAAGAGAGAGAAAGAAGAAATAAAGAAACTCTTTATTTATCAGCTAGACTACATTTAGATTAGAACATGTAGCGCCAACATTTAAAGACATTTTCAGCATATAAATTATTATCTGTATTTGAACACTGATTTGATCGCTGCGAAATTTATTCCGAAAGTGATGCCTCTGATATTTTATTAGACTGGCCCACGATATCACAGATGAACGTTGGTTATAGGACATTAGAGTTCTTTCCAAAATATTTTACCTAAATAATCAATTTACTTGCGATATATTGATGATGCTCTATTAATATATCCCCGTGATACTGACTTATCGCATCTTGTAGATAAACGAAAAAAAGGCGGACACACAATAGAATTTACATACAAAATAGAAAAAAAATCTATACCTTATCTTTATTAAATATTACATTACATCGGGTTGACAACAGCTTAAAAGTTGAGGTCCACCGAAAAATCAACCAATAAAAATGATCTAATAAATTTCTACTCCCATCATAACAAGAAAATAAAATCCTGAATGATCATTGGATTTTATTTAAGAGCAACCAGAATTTGCAGCCCTCAATATTTACACGAAGTTAGTGAAATATATTGAAAATATTTTCAAGACCTTCAATACTCTGTTTCATGTTCAATGCGAGACAAAAGACTCATAAAATATTCCAAAATAGAAAAAACTGTCCTTCCTGCTAAACCCAACGAATCAAAAAATATATTGTTCAACCCACTTACTATCATGAGTACAACCGAAAAGAATTCATGTCAAATGGACATAAAATTTGTCACAACGACATCTATAACAATTAAAGACTTAAGCAATAAAAAACAAAACAAGCCAAAACTTGAAGGAGGAATTTACAACATCAACTGCAAGAATTGCCAGAATGAATATATTGAAGAAATCTCAAAAATTTAAAGAAAATATATAAGCACAAAAGGGACATTTAAAAAAATAAAACAACACAATAAAATGTATTGGTTGTTCACTGTAACGAAACTGACCACCATTTTGACATAGGGAATGCTATTCTAATTAAAAGCGAAAATAATTCACTGAGACGAAAATGTCTGGAAAGTGCTTTGATCGCTAGTTCAGTCACGGTAAATTTGCATCCAGGCTTTTACAATATATCACCATAAAATTTCACCATTTCAAAAAAATATTGTTTCAAAAATATTCTTGCAAAACTTTTGAAACTACAATCGTCTCTCGTTTCGTGCGCATGTGTAGACGTGGCAAAATCAACAAAGCCCAGTCGAAACATTAAACGAACCACAGAAACTTTTTTCCAATTTGTCATACTATTTTCTCAGTACTGTTTTTTTGACATCATACTTATTATAAAACTCAGGTTGTGTGTGTGTGTGTGTGTGTGTGTACGTTTATATATTGGATGTGATTTCCTACATTTTTCAACCGATTTCAACAAAACATCACAGGACTACGTAAAATTACCTTGCGGTGGTTCTGACAGTGCCAAAAATTGGAAAAACACAATTGTTTTTGCACGAAATCAGTTTGAAAACACGATTAAGAGTCATCCCGCGAATGAAAGGGGGACAACTCATATCGAGTTATACTTATTATAAAACCCAGGTTGTTTGTGTGTGTTCGTTTATAAATGGGATCGGATTTCCTACATTTTTCAACCGATTTCAACAAAACTTCATTTTTTTTTTTTGGCAGGTACTGTTTTTTATTATCTTGCACACTTTTTTCTTTATTTTTACATTCAGAATGCTTTAAAAATTCCATTTACCAGACAATTGTTTATAATAAAATTCGATTCAATCGGTAGACTCATAACGATTGAAAACAATGTTTTTGTTTGACCAATTCGTAAAAAAAAAAACAAAAAAAAAATACTAATTAAGACATGTGTGTCCGTCAACCTTAAACAATAACCTTTGTCAATTTTATTTTTCAGTCTTTATGATGGTCGATACTTGATCTATCTCTTACTGTTACATCACCGGGCAACGCCGGGCTCTACTGCTAGTAAATTATATATCGTTATGTCATATCATAGATAGATAGATAGATAGATAGATAGATAATCAGAAAACACTAAAATATCTTTTCCCAAAAATTGACATTTTTCAAGAAAAAGGATCATCTTCGACAAATACAATTTTAAACGACTATATCAGAAGTAGGAGACATGAACTCACCTGATTGGCCCAAAATCACAACTGGTTGGCGCTTAGTGGTTGTCATTAATGTGTCAATCATCTGGAAATATTTCTCTCCACCAATATAAACCCGACATCTGGCATCAGCGAACGCTTCATGTGCTTCTCGTTGGATTTCCAATCGAGAAAGTTCCGAACCTTTGGGAAAATCACTCTCCAACCACTGGATAACATCCTGTAATTTTTAAAAAAAGTAATTCAGGAAGGAAAAGGAAAAAGGTTCAAATCCCCCAAGAAGCAACGACAAAATAAACTTGATTTACCGCTTTTTTTTTTTATTTAAAAAATAATTTTTTTTTTTGATAATTTTTCTAAATATAGAGTCTCAAATTTCTGAACATCAATTCTCGTACGAGCACCGAAGTTAAGCAACATTGACCCTGGCCAGTATCTAGATGGGGAAATCAAATTACTGAAATGTTACTTCTCAACAAAAAAGATCGATAAATCGAATTTATTAAATTCACGCGACCAATCAATTAGGTATGTATTCATTTTTCAAACATTATTCCATATGACTTAGTTTTCATGAATAAGTCGGTCTTGCAAAAGAATGACGCAAAAAATGATTCCTACCTTTTTAATATACTTGCACACTTCATCTTTGGTTTTGTATTCTTTAACATTGAGGCCAGGAGTTTGTTTGATAGTCTCTCGCAGACTTTGCTGTCTTTCATGGTGCCATGTCGACTCAGCTTCGTATACCTGCTCGAAAACATGAAGATTCTTTCATTCAATTTTGAAAAGTTACTTTTATGGTGCGTCGAGTGAAAATCGTAAATCATCAGATAGGCATCATTTTAGAAATGCAAATAAAACTATATATATATATATATATCTGTCTATATCTCTGTGATGAGGTATTATGATTACTTGCATTATTTACATTATTCAGACTGTTATCCTCATCTTCATTGTCATATTCACAACGTTTTGACCGTTGTACGCTCCGGCCTTCATGTCTATGTCTCTCTATATATCTGTCTATATCTCTGAGATGAGGTATTATGATTATTTGCATTATTTACATTATTCGCACTGTTTTCCTCATCTTCATTGTCATATTCACAACGTTTCGGCCGTTGTACGCTCCGGCCTTTATGTCTATGTCTCTCTATATATCTGTCTATATCTCTGAGATGAAGTATTATGATTACTTGCATTACTTACGTTATTTGGATTGTTATCCTCATCTTCATTGCCATATTCACAATGTTTCGGTAGTTGTACGCCCCGGCCTTTTTCAGGTGTTCGGAATTTCGAACTGAACTCTTTATTTCGTCTACTGGGGTAGATTCTCCTAGTTCTACGTGCCATGCCTCTTACGGATGTTTCAGTTATTTCCCTTTAAATCAACTATCCAAGTTTTTGTTCTCAAGGCCACGTGATCCAGTGGATAAAGATGTTGGTTAGATCCAATGCCTAGACCCAAAGAGTTGTGAGTTCAATACCAGGCCACAGCAGTGGTGAACTAAATATTAGGATTAGGATTAGATTTAGGTTAGGATTAAGGTTAGATTTAGGGATAGGGTTAGTGTAAGGCCTAGGGTTAGGATTATTGTTAGCGTTAGGCTTAGGTTTACAGTTAGGGTTCAAGGAATTCTTTTTCTTTTACTTTGGATGCTATCAACCCAACTATACGTTTGATTATTTAAAAGTCACAATCTACCTTGAAATCCTCGCCATTCATCTCATTAGCCACAAGTGGTTGACGCAGGTAGAAGGAGCTTCGATCTTTTCTGTTTGGAACGTCATTCAGTACACCGTGATAAATCTCAAGCTAAAAAACAAGAAACAGGAAATGTTATTTCCAGTTAATCTCTAGTAATATCTGAAGCCGTTGGTTTTATCTATGAACAGCTCTCAAGTACCCTTACGATAAAGCCAATGTAATGGCGATCTGATAAAAATAGACATCAATCAAAACGAGTATGTGATCATTGTAAATGAATGTCACAAACAGGAAATGTTGTTACACGTGATTATGGAGAGAAAGAGAGTTTGTGAGAGAGAGAGACAGAGTGTGTGTGTGTGTATGAGAGGGAGTGTGTGTGTGTGAAAGAGAGAAAGAGAAAGCAATTGAATTAAATAAATATATTAACAGAAACAATAATACAAACATACAAACGAGAGTGTTAAAGCAAGAATGTTCTGTCCGACTGTCAGAGCTGACTGCTGGAAACTTCCCTCTCCAAAAGGCAGTACCTGCTCCTATTTTTAGCTGAGAGAGTTCATGCGTGCGTGGGTAAATTACCATAACAATAAACAAGATATAAAAGACAAACAGGAAAAAGAGTCAAATATTAACAGTATTTTTTTCATAATAACGTTCAGAGATTTTCACATATGGTTCTTCTACACACCACCGCCATCTCATTTAAGATGACTCTTGATCACTAATGTCTCGAATATGTCTCAATTGTTCTCTAGAAGTCTACTGATCTTCACTCGTGATACCTGTTTGACGCTATGCTCGTTCAAGGCAAACATCACAGTCATTCCTTGTAAGTTTTTTAATGTCTCACCTGAGTGACACTTGAGCCATAGCGGTGTTCCTCTATCCAGGCAAAGTTGCCGTCGCTTGCGATGGCGTAATTAATGCTTCCATTGAGGAGTTCATCTGTTTTATCCATCTTCTGACTCCAACCGAAACGATTACCAAGGAGACACACAAAATATGGCCGACAGCGATCAATCTGCAAAGGAGACAGGCTGAACCAAATTAAAAAGAGAAAATATATTTACCAACTAATTTCAATAACGCGAGATCAAAAGTTAAAAAAATGATTATCTTACGATAAAATCCATTAAAAATAATCTAAAGTGATATTCTGACCAAATTCGATGCGCAACGCAACGCAAAAAACCTTTACAATTACTTAGAATCTCACTTTTACAGAAGCCGTTATCATAAAAGGAAAAGAAAAAGAGACACTTAACAGCATCAGCTACGAACATGGCCATAATATACTAGCCGTATTCAGGAATGAAATATATGTTAACATGCTAACAACTAACCCAGAATTTACAATATCACAGGTTCTTGAAATTGGCTAATACATTGGTCGAAAGCACTCGACACAATCATTTGGACAATGACTAGACCAAAAAGAAATATCTTGTTTGTGCACAAAAAAGCAATAAAAAAAAACATATCAGAAGTAACTTGGGGCATCTCGAAGTGGAGTAATGGTTAGCAAGTTTGTCTTGCTACGACAATTACACCTGATTAGTGAATCTTCACTGTATACCCCAAACTTTCAACCTTGTGCCACATATAAGCGACGCTTAGAATCTCACTTTTACAGAAGTACCTTGTCACAATTTTTACATATATACAGATATATGTAAAAATTTCTTATGTTATAAGATCACTTCAAAAATGGCCATTTTCTTTCAAAATTGGTTTTGAATTTTCAAAAAACCTCTTTATTTCGCAGTCAACACCATCACTTGATAAGACACCAAAAATGTTGAAACAAAATGGCTATTTTTGTAGTGATATTATAATATGGTTGTTATAATTTTTAAATAAATATTATTTGCTCTACTTTGTATTGAGCACTTTTTAAAAAATAGTGATTTTGGTTATCGGGATTTAATTCCATCTATACCAACCCTGTATTCGATATATATATAAGACATTTTTATGCTTATACATTCTTTTTATAGATACAAATATTTAAGTAAATGCTTTGTTTATAATAAACAGAATTAAACAACATTTACCGGCCTGAATGTCCGAGAAATTTTCACAGAAAATATTCGTCCTCCGACAGGATTCGAACCTTTATCCTATACGGAAGCGTCATTTAGCTTGACGTGCCTTTAGCGATTTGGCCATACAGTAAATTCGATTAAATAATATAGACAGGTTTTGTTTATTTATTTTAGTAAGTATATATATATATATATATATGTGTGTGTGTGTGTGTGTGTCTAATGAGTTCAACAGATTAAATAAAGGCAAATTTAAAAAGAAATGAAGAAGAAAATGATCGTTGGTTTTTCAATGAATGAAATCAATTCTGAGCCCATTTTTGGTTTGGCCTCAAAATCAGAGAATTCTTTCTGTTTTTACCTCTTTTAAGCAAATCGCTACGGTTTTTCCGTCGTCAGTTTGTTCTTTGCTAATTCCCCATCGTAAGTCGACATAAGTAAAAAAAATACCTCGTTCCAGACATTTTCGATTGATCTGCCAAAATCAAAAGAAAATATATCAATCATTTAAAAAAAATCAAGCTTATTTAAAAGAAACTAATTTTTATAAATAACATATGGCAATGTGTGTACCTGGTGACCTATTAGCGTCGTAGATGCATCACATTTACTGTATCCATAACAGCAGTGGTGTGTCTAAGGCAAGGTAGGGTCGCTTATCGTCCGGTTCACACTCCTCCTCGGTCTTTTGAAATCGAGTAGGTTCATCCTTTGTTCCCTGTTTAAGATTGGTACTCAGGTTACTTGTAAAGATTTTTCATTCTCTTTCACTCCCAGTAACTCATTGCGTCTTAGAGCGACAACCCTCTTGAGGCCGGTTTTAAATTCAGAGTTTTCCTTCTTCTAGACAGATTGCCGCCCCTAAGAACTCAGACTGACCTGCTATTTAACCCATAGCTGGAGTAAGGTGAATTCATGCTTTTTCTAATTGGCTATTGGTGCGTAGTAAACGAAACAGAATCGAGTGGGAATTGAACTCGGCACACCTAATTCCCTTTCCGTGAATATATCCATTACATCATCCGCGCCTCCACAATCTATGGGAAGCTGGGTAGAAAGACTTATTGAATCTTTAAAATCAAAATTATAAATGTATATACAGGTTATCCTAAATTCCAAAATCCGAAACCCACCAAAATCCGAAAGTTTTTATTAGGAGAGAGTGGTGGCAGCTTGGATTCTAAGAGGCAGCGGGAGGAATGATATCAAAGGAACGCATATCACACGTTGGCTCAACCTCTCTCCGCAGTTCGTCTTAGCCGCTTGCTAACCGGGATGCTGGAGGCATATCGACGCTTCAGAATTTTTGAAACTCTCCGTTGAATTCGCGCCGTTTTGGACTTATATCCAGTACCCAGACAAAGGCGATCAATCACTGTCAGAATACCACGCCCACGAGGCACTCTGGCCAATTACTGACCATTCTGGCTTTGACCTTCGCATTCTGTAACAAATGCTTGATTATAGATTGAGAGTGAAAATGGTGAGTGATGAACCCTGTATTCCTAATTTAAAAGGGTGTGTACGTGACAGAATCTTTGAATGAGCGAGCAAGCAAGAACTATTCGAACATTTCCTATCCCAACTCAAATGCATTTCTCATGGCTCGACCCTACTTTCGAATATATATATATATCGAAACATCCTCCAGTGTCAGATTAATCAGCTGGAGGCTCTGGAGGGCGACGTCCTTCCAGGGGCTAAGTGGTCAGGCGGTCGCAAAACGTGTCTGAGGCAGCGAACACGGCCTTGAGCGATGGTGCAGAGATCGTTATTAGACACAAAATCGGAGCAGTGCAAAAGGAATTATTTTTCTCTTTATTATCTGTGAATTGCCATTTCTTAGGAAAGGTAGCAGTTTTTCTTCGGCATCCTATTTCATGATTTTGGATTTAGAGCAGTCGTTCTCTTGGTCTGCCTGCAAGAAATTAAGCAATTTTGTATCGATCTTAACATTTTTTTTTTTTATTCCATGTTCCTTTTTGACGTAGACGATCACCGTTCGCCAACGCTGCTGCTGTTGCTGCTACTAAATCTCTCGATATGAACGCGTTGAACCTACGAGAGCCACTTTGTCCCTCCAGCTCTCACCGTCTTGCTAGAATATATAGCTATCCCCCCACGGGGGTTGCATGTAGCACAAGGCCGGGTTTAACGTGGGTTTTCCGAGCCAGTAGGCTCGGCCAAAAATATTCCCTTTTTGAACCCACATAAACGGGTTCAGGGGCAGTCTACCTCCCCGAACGAGACTTTGCCCTTCGGCGGAGCCTCGTCCGGGTTCCTCTCTGCCCGAAGGCAGGGAGTTCGACTGTTTAGTTGGAACAGGTCGCAGCTAGACTAGAGAGTCGGCACATCCTCCAGTCACAGATTAATCTGCTGGGGGTACGACGTTCTTCCAGCGGCTACATGGTCTGACGCGAGGTCGTCGTCAGTCTGCAGATGGCGGTAGATGACTCTGGAGGGTGGTCATCCTGTCGTCGCAGGACGTGACCCAGCCACCAAACATGGCACTGGGCGATGGTGTAGGTCACTCGTCGTTGGACACAAAATCGAACCAGTGCACCTCAACGATGACCCCCGAGGGCATGGGACTCGAAGTCATGGAAACGATAGGTGAGGGTCATATTGAGAGGTCAGGTCTCGGCGCCGTATAGTAACAAAGACAGGATAGTTAACTCCCTTCCCTATTCCAGTTTCCCTGAGAGCTATAATCTCCAGCTATTCAAGTGTAATGTCAATCGACATCTCCAGTTGTCTTGATCTATCCACTACCCTTCTCCTCATACCCTCTTCTATCATTCCTATCTGATCTCGCTCTATATTTTCTGTAACCCCTTGCGTCCTAGTGGCTTCCCGCCTTCCTTGGGGTGAAATGCTTAAAAAATAAAATAAAAAAAAAGTTACTGAGAGAGTTTACCATAGACCTATCGAATGTCAATTGCAACCTGGCAGAGGAGAGAAGCGGGTGCGGCTAGTTGCAACATAGTGGGTGTGGGACAGATTACGGCTGGTGTGGTAGCATTTACAATCTGGTCATTTCCCCCGAAAACAAATGAGGTTTTCCACAGGTAAATGTAACCCGACAAGGACAGTGTAATCAATAAAGAGTGAACTGAGTCATGCGGTTGATTATTGCACCTATTCGGTCAATTTCAAAACGTTTCCTTTCATGCATTTATTAGTTTTATGACATTCTAAAAGTTCGTGCGGTAAGAAATATCATCAAATGGGGCAGATTCAAGATTATCATTTGCAAATATTTAGTATAATTTTTAAAAGCCATTTCTCTTCCGGACGTAGGCAATCATGGCTCTCCACAGAATCCTTTTCTTTATCATCTGTGTATTTTGGTGAAAAAATAATAAAGTGGTTTCTCGTTTCCATTTTCAATGGTTTTAAATTCAGAACTGTCCTTCTCTTAGACTGGCTGCCAAACGAGGCACACCTGAAGAAGCTGCTAATTAACCTATAGCAGGTGAGTAGAAGAAATAAAAGATTCATGCCTTCGACCAGGTTATTAGTGCGAAGTGAATGCGGTAAACTCAGCTGAAGCTCGAACTCTGACCGTCAAGTCCACATTCTGTGCTGATAACCGTTACATCAACAAACACACATCCAAAATAAGATTAATAAAGATAATTGTAAATACTTTAAATTTTAAACTTTTAAAATTAAAAATAATTATTAAAATTATTATTATTAATAATTATTAAAAAAATATTTTTAAATTTGATCATTTTAATCTTGAACATATTAAATTTAATAATTTTAAATTATAAAATTTAAAAATAATTATTGAAAAAATACAAAGAGTAATGTTTCTCGTAAAAAATTAATAAAATTTTCTATATTTAAAAATATTTTTAAAATGAATGAAATTTAAATTTTAAATATTTAACATGTTATACTTAATAATTTAATTAATAATAAAATTTTAAAATAATTATTTAAAAAATTCAAAGAATTATGTTTGTCTTTTGTTTTATCTTCAACATTTTCCATTGTTCTTACCTCTTGGAATGTTTTTTTAATCAATTCTTCTCGTTCTTGAGTGAAATCACGAAAAGTGCTGGATACAAAAAGACGGATTTCTCTCTTTTTTTTCGTCTTTGATTTTTGTCGTTTCTTCAATGAATGTTTCGCTTTCTGGAGATGAAACGTTTTTTCTTGTATGGAACCTGAAGAAAGAAATAAAAGAATGACGAAAGGAATAAATGAACGACGTAAAGAATAAGAGAATAAAGGAATGATGACAAGAATGAAAGAAAAATAATAAAAGAATGACGTAAAGATTAAAGGAATCGTGAAAAATCAAAAGAATAAAAGAATGACAAAAGAATAAAAGAAAAAATAATAAAAGGATGATGAAAAGAATAAAAGAATGACAGAAAGAATAAAGGAATGATAAAAAGAATAAAAGAATGACAAAAGAATAAAAGAATGACGAAAATAATAAAAGAATGATAAAAAGAACAAAAGAAAGACTAAAAGAATAAAGGAATGTCAAAAAGAATAAAAGGATGACAGAAAGAATAAAAGAATGAAGAATAGAATAAAAGTATATCGAAAGAATAAAAGAATAATAAAAAGAATAAAAGAATGACAAAAGAATAAAAGAATGACGAAAATAATAAAAGAATGATGAAAAGAATAAAGGAATGATAAATTGAATAAAAGAATGTCAAAAAGAATAAAAGGATGACAGAAAGAATAAAAGAATGAAGAATAGAATAAAAGTATATCGAAAAGAATAAAAGAATAATAAAAAGAATAAGAGAATTCCGAAAAGAATAAAAGAATGACAGAAAGAATAAAAGAATGACAAAAAGACTAAAAGAATGAAGAATAGAATAAGTGGAAAAAGGGGTCAATGAGAATGATCTTGGAATTAGGAGTTTCAGTGGGGAGTTCGTTTCAAAAAGGTTCTGTGGAACCAGGAAATAAAAGGTACATGCCGTTTGTCGCTGGAAAACGCAAATATTTTCTCTCTTTTGCTGACCATTTATTAGTTATATAAAAACCAAGAAAATATATTTGAAATCAATTCCTTTTACTCATTCTACATTCATTTCATTTTTTCCTTGCAAATGATGGCAACTCATCATTTACATGTGGAAAGTTTGGTTACTATTGCTTTTAGTTGGATCAGAATTATTCGTAACAGATAGAATCCTGCAATGTCAATGGTCTTGATCTCGGCTTCAGTCGTTCTCCAACCGCCGTAATGTAGCTTCCTTGTGCATTTTCCATAAATATTTTCATGGTAATTATTCTGATAAACTTTCTTCTTTTGTACCTACACTATGAATTTATGAGCTGAACTAGATTGGCAGTTAGGTCTCATCATTTTACAGTTGTAATGACTAAAAGCAACCATACGTTCTATGCTAACAGTTTATTTCCCCACACTTCTCACTTGTGTAACTCTCTTCCTGCTTCTTACTTTCTGGTCAGCTTTGAGCTTCAAAAATTTAAATGCAATGTCAATCGTTATCTTCTGTCTTCTTAATTCATCTTTTATTGTTTTCTCTCCTTAATAATGTTTTTCTTTTCTCATATTCTTTCACTTTCAGTAACCACTTGCGTCTTAGTGGCTTTATTGCCTTGCTTAGCGGGAAACGTTTAAAATTTAAATGCAATGTCAATCGTTATCTTCTGTCTTCTTAATTTCTTTTCTTTTATTGTCCTCTTTCCTTAATAATGTTTTGTTTTTGTTTTTTCTCATATACTTTCGCACTCAGTAACCCCTTGCGTCTTAGTGGCTTTATTGCTTTGCTTGGAGAGAAAAGATTAAAATTTAAATGTAATGTCAATCGTCATCTTCTGTCTTCTTAATTCTTGTTCTTTTATTGGTCTCTCTCCTTAATAATGTTTTTTTTTTTCTTTTTCTCATATCCTTTCACACTTAGTAACAATCCCCTTTGCGTTTTATTAGCTTTATTCCCTTGCTTGGAGTGAATAGATTTTTTTTAAAAAAGACTTTTATTTTAAATTGGCATTTTACAGCTAGCAGTTTTGTTTATTTCGGAAATTTTACGATTTTGTTTGGGAGAATTTTCTACATTAGTTTCCCACGTCAAAAAAAAAAATACCCATTTTTCAGCTTTCAAATCGAATATATTAAATTTCACGTGTGGAATTTAACTCACTTAAAACATCTAATTACTTTTTAAGTGGTTAGATTAACGTAGTAGAACATTCAAATCTTCGAAGAAATCAAAATAGCAATTAAGAATCATTCCCAAATTATCTCCAGGGTAAAGTCATTCTTTATTTAATGTTTGTTTTCAAAATCTATACCGTTTCAGTTCAGGGTTGTCCACCTATAAAACTCGTCCACCTAACAAATATATTTTCTTTTCGATCGCCATTTTAATCACAATTCACCTGCGTATAAAACTTTCGATCACCTTGGTTAATTAATCACTTCTGTTAATTTTCCCCTAAAAATCAAGAGCAGTATGGGTTTCTTAGCACATTGTATGATCTTTAATGAACCAGAAGACATGTTACTGCGTTTTCGTTAATGTACAGGGTGGTCCAAAAATCTTGTCACTCCTACATAATATAATTTCCAAATGGCTGATATGAGCTCCTACAGTTTGGAAGAGAGGTAAGGGGTGACAATACTTTCGGGCCACCCTGTAGTATGCTGGATGATAGGGCATTTTAAGCATAATGATGCTGAAAAAAGGTCATGCAAAAATCCTGGTCTACTAGCGAAAATCTGTTCTTTCAGTTTTTTTCTTAAGTGAAAAAGATTTGGGTGCAAAAAATGATCTTTTTTAGTGTAGAAAACCTCAAAGTGTGGAGTTATTGATTAATATTGCTGCCTTTGTGTAGTAGAATTTTATGAGGGGATAAAATTCTTGTCATCGTCTCCAGAAATCCTCCTTCACGCCGTCTAACGAGTCGTACAGCCAAATATCCGGCCACGCCCGGCGCCTGTATAGATCCAGGTCGGTCGAGAAGTCAGCGATTGGTTGAGGTATGACCAAAGATTTGCATGACGTTCTCATATACAGTGTAACCCGGATATAAGAGACCCGGATATAAGAGAAACCCGGATATAAGAGAGATTTTTCTCTGGTCCCAAATTAGAGCCTGTGTTAATGTATATAAAATAGACCAAACCCGGATATAAGAGAAACCCGGATATAAGAGACTTCTTCTCCGGTCCCGACAACTCTCTTATATCCGGGTTACACTGTATAAAGTTGGTTCGTTCGTTTTCGACGTAGGGCACACGTGACACGCTGTCGCTTGTTTTGACAAGGTAAGTCGCCATTTTCTTCGCTACACTTTGGCTTGAATAATTGCCTGCATTCAAGGTGGCCATTGACAAGAACAAAGGTCCAGATTTTCTCATTCGGTGTTTTTTTCGCATTCTTCTTGGCCGTAAACCCAAAGCTCTTCGTGGCGAACGCACGTCAGTACAGACGCAAAAGAGGTTCGGTTCGCATGCGGACATGTCTGTCAAAAATCAGTTACATCCGGGATTTCCCCATCAGCAGCGGAAGAGCTTGACATGTTCAGATACGGGCCTCTCTGCAACCTGTCTTGATCCGGGTTTCTATCAGCTGTCTCATGTCAATAAAAGCGACGGGAAAAACCAGCAGTCAACGAAACTCGGTGTCTTGTGAAGTCGTTCCCGTGTACAGTTTGTTCCTCAAGTTGTGTGCCGCGATTTCTGATTCTGTCTTGTTTTTGTTTCCTCCTGTCTTTTTCTCTTCCTCTTACTCCGGTAGTTCTTTGGAGAGCGATCAGTTAGGTGTTTTCACCAGCCTCAATATACCCTTGCAGTATTTTAGAATACTCTGGGAGATTGTGCTTTTCGTTGGAGCACTTCTTTCTTCAATTCCCACCAAAGTTTTCTTCTTTTTTTTTTCAATTATATTCAAATCGGCACTTTGGGCTAACCAGTCTTCCAAAAATAAAACACCTTCATCCACAGTACGTCTTTCTGTCGAACGTGATATGTGGCAAAGAGCTCCGCCATGATGAAAGACTTCTCTATTTTTGTCGTTTGGCAGAAGATTAGACCGTAGTAAGCTAACATAGTTTTTACTGTTTATGTCTTAGTAATTTTCCTCTAACATTACATTTGATGCAACCCCCACGCCACTGCGTATCCACCACCAAATTTTACCGCGCCGTCTTTTATAGTTTGCCTTTTATTCTTTGTTCTCCCTCTTGTCTCCTTACATATTCTCTTCTATTAAAAAGGAACTATTTAACATTCATCATTAAAAATTACTTTTTGCCAATTTCCATCACTCTATTTTCGATGTCCTTTTGACAACTTCAAATTTCCATTCCGATTTATTTTGATTTTTGTTTTTTATATTTTCTTTTCACTGCTCTACGCAAGTTCAATTTGTTGTTTTTTTTTCCATAACACTCTAGCATAGAAACCCCACAGTTAAATCTGCATTTAGTTCTCATTTGTCTGGCTGTTAATTTTGGATTACCTACCAAGACACTGACAGTCTTTCTTCCATATTTCTTGTCTATACCTTGTCTGAAATTATTAAGCAAATCTATATTAATTCAAATTTTTTTCAAAAAAAATTGTCAAATTTTAAACAATGAATTTAGATGTCAAATCAAAGATAGTTAAAATTTTTAGGGATTTTTATTGAATTTATTGAGGTTATTTGATTTATTCTAAAAAAAAACTGTCGTCTGAAGCTATTAGGCAAAGCCAAATAATCACATTTTACTTCTTCAATAAAAAGCTAATAAAATCATCAAAAAATTATCAACACCTATAATAGGACAGATAACAAACACACATGATAATTCTTTGAATCCTATTATATTTCAATATAGTGACTCCGCTTCTCAATAACAGACAGTAATCTATTATCCATTGATTGTGTTATTTTTTTTTTTTTTACTTCATTAGGTTCAGTTTTTGACAGGGTAGTTTTAATTTCTTCCCCTAGGTTTGCTTTGCAGTTATATTGTTCGCCACCTTCATATAATTTCATCTTCACAATTGACCATATATCTTTGATCGGATTTAGATCAGGACTTGATGGTGGCCATTTCATTATCTTCTCTCCTGTAAATCTGTTATGCCCAAAGAATTCATGTGTAGGCTTAGATACAAGAGAAGGAGCATTGCCATGCAAAAATACACATTTCACTTTGAAACTGCGAGACTGGGACTTGTATCATGCAAAGAAAGTCTTGTCCATAAAATCATAATAGTTAGTACTGTTCAGTTTAACTCCTTCATCGACTTTGAATGGTCCAATAATGGTTTGGTTGACAATTCCAAGCCATATCATAACACTACCGCCTCCTTGTTGCTTTCGTTTAGACACAGGCAAATCTGAATTGGATAAAATCCATCCTTTGGCCCATGCATCAGGTCCATCAAATGTCACTCTAGATTCGTCCATGAAAATTACTTTAGAAAAGTCAATTTTCATGTATATCTTGGCCCAATTTTGACGCTTTAAAATATTTGCTTTAGTGAGAGGAGTTTGCCTAGATTTTTTTTTACAGACCCCAATTCACAACGTATTCTAAACCTTTTGTCCTTTTTGACTCCATCAATTCCAACCTTTTCAAAAATCTGAGCGCTGGTCAAAAGTGGTTGTCTCGATATAATTCGCTTTACATTTCGTTCATCTGGAGGAAACGAATTCTTAAAGCTTTTTTCTTTTGCTTCGAGTTCTCAACTTTCTTTATCGTTCGATCACTGCAAAGCACCTTTGATATCTCCAATGTGGACATTCCCTCACTCAATGATTGTTATTTTCTGTTTTTCAGCAGTTGTTAGTTCATTAGTTCAAAAATACAACATCTCATAAGACCAGGGAAAATTTCTGACAAATACAAAGAACAGATTCCAGTCTTTATGGAATAACGAAAATAACAAGAAAATATAGAAATAGCCAATTGATAAATAAAATTAATGAAGCAACAAATATACCCAAATTACAAAGGGAGGTAACTCAATGTCGACATTAGAAGGGTAAACATCCTAATATATTTGTGTTTGTCTCTTCCTTTGAAAGACCGTTACGCCCTGACAATACCGCGTAAATAAAGGACAATTCCGTTTTGCTCAAGTGGATAAAAAGGAAAAAGACACTACTTGGTTTTAGTGAAAAAATAAAAGAAAAAAAGGAAAGATAGAAGAGTTTGAAAGTATGTCTCCTGTCAATATCTCATAAATAATAGGCTACTTCGTTTTGATCGCGTGCAAAAGGTGTGTGTGTGTGTGTGGTGGGGAGACACTACTTGGTTTCAGTGAAAATTTAATGGGAAAAAATAAGGGGAGATACAAGTGTTTAACATCTGTTTCAGGGAAATGGGAAAAGTTGTGAATTTCAAATCTTTTCATTTATACCCACTTCTTAAAATAACGATCATCTTTCATATTTATAAGTTTTATTGTAATGTTTTCTTAAAGTTGTTAAACTCAAATATTTAACGATGTGAGAATTTCTACGGATATTTTATTGTAGAACTCCCGATGAGCTTATCCAATCATTAACTGAAGAATTAAGGTTTATCAAAAAATTCAAATAGGAAAGCCGTAAAATTTTCACAGGTATCTCTAGTCCTATTATAATTGTACTTGTCATAAGAAGATCAGAGAGAATATCATCGAATTTCAAAATAAAATATCAAAAACGGATTCCAGGTGTGGGTTACCAAACTTGGATTCGTCAAAAACGCCCGTAAAGCGGCGCTATTTAAATCTATAAAAAGGCAAACATTTCCTTCTCTTTCTCTCTCTTTTTTTTTCATCTTGCTTCCAGATGTAGATGAATGTAGATAAAGAACGTTGCCGCGATGTCGTATTTGTTTCCTTGGTTAATTTTTACCTTTTCTTCCAAAATGAACTCTCGACAATTTCTGACGGAATTTCCTCCTTGTTTGAAGAGGATTATTCGTAATTGATTGAAAAAGACCATCATTAAAATTTTCAATAGTATTTGTCTTAAAGAACATTTTTTGCCTCACGATACATAACGATAATTATAAATTAAGTGAGCGTTTGAAGTAATATTGAAATCAAATCGAAATATAAAGAACGAAGGGAGATAACTCAGTCAACATGAGAAGTGATTGGAAAAAAGAGAAATTAGAAATACTGAGAAAATTCGATAAAAGAGGAATACATGAAAAAGAAGAAAAAACTCTAAAAACATAACAAAAACAAAATTTTATTGTCAAAATCTTTGTTATTATTAAGAGGAAAGATTAAAGAATTTTTTAGATTTATTTTAAACTAAAAGTAATATGAATGTGACGATAAACATGAGGGCAACAGTCCGAAAAATGTAAATAGTTACAATATCTCATCTCAAAAATATAGACATATCGTGAAGAAGGCCGGAGCTTACAACGGCTGAAACGTCGTGTATATGACAATGAAGATGAGGGCAACAGTCTGAACAATGTACAATACCTCATCTCAGAAACGTAAACAGATAACAAATCAACTGATAAAAAAAAAAATTATAACAAACCACTTCGTTTAACATTAGTCAAATATGAAAGGGCATTGACAAAAATAGGAAAGGTCATCAGAAAAATTACCTTGAAAATATTTATAGAAAAAGCACAGGGAAGCTACGGTACGGCGGTGGGGAAATGACAGAAGGTGAGATGCCAGGTTAGGACCAATAACATTGCAGATTCTGCTTTATATTTTATCAATAATCTCTAATACAAAGCAGAAGCACCAGAAATATTCAATCCTTGGATTAATGGTAGACTTATGTGTAAGACAGATTAGGATTGTGAACAGATATATGAACAGACTGCAATAGACAGATATAAATAGATTAAGAAATATGGACTTGTTAAACACAGGTTAATCAGAAATTTGCTCAATTTAATTTGGCACAAGTCAACAAGTATACAGCATCCTGTATAGATTCAATTCACTGCAGTGATAATTATTTGCAAAACATTTAGGTTCTAATTTCGCGAACTAACATTATAATGCAAGGGAGATAACTCCAAACAGTAAAAAAAAAATCTTTCGTCCAAACTCGACCTATACCGAGATTATCTCCAATAAGATAATACATAGTACCTATTGATAGTGTTAGTTGCTGACTGGGCGTTCAAATAACTTTCTCCTATGCCAGACTTAACTGAAAAACAACTCAGCTCTAAATTAACACTTACCTTCATCTGTGCCTTGTATGTCAAATTCTTTGAGGAGGAATTGATTATTTTCTGATAAAACTTTAGTCAAAAATTCATCCAGCTGAGAAGAATTCTCTGAAGTTTGCCAGGCACTCTGCAAAAGTTGGAAAATAATAATTCCAGTTGTAGTTGGAATCCTCGAATTGATTGGAAAAGATTCCGATAGACTAACTGAAGGGATCCTTGGTAAAAAGAAATACAGAAAATTGTACTTAAAGTACAGCTAACAGCTTTTTGAATGCCATTATCTTCATATAATGTGTGTAATCTTAGGTTGACTCCCTTTTTTCTTTTCTTTTTTTTTTTTTTTTCTTTTTTCAATAAAAATGCTCCGTCCTGACACTTATTTGGATCCGGAATATTGTGTTAGCCCAAAATGCAGATTCTGTGATAAATATCCAGAAACGATTGATCATCTTGTATCAGGTTGCACGATATTGGCACCCACTGAGTATAAAATCCGGTATGACAGAGTGGGCCAATATCTACACTGGAAAATTTTTTTCTATAAAAATCTAAAATTTTCGGTAACCCCTTCTATAAAAATATAAAATTTTCCATAACACCTTCTATAAAAATTTAAAATTTTCGATAACCCCTTCTATAAAAATCTAAAATTTTCGATAACACCTTCTATAAAAATCTAAAATTTTCCATAACACCTTCTATAAAAATTTAAAATTTTCCATAACCCCTTCTATAAAAATTTAAAATTTTCCATAACCCCTTCTATAAAAATTTAAAATTTTCGATAACCCCTTCTATAAAAATCTAAAATTTTCCATAACCCCTTCTATAAAAATTTAAAATTTTCCATAACCCCTTCTATAAAAATTTAAAATTTTCCATAACCCCTTCTATAAAAATTTAAAATTTTCCATAACCCCTTCTATAAAAAATTTAAAATTTTCCATAACCCCTTCTATAGAAAATTTAAAATTTTCCATAACCCTTCTATAAAAATTTAAATTTTCCATAAGAATTCTATAAAAATTTTAAATTTTCCATAAGACATTCTATAAAAATTTTAAATTTTCCATAACCCATTCTATAGAAAATTTAAAATTTTCCATAACCCATTCTATAAAAATTTAAAATTTTACATAACCCCTTCTATAAAAATTTAAAATTTTCCATAAACCCTTCTATGAAAATTTAAAATTTTACATAACCCCTTCTATAGAAAATTTAAAATTTTACATAACCCCTTCTATAGAAAATTTAAAATTTTACATAACCTTCTAGAAAATTTAAAATTTTCCATAACCCTTCTAAAAAATTTAAAATTTTCCATAACCCTTCTATAAAAAAATTTTTAACCCTTCTATAAAAATTTTTTCGATAACCCTTCTATAAAAATTTAAAATTTTCGATAACCCTTCTATAAAATCTAAAATTTTCCATAACAAATTTTTTAAAATTTAAAATTTTCCATAAACCCTTCTATAGAAAATTTAAATTTTCCATAACCTTCTATGAAAATTTACAATTTTCCATAACCCCTTCTATAGAAAATTTAAAATTTTCCATAACCCCTTCTATAAAAATTTAAAATTTTCCATAACCCCTTCTATAGAAAATTTAAAATTTTCCATAACCCCTTCTATAAAAATTTAAAATTTTCCATAACCCTTCTATAAAAATTTAAAATTTTCCATAACCCCTTCTATAGAAAATTTAAAATTTTCCATAACCCCTTCTATAAAAATTTAAAATTTTCCATAACCCCTTCTATAGAAAATTTAAAATTTTCCATAACCCCTTCTATAGAAAATTTAAAATTTTCCATAACCCCTTCTATAGAAAAAAAAATTTAAAATTTTCCATAACCCTTCTATAAAAATTTAAAATTTTCCATAACCCCTTCTATAGAAAATTTAAAATTTTCCATAACCCCTTCTATAGAAAATTTAAAATTTTACCTAACCATCTCTATAAAGTTAAAATTTTAGGTAACGCTCCGTTTAAAAATTTTAAATTTTTGGTGAGCTCCTCTCTAAAAATTTTAAATTTTAGGTACCCCACTCATCTCTAAAAATCTTAAATCTTATATATACCCCTTCTCTAAAAAGTTAAAATTTTAGTTAATTTTTTTTTTTAATAAAATTTATTTAAAACCCTCTTTAAAAATTTAAAATTTTAGGTAGCGCCCACTCTAAAAACTTTAAATTCTAGTTCGTCCTCTTTTTTGTGTTTCTCCTGTTCTCTCCCTCAATGTCTGAGAGAACCTCTTTTTATGCACCACAATATTTAACCAAGTATAGAAATGAATACAATATGGGAGCCAGTAATAAGGAGTGCCATAGAAAAGCGATAATAACAACGAAAATTGCAATATGAGCTCTGGTAAAAACATGAAAATGATAACAGCAAAAATTGCAATATAAGCACTGGTAAAACATGATTGCTGAAGACACTAGGTTTATAATTCCAAGATATTCATGCACAGATGTCCTCATGGCACAGTGGATAAAAGCGTTAGTTAGATCCAGTGACATGGGCCCAATACCCGGTTAAGGCAGGGGAGAACTTTCAGAGGGGAATTAACAGGAGATAACTAACATCCATAAAACATGGCACGTGGAACTAGAGCAGTCTACCCCAGTGAGCGAAATAAAGGGCCCAGTTCGATATTCCAACCACCTGAAGAAGGCCGAAACGTTGTAATAAATATGGCGACAAAGATGAGGACAATAATGTACACAATATTCCCCTCCCACCAACTTTTGGGGGAAGTTGTTGAAAACGAATTTTTTTTTTTCTTTACATATCATGGAACGCCACAATTGTTATTCTTCACTACCATTTGTGAATCCAGACACGTCATTCTCTCCTTCCAAGTCTTAATCTGTCAGATTCGTCATCAAAATTAGTGTCAACATACTTGAAATTTGGAATTATTTTCACATCGTTTACATGTCGAGTGTACACGCCAGATTTTGTACAGTCAGTAACAGTGTAAGAAAATTGTGTTGAAAAATTTATTCTGTTCCCCCACCCACGTAAGTGCACATGGTCCCCTTGCAAAATATCACACTGTTTTGCTTTATTTTTTATTAAAGTATTGTCTTGACTAATACCTGCATTTAACATCAGCATCTTTTGCCTATGTTAATTTTTAACAATCTCATTAGTAATGGAAGGAATCTTGTCTTGCAGAAGTCGACCAAAATGTAGTTTAGTTGGAGACACCTGAGTAGATATGAGCGGCTTATTACGATATGCAAGTAAAAATTGGAATATTCTAACACTTTCGCCCCGGCCCCTCAACCTCCGGCGTCTTACTCTCTGGGTTGAGGTGTCTACTCGGTCCTAACCGAACTTAAGGGAGTAGTTCATAGGTCCCCTGAGCATCCGTAGATTATCCGACCGGTCTGCTGGTTTAATCCTGCTTCCTGTCCACGTTGTGATCTATTTGATCAAGAAAGCAATTATGTCCGTCCATTCACGGTCGACTGAAGATGTAGACACGGCTGGGGAGTCTGCGCTAAGAATTTTAGAATGCAGTAAAAAAAAAAATTAATATCTGCAGAAAGCCGGACAAACATCGATTCAGTGGTTGAATTGTTAATGTCTTTTATATGGCAGAAAAGATTCCGTGCGGGGCTTAAAGTTATAGTGGCGTTCCTCCTCCCAACGCTCGCCCGGACCAATTCTCTCTTCAAGAATTTTCCTCCCGTCTGTGTTTTTCAGCATAACTACACGTTTATATAGATAAAACAGGCTGGTTATGACTGACCCTCGGCACGCGATTATCACGGGGTTCTGGCTGCTTCAACCAAAATCATGTGAATTCCAAAGTTCCTTCTAGCTTACTCAGCTCTATTTCAATTTTTAATCAATAAAAATTATTTTCGACCATTTTCATTGTCTTCTGATGACCCAGATTCAATGGGTACAACTTCTGCCTTAGATCAGATTTCCCAATCAGTAAACAAAATGCTCAGATTTAATTTCGCTATTCAAATCTACTCCAATTTAAAAAAAAAAATCTATACGCGTGTGTGTGCGTGTGTGTGTGTATGTGTGTGCTTGCGTGCGTGCGTATGTGTGTGTGCGTGCGTCTGAATGTGCGTGTGTGTGTGTGCGCGTGCGTGTGTGTGTGTGTGTGTGCGCGCGCGTGCGTGCGTGCGTGCGTGTGTGTGTGTGTGTGTTTCCCAGACTCTCTCTCTGTGTCACAATATTTGTGTTCTCCGGCCTCATCCTTCGTAATGCGATAATTTAATGGCTTTACCGAATGTTCTATAAAATCTTTTTATCTCAGAATTTCCTTTAGGGTGGTAGGGTATCCAATGGTTGTAATGAATACCATCTCACTCACAAAATTGGTTTAAGTTTTGGGCATTATCTGTAACAAGAGTTAATTAAGCAAAAAAAAAAACAAAAAACAAACGTTATTAAATTTACTAAATTTTAAATACTGAGGATGGCCCCGAAACATTTGGCCTAGTGTGTGTGTGTGTGTGTGTGTTTCTCTATCTGGCTGTTAGTCGAGTACTGCGCTTAAATTCGTCACATTGAGGTGCCAAAGAAAATTACGACGAAAATTAAAATAGTAAAGGGGGTGGGGAAAGAAGAGCTACATTCGGGTTGTGGGAAAGTGACTAAAACCGATATACCAAGCCAGGGCCAATAATATTGCAGATTTTTCTTTAGACTAAAATGAAGAAGATCATTTTACATACCAGATCAATATCACTATAGACATCATCTACAGCAGATTGAGATTGTCGTTTTACGCGAATCATTGCTGCAGACATCAGGGGCCCATAATGTCCTTTCCAGTATTTGTCATCTTTACCTGTGAAACAAAAGAAAAACAAATAAACAAATTAGATAATTCGGTCAGAACCGTTACCCTTCAAAAAATATTATTTATCCAGACCGGAATAAAAAAAAAAAATTGATGTTCAAATCTTAGAATATGGAAGCTTAAAAGGATAAAAGTAGATTAAGTTGCCTTTTCTTATTCCAGCGACTACCAAAACTGTTCTTCTTAGGAAATCGCTCCCCTCCCCCTCTAAATGAACTTGCAGAGTTACTTTTTCTCTCGCGCACTTTAACCTTATTTTTGTTGATGTATTTTCTTTAACGAAAATAAACTTGGCAATATTTATTTTTTTACTCAAATCTTCGTTTTGTTTATTGTTTTCCGTCATTCAATATTTGTTTGTGGATCAATGGGACACCCGCTACCATTTTAAAAAGGACTTGGGGTCACATCTTGTCTCAGTGGCTCAAATGACTACGATCAAAGTGTAGTATCTGTTCCAACAGCTGGCCTATGGTTCCAGCAATTCCTTCAAGCCAGCCATTATCATCTGCAACTCCAGCTTGTCTGCCACTCCAGCCAACCTCCATCTCCAGCAATCATCAACAGCAGCAATGATATGCAATAAAATGTCCTTTTTGGGACAATGCTCTCCAGTGACTACAAAACTGTCCTTTTCAGGACAACACTCTTCAGTGACTACAACAATGTCCTTCTCAGAACAACTCTCTTCTCGGCCTCTATATAAACAAAAAGAGATAGTTTTTGCCTAGTGCAATGTAACCTTATTTTTATCAATGTATTTTATTTAACAAAAATAAACTTGGCAATATATATTTTTCGTTTTGCTTGTTGTCTTCTATCATTCCCTATGTGTGGATCAATAGGCCACCCGCAACAGTACTAGTTTAATCAAGATCTCTTTCATTTCACCAGACATGTCGGCTGGATGGGAACATTAAGAAAGCAAAACCCAAAATAAAAAAGTCGTCTTCTGCGTAGGGTCTCCGAGCATCACATCCGGTCCACGGAACAAATCTGTGCAAAAATCCGAAATACAATAGCCAATCACGAATGTTGCCGCCAAAAAAGAAAAAAAAAATGACAAGCCTGTGACTCAGCAGCTGTTAAACCACAGGTATAAAAATGGCACATCTCACCGACAACAGGCAGTTTGGCTCAACAATCCGACCTCATTACAAGAGTTTCAGTTCATCTATACACCTCACCAGTGTCGATTTCAACCCTGAAGGTAAATAGATCAAACCCACCAATGACACCCCAATCTTACTAACACGTGGCTTCACTAATCCACTACAGGGCTCTCTCATCATCAGAGACGAGACGCGTTAAATTTGGGCAACATCTAGCCGACACACTGGGGTTAAAAATAGGAAACTGAAATGATACATATGACACACTCATATCCTCTCTCCCACCTCACTTCCTCACTTCGTTAACTTTGCGTATACTTGATGAGGTCCGTCAAAAACGTGTGAATTTCTTTTCATTTTTCATTTCAGCTTTTGGAAGTAAAGTCTGATGATCCAGAACCCTGTTAAAGGGGTTATGGTGAAATAGCTTATTACATGGAATCTTAATGTGGTCTGTTTTTTATTCAAACATATCTGCTCTGAATTTCACATTGAGCTCTCTGGATATCATCCTCCTCGGGTCTACCCATATGGATTACCTAAATTTGCATAAACTATATATATATATATATATATATATATTATGAAATGGACAAAGTCTGACAATTAAGACATTTTTTATGTTTATTCGTTCTTTTTATAGATACAAATAATTAAATGCTGTGTTTATAATAAACAGTATTACCGACATTTACCGGCCTGAATGTCCGAGAAATTCTCATAGAAAATAGGCGTCTTAAAATAATTGTCGGACTTTTTCCATTTCATAATGTGTGACGTCTTTTGTTTACATTTGGATACGCATCGAGCAGATATGAATGTACGAGAGAAAATCATGGAGAATTATAGTTTAAAAACAGTAAAATCGACCTTGCTAACCGAAACGCTCCTCTGTGGCGAAATCGATAAAAGCACGTCAGGCTATATGACGGTTCCGTATAGGATACAGGTTCGATTCCTGTCGGAAGACGCATATTTTCTATGAGAATTTCTCGGACACTCATGCCGGTAAATGTTGTTAATACTGCTTATTATAAACAGAACCTTTATTTAAATATTTGTATCTATAAAACGAACGTATAAACATAAAAAATGTCTTGAAATACATATAATGTTTTTGTACTTTATTAGTGAAAATACCAAACAAAAATCAAAACTCTCATGGCTGGGACCCTAACAGGAGTTACCACCCCGGGTCAAAGTGGACCTGGTTTGTTTTGGTTTGGTTTCCGACGTATCTCAATGAGCTATTTAATGCTGGCATTTCTGTGAGATCAAAGGTTCAAGTGTTTTCTATTTTTATTGTTTGAATTGAAAAATGAATTAACCTACTCTTTAAATTTTTATTTGTTTCTGATTTTGTTTTTTCCTTTTATTATTTTTTTTACAATATCTGCCTATATTTCTGAGAGGAGGTATTGTCACTATTTACACTATTTACATCTTTCAGACGGTTGTCCTTATCTTTATTGCCATATATTCACGACATTTCGGTCGTTGTATGATGCGACCTCCTTCAGGATCTGTCTATATTTCTGTGATGAGGCATTGTAACTATTTACAAGGTTCAGACGGTTGTCCTTATCTTTATTGCCATATATTCAAGACATTTCGGTCGTTGTAATCTCCGGTGTTCTTCTGGTGATATTTCTTGCAGTTTCGAACCAAACCCTTTATTTAGTCCACGGGGGTACGTTGTTCTAATTCCATCCCTTTTTTTTTTTTTGGGGGGCTTATCTTGTTAATTTGTTAAGTGGCTCAGGTGTGTATTTGCTACCCAGCCCAAGTATTAATCAGTGTATTTCAGTGTATTTCCCTTTCGGTTAATTCTCTTTTCGTAACTCAATTCTCCAGGTTTTGCCCCCCTCTGCTATGGCCAGGGATTGAACTCATAGCTCTTTGGGTCAAGTCACTAGGAGAGTTGAGCTACTAAAAGGGTATTAACTAATACTAAGATATCCCCAAAAAGGCATTTCATTGAGCATTCATTAGACATTCATTAAGCATTTATTAGGTATTCATTGGGCATTTCATTGGGCATTAATTAGGCATTCACAGGACATTCATTAGACATTATTTAAGCATTCATTTGGCATTTATTAGGTATTCATTAGGTATTCATTGATCAAACAATTAATGTTACGGCAGTTGAAATTTATAAAAATCTTCTTTGAACTGTTTTTCAGGAAAATTAGACATCTTAAGTCCACTGTTATCACTCTTTCTAGTATTGATGGGAGTTTCTTTCCAAACCTTTTGTTTAAGGTTGTGTTGAACGGGATATAGTTGAGTAAAATATAAAAAAGGGATTTAGTTGAGGGCAAGTAAAATTGATATTCATTTATTCTTTCTTCGTGTGATTTTAATGGATAGATAATAAACAAGTGTGACAAACAAAATTAGTCCAAAATAAATCATTTTAAAAAAAATTTTCATAAAGATTTCCAAAAAACAATGAATTAAAAATATCTTTAATTCATTCAGAAAGAAAGAAAAATAGGAAATCTAGAATAGAAGACAAATATTGGGGAAGAATTAAAAAGCAAATTTCAAATTTGCTGGAAATCCCAAAATTTCGAATTACCTGATGATTCCAAACTGACACACCTGACTCCAGGACCATAATCGGAAAATATCACACTCGCTTCCATCCATTTGTTATCTTGATAGATTTTACCAATTTCTCCACTTGTATATTTTTTGATTACCTGTAAACAAAAATATTATATATTATTGTTAAACGTTATTTATGTAGACACAAATATTTAAGTAAATGCTCTGTTTATAATAAACAGCATTAACAACATTTACCAACCTGGATGTCCGGGAAATTTTCATAAAAAATAATCGTCCTCCGACAGGAATCGACCCTGTATTCTACACGGAACCGTCATTTGACCTGACGTGCTATACCATTTAGCTTCAAAGGAAGCATCTTATTAGCAAGGTCGATTTTATTGCTTTTAACCAGTCTCTTCTTTGCCAGCGTTTGCCAAAATCAATGAAGAACTTGCTGAAATGTCTACCAGAAGCCTTTAAACCTACAATTCAATTGACATCCTTGCCGTAAACTCTAAACTCTTTGAACCCGACCGGTCTACGCCCCATGCATTTCGCCTCAAAATCGGAGCCCCAGTAATAGTGCTGAGGAACCTGGAACTACCAAGGCTCTGCAATGGAATCCACCTTGTAGTTAAGAATCTGCTGCCATATGTTATTGAAGCTATTATTCTCACAGGATGTGGTATGAGAAGGATGTATTAATACCCAGGATTTCACTCCATCAGATGCGGAAATCCTCTTTGCTTTGAGCAGACATCAATTTCCAATAAGACTTTGTTTCGCAATGTCAATCAACAAGTCTCAAGAAGAAACGCTCTCCACAGCAGGTCTATATTTAGGTAAGCCATGACTCTCGCATGGACAGCTATAGGTTGGTTCTTCTAGAGCGAAAAGCAAAATAAATTTATTCGCTTTCACTTTAAATGGAAAAACTAAAAATATTATCTATAGAGAAGTGTTGTAGGCTCTTCATATGTCCGCCCGTAGTCAGAAATTCTGTAACACTTTAGTTCTTCCCGGTTGATCCTGTTTCCACGCACGATTTAAGTGAGGGATGCACATCACGTACAGTGGCGTAGGTAGGGGGGACGGACGCCCCGGGTGCCAGCACAGGAGGGGGTGACACAATGTCACGCCCAACAAAATTTTTCAACCAGGTTAAGGTGCCAAAAATAGTCTGAAAACTGTGGTGGAGACACAGGATTTCGCAGTCTGGCATATGACCCCCAGAAATAATTTATGACCCCCCCAGTTTTGTCCCCCTGTCAGAAATTTTCTAATAAATTGTCGGAAATTTGTGAGTAGGAAAAATAGCAATGTTTTCAGCTTTTGATTTGAACTGATTATTTTGTGGTATTGGATTTTGTCTTGGATCATACAAGTAAACAGTAACGTACCGGTCAGTAGAGTAAAGTAGAGGTAGAGCATGTATGAAAATTTAGCTACAGCTAACCATTCAGCATAGGGTGAATCGGGGTCATTGGGGTGACATTTGAGCGGACCGCCCCGGATGACGTTTACTCTAGCTACGCCACTGATCACGTATTTTGCCTTTGTGCAACTGTTACTGGCTGTGTCTATTTCTTTTTTGTCAGTATTAGATTCCGCGTCGATTTCACTAGAAATGGACGCGGAATGTCCATGTCTTCAGTATACTACCGTCTCTTGTTGTGCATAAACGAAAAAAAAGCCCTTTTTAGGGTTACAACTTCTAAACTGTAACACTTTAAGGGGACATATTCCAGCCCTTTTTAGTACTACCACAGTTTCATTGCTAAACTCTCAGATAACGTTATCAAGACCATTTTAGAGCTACCACTAATTTTTACACTTTCAGTGAACAGCCTTTTTCAGGGTTTTCTTTTTAAAATGCCACTTCTTATGAGCAACGCTGGGCATCTCTGCTAGCATATATATATATATATATATATATATATATATATATATATATATGATAAAAATATAGCTGTGTGGTATGCTATATTCATGAATAAAGTGCTGAATATCAGAGAAAGAGTGTATGTAAATATAAAAGTGGACACTGAGTTCAACACCGACCATTGAAAAGACTATAAATTCAAAATGATTTAGCTTGAGAAAATAAAATCTTCATCAACAAAAATGTCAATTGTTATTCTCTTTTTTCTTAATTCCTATTCTTTAATTGTTCTCTCTCTTTGGTAATGTTTTACTTTTTCTCATATTCTTTCACACTCAATAACCCCTTGCGTCTTAGTGGCTTCATTGCTTTGCTTGGAGAGAAACGATTAAAATTTAAATGCAATGTCAATCGTTATCTTCTGTCTTCTTAATTCTTCTTCCTTTATTGTTCTCCCTCCTTAATAATGTTTTTTTCTTTTTCTCATATTCTTTCACACTCGGTAACCTCTTGCATTTTACTGGCTTTATGGCTTCGGTTGGGGTGAAATGATTAAAAAAAAACGTGGATGAACCTTACTGTACTCTTAAAATGTCAAATCTGCTTTATCGTATACTAGCAAAGCAAAGTTAATATGACAAAATTACAATTCCACTAGCTATCAAGATTTTATAAATTTACCATGAAAGTTTCTGAAGTCAGTGTACTTTCAATATATTTCATTCTGATATACACATTTGTATATCATATCTTCCCTATAAGTGTCTAATTTCAGTAATAGTGAGAACGATACAAAAGCATAATCTAAAGTAAAACTTGAACCTGTATTCTAATTTTTATGCTACTATTTTGTGTATGAATTCAATTCAGTTTTGATGATTTTTACCCCCTTAACCTTAATTAGCTGCTTTTTGTCTTTCTAGATCTTTTTCTTGTGTAATCGATAATCGAGAAATGATTTCTGTCTGACAATGTAGCAGATGGAAAGAATTAATTCGCAGAAAAAACATTGGCCAATGTTGCAAAATATACGAACCGTTCCATTTTCGTCCATTAGTGTAGCTGTCATACTGTAGTAACCCCCACCGCAGACTCCCTCACGATACCATTCACTGACCTGAATAAAATACAGAACAAAATTCTATCTTTGCCAATGAACATTACAAAAATGAAAAGAAGAAACATTTGTGTTTATACTATTTACATTGTTCGGAGTGTTGTCCGCGTCTTAGTTGCCATATTCACGACGTTTCGGTCGTTGTACGATCCGGCCTTCTTCAGGATCTGTCTATATTTCTGAGATGAAGTATTGTAACTATTTATACTATTTACATTGTTCAGACTCCTGTCCTCATCTTTATTGTCACATTAAAATTTTTTGGTATATCTAGTCCGTATGAATTCTTCAGTTTATATTACTCAGATGAGGTATTTTAACTATTTACAGGCTGTGGGATCGATACGAACCCGATATATCAAAAATATAGCCGCTATCCATTACTCCATTGTGGCTATTTATATATATATATATATATATATATATATATATATATATATATATATATATATATATATGTAATCTTTTCGGAATGATTGTAATATTGCCCGTTATTGGGTAAAAAACAAAGTTTGGGCGTGTTTTAATATCGTTTGTATGTGGCTATGTAACTGAGTCGAAAATAAGGCTTATTTTCCATAAACACGAGACAACCATATAAATAAGACTTTCATGTATATAATAAATGCCAATGTCAGTGTGTCACTGTGTCACACTTTTTAATTAAAGGGACACAACTCTCTAACTTTAAATAGCTCATTTTACACAAATTTTGAATTCCGAAGTTTTCATTTTTTTACGTGATTTTTGAGACTAATTTTTGGGAATAACAGTTTTTATGATTTGAAAATAAATTTGAGAATGATCGAAATTAATTGCGAAATCCAGCGAAAGTCACCCATAAAATAAAAATAATTGTTTGTACGAAAAGTAAGGACCTACGTACATCAAATTGTCTTTAAATTAAGTGGCGTCAGAAGAATAATCGTTGAACTTTTAAAATGTAAGCTTAAATATTAATGCAACACGTAAATGCAGCGATCAACTGAATTCTTCTGTAGTATATTGTTGCTTATTGCATACGGCAGAAGTATGCATCGCAAAAAGAAATCTCTGCCAACAGATGACCAGATTGCAATCAAAAGAGCCAAGGCTGCAGCGAGAAAAACAAAGTCCCGTGCAAATGAAAACCCAGATAAAACAGCAGCCAGAAGAGCTTCCAATGCTGAGAATATGCAAAGACTTAGGGATTCTCAAACTCATGAAGAACCGAAAGCACAATCAAAAACCCTCAACAAGAGCCAACTTAAATTCTGCACGATAGGGGAGGGGGGCTGTTAAGCTAGTATAAAATAAATATCAATAAATTAAATTAAAATGTCAATACATTCATGTTTCAATCCAAAATCTTATTAAAAAAACTATGAGATTATTTATGCATGGATAAAGTATAGAAATATTTAACTATAGACACCACTGTGAATCGATATAAATATAAATCTAAGATAAAGATAAGTTATAAATATAAATTTAAGATATAAATAAGTTATAAATATAGATCTAAGATATAAATAAGTTATAAATATAAATCTAAGATATAAATAAGTTATAAATATATAATGTGTGTATGATATACAAAGGGTGCGGCGGGTAAATTGTCGCCATTTTATATTTTTAATTTCACGCATGCGTGTTGTTTGTTTTTATATTTTGTCGATTGCACAGTATAGTAGGGTCAGTTGGCTACCATCTTTGAGAAAAAGAGCCATGACGCAATTCACTCTGCCAGACATTTTTTAAACAGCACGCTCTACTGCTTGGCATTCGTGTTCGAAACTCCAATGCGGACATTAAAGAGTGTTTGGGTGTCAATCTGAGGACAGTGCAGAGGATTCGGAAAGAGTTGGACGAGTCTAATGGTGATTACGAGGTGTTTCGAGTGATCACTAGTGATGGCGACGTTATGACTCCATTTGTCTTCCCACGGGGCCTCAGACTCAAAACGGAGGCCTACATCAAGTGATTTGAGGAGGTAGTGCTGCCTTTGGGTGAAGAGAGTAAATGCTGGAAGATCCTATGTCTGTTAATAGGACTCTGCACCATACCACACAAGAAGGAGGGCTCAGTCATGGCAGTCAGACAATTTCTGCAACCAAATCATCCCTTACATCTGGCCATATAACTCCACAGACTACAAACCCCTTGATTATTATGTTTGGAGTGCAGTTGAATGAGAGACCAACAAAACTCCTTGTAAGACCAAAGATGAACTGAAAACAAGGATAATGGCAGCACTTTTTGAGTGTTTAGTTTTAAAGATCGTCTGACAAAATGGACAGAAATACCTAATGTCTGCAGGTTTATACTTACAAATTGACTTCAAAATTTTACTATTTCAAGAATAAATCCAAATAATGTTAATATTTTTTGTAATAAATATATTGAATGGAAAATATATTTAAACCAGAATTTTAATTATGAACCACATGCAAAATATGCAAGTTTTTACTGTATTCGATAAGTAAAAACTGTGTAAAAGATTACAAGAATGTCTACTCAATGAATAAGATTTGTTAAATCATTTGTGAGATCATAATTAATAAAAACAAAAAATAGATAAAAGTGTATATAACACTATAATACTGCTTGGGTACAACGACAAAATGTTTTAAATTTGCAATATGAGCACTGTTGAAAATGGTTGCTGAAGACATTATAATTGCCAGAAATCCATACACAAGGACGCATGGCACAGTGGATAAAGGCAGATCCAGTGACAGGACCCAAAGAGTGTGATTTCAATACCCGGTTAAGGCAGTGGAAAACTTGGAGAGGGGGATTAACAGGAGATAACTGATAACTGACATCCATTAAACATGGCACGTGGAACTAGAACAGTCTACCCCATTGAGCGAAATAAAGGGTTAAGTTCGACATTCCAACCACCTGAAGAAAGACGGGAGCGTACAACGGCCAAAACGTTGTAATAAATATGGCGACAAAGATGAGGACAATAGTCCGAATAATGTAAATAATGTACATAATATATTACATCATAATATAGCTAAATTGTTCAGTATAACTTCCCTTTGAAGTAAATAAAGGTCTTATTTGATGGCATAATGATTTCGTAATAATGTGTTTGTGCCATGCATCTTGTCCATCTACAATTTGTAAAGCTTCAATAAATTATAAATTTTCTAAGGCTTTGCTATAAGGATTTTACTGATCACCGGAATAAAATTCCAATCCTACAATTTTGAACCTAAATTTAATCTTTAAAATTGTCTCCTCAAAAACCTGTAAAGATTTGGAAAAAAGTATTTTGTGGCATTATTTAACATGTCAAACTGCAACTTTCAAACTGAGTACAATAACATGCTTCCAAAATCGACCCCTGTCCTAATATAGTCTCATAGTTGGAAAGCAAACGTTCTAACCACATAGCCACGCACCCGTAAACAATGAATATAAAGGCGGATTTTCTCACAAACAAAACTCCCCCCCACAACCTATCGCTAAGCCAACACTCATCATTATTATTGATTTTATATACTATATAAAATCTGACATTGGAATTTCAATTTTAACCAAATTGCAACCAACAAAACATTTTCTTCTTTTCACGTGCTGTGTCCCCTCAAAATGTGGGTGATCATGGCTATCCACAGCTTCCCATCCTTTGTAGCTCTAATCAATATTTTTTTTGCCTTACCATCCCTCTCAGTCCCAGTTCAACTACCCATATAAAAAAAAAACTCATTAGGAAGGTTACTCACTGTAACTCCCTCTTGCCATCAGTATGTCTTGTGAGTGTTAAATTCTCCAAACCCTCTTTCCTCATTATGAAATTTAAAGTCTCTCTTTGTGACTCTAAGTATAAGTGATCTTTTCGTCCACATTTTCCGAGAACAATTTATAAATAACTTATTTCCATTGAACAATTTCGAAGTTGACTAATTACCAACTGAACTCTCAGAACAATTCCTTGTTAATTCTATCACATAAAAGTGTCTGATATGTTTAGAAAATTTTATTTCTATAATAAACAAAATATATTAATGTGAGGTCTTTTGAATGAAGTCTTCAGGTGTTGTATTTACCTGTATTTCTGGCACAGAATCCAGGTATTCAGAAGAGAAATAATCCGTGAGGTCCACTTCCTGCTGTTTCGTGCATTTCATATAAGAAGTCTTGAAAGCTTTTTCAGTGCCGTAACCACCCTCGTGAATTCCCCAGTCACCATAAGGGTTCCAATGAACTAAACTGTTTTGCTGCAATTGATAAAGAATAAACATTCATCCAAATATCGGGCGAAATGGCTCTGAGGGGTAACGTACCCTCATCTTTAAACTGAGAAGGATTTTGAAAAACATGGCATTTGTGATTTGTTGTTCTTCTTATTAAACATGAATTTAACAAAAATAGAATTATCAGGCAATGCACACAGAAAATTTGGCTGAAATTGGTTCTGTGGTTTTTGAAAAGAAAAGTGGGTCTATAACAGGTGGTATTGTCATTTTAAGGTTATCTACGGATATTTTGCTTTTAACATTCAGATTCATATAAACACACTAATATCTATCGAGCTGGTTAGCTACAATATGACAATAAAGTCACTATACAGTTACTTATAATAAAAAAGCAAATAATTGAAGCAGGTGACTTGCAATTTGCAACAGTATCGGTAATTAATTTACTACTGTTTACCATAGCATTTTATTGTTATTAACCAGAATTAACCAGAACCATTTTAATAATAAATTTCTGAATTGTTGATTAATTGCTTTGACTTAATTGTTATTGTAAGTAACTGTATCGTGACTTTTATAGCTACAATATATATATATATATATATAATTGTGTATTTGGTCACAATCCTTCTTTTATACAAGTTTCGTTAAAAACGACTGACAAGGTACTGCGGTTAAAACAAGCTTTTTTTTCTGAATGTCATAGTCTAACTCCCCTTGTTGGCTACCGGGTCATGTAATTTAATAATTGTGTATTTGGACAGCAGATCCTTTTTTTTATACAAGTTTCGTTAAAAACGACTGACAAGGTACTGCGGTTAAAACAAGCTTTTTTTTTCTGAATATCATAGTCTAACTCCCCTTGTTGGCTACCGGGTCATGTAATTTAATAACTGTGTATTTGGACAGCAGATCCTTTTTATTATACAAGTTTCGTTAAAAACGACTGACAAGGTACTGCGGTTAAAACAAGCTTTTTTTCTGAATGTCATAGCCTAACTCCTTGTTGGCTACCGGGTCATGTAATTTAATAAAAACAATCCTTTTTTTTCAAGTTTCGTTAAAAATGACAAATAGTTAAAACAACTTTTTTCTGAATGTCATTGTTAACTCCCTTGTTGGCTACCGGGTCATGTAATTTAATAATTGTGTATTTGGACAGCAGATCCTTTTTTTTATACAAGTTTCGTTAAAAACGACGGGCAGAAATAAATTGTTTTAACCGCAGTACTTGGTCAGTCGTTTTTAACGAAACCTTTATATATATATATATATATATATATATATATATATATATAATAAAAAAAAAAAAAATATATATATATATATCCGAGGTGTATAAAAATATTTTTACAGATATTGGGGCGGGTTCTTCCCACCAAAACAAGGTCAAATGTCCATATAAACATCTGTTCAAAAGACCATCGTTGTACCTCAACATAGCAACTCATGACAAATGTTCAAAATGTCCTCCGCTTACTATCATTGGCTTTGAATTTAACATTTAAGCGCTAAATTCAATGTCCTTATTCTTCGATTGTCACCAATATCTAATAAATTCAATTTATTATCTATCTATCTATCTATCTATCTATCTATCTATCTCATCCTGTTCATTATCTCTCTCTTTGTCTCTACCTCTCTCTCTCTCTCTCTCTCTCTCTATATATATATATATATATATATATATATATATATATATATATATATATATATATATAGCTGTGTAAAAATACTTTTTACAAACATTGGGGGCGGGTTCCTGACGTCAAAACAAGGTAAAATATCCATATAAACATCTGTCGAAAAGGCCATCGTTGTACCTCAACACAGCAAATCATGACAAATGCTCAAAATGTTTTCCGCTTGCTTCTACACAGGCACGCACCTGTCGGATCATTGACTGGTGAACCTTTTCAAATACTTCCACACGGTGTCGAATGAAGTCCAGTCCCCCGTGACACATTGATGAAGCGTCTCTGCATTATTAATGTCTGCTGTATAAACCAATTGTTTAGAGATAAAAATGCAAAGTATTGAGGTCGGGGGAGCGTACAGGCCATAGAACCGGTTCTCCCCAACTCATCCATTTTTCATGGACTTTATATAGACTTTTATACTTGTTTTGGTGTGGAAAAATATTTTTGATACGTCCTGTATATATATATATATATATATATATATATATATATATATATATATATATATATATATATATATATATATATAAGCAATATATGGATATAGATCCGACAGTATGAAGAAAAATATACTGAAAAAACAAGCAAAAATCCTGATGAATATGTCCTGAAGATGGTCTATTAACCGAAACGTCCGACGTTGACATTAAACATTTAAACAGCATAATCGCGTATTAGGATTTTTGTTTGTTTTTTCAGTATATTTTTCTTCATATATATATATATATATATATATATATATATAGCTTAACATTGTCGATTTAGAATTTTTTATCGAGTATTTTTTGTTGTCTATACTTTTTCATACTTCCTTTTACAATCTTATGCGTATATATATATATATATATATATATAATATGGTCATTGTCGTGTTGGCATTGGTGGTTAGGGTGGCTGTGGTCATGGTGATGCTAGTATTGGTTGTTAGGGTGTCGGTGGTGGTGGTCATGGTGGTGTTGTATTGATGTTTAGGGTAGCGGTGGTGGTGGTAGTGGAGTTAGTTGAATGGGTGGGGTGACGGAATAAGAAAAGTTTTTTTTCTCCGAAAGCGAGGATTTTTAAACTGTAAAGAAGAGCATCGATGCGAGGGACAGATTTTGTCTTGTCATGGATGTCTTGTTGCAGTTGTGGGGAACAATGGTAGATTTAACTTTCAGAGACTTTGTTAGAGGAGGCAATTAAATCTACTGGCCGCTCTTTTTCATCTTTTGTATCCAACTGTTTCTCTTTAGTCGACGTATTCTCTCTTTCTTCTTCTTCCTGGTGTTGGCATCATGTTTTCATTGTCCCAGGGAATGATTTTTGGCTTTCTCTCTAGTTGTCGAAACTAGGGTGCAGTAGGGACAGAGAAACTATTGTCTTTTTATTGCCTTTTCCGTTTATCTGCCAATCCTCTTCAGATGGGGTCGTAAGTCTGACCTTTTCTCCTGGTTCTCGGCTCTGTCTTTTTTCTTTCTTTTTTTTTTCTTTTTTGGCTGTCTCATTGGCGGGGAGTAAGGATCCAGTCTTTTCGGGATTTGGGGTTTGTTTTTTGCAAAACCAGCTGCGGAAAGATATCCAGTCTCTTCGCAGTGCCAGCATTCTGGTTTTCTTCCTAATACGATGACCGTTGATATCTATCCTGTTGTGTGTAGCGTTTAACGCTTTATGGCCTACCATAATGTGGAAACGCTATTCCTCCATTTTCCTTTCGTGCTTAACTTCAATAATTTCTCCATGTTAGTGAAAGAAAGCTTTGAGTAGTTAGCTCCGAGATAAAAATGGACATACGTTCAAACTCCGTCAATTCCGGGCCGCGGTCAAATTTCATATGACCGCCACTCCCATCCTCTGTCATGGAATGTATCATTTACAGCCCGCCAGTATATAAAATACACACCTAAGAAATGTAATTTTCTGTTTTACCAAAAGATTGCAGCACTGTGCGGCCTCCCTCTGGCGTTGTGACCCCGACCTTGGCCTTTTCCAGCCAATTTCTAAAATCACTGCCTTTGAAACAGACCTGACCTATATACTGCATTGCAGACCTCAGTATCACACTTCAAATTAGTACATCAAGTTATTTGTTTTGGTCATCTGAATAAATTCTAAAATCTTATTGAATTAAATTTGTTTTGTGTTGGTCAAAATCAGTTATAAATATATTTGGACACTTGAACTTGCGTCATTTTATGTTTTTGACTTCTTAATAAGATGAATGTTGGTGTTATGTTCCTATTCATATGTTTTTAACTTAGAAGGTGACAGACAACATTAATTACCAATAATATGTCATGTTTAAGATTAACCCGAAATATAGCTTTCTGGAAATTCTTTTATTTCATTTACACATGAATATAGAACCTCAAACTTTTTACACATTTATTTTAATGAACTCATTTAGAAACTGTTAAATTTGTTATCGAAGAACTCTTGTGACCGACCCAACAAAATGGCGACACATTCAAACGTGTCAGACGATAGAATTTGCCGGACGACAGAGTGACACATTAAAGAGTTATAGGCTATAATTACGCAATATTTTAACGTGTATATTAACTATTCTTATGCAACGTTTGTAAAAATCAAAAAGAAACAAATAATTACCTCTCCACTAGCATTCTGCAAGAGATTTTGCGACCAGCCAATGATTTTCATTTTTTTCTTGAGTAGCGTTCGTGCAATTGGCGCCACAGACTCTGTTAATTTGACTGTTTCTTCCTTGAGCGCGTTTCTTTCTTCTTTTGACCGACTTGACTTGTTACACGGGAAATCTTCATCAAGTAAAGCGAAAGCGCAGAGAGCTGTATCCTTAGAACAAATGTTTAATTGGTTTTCAGACACCGTCACCGGAACGTCGGCTGTATGTGCGTGGTAACCAGCAGATATTTCAGTTTGAAGGCTAAATTCTTTGTGGATCTTTCGAAAAATAAAAGAAAATGCAAAAAGATTTAAGGTCAGCCAGGAAAAAAATAGAATCATTTTTTCAAGACCTTCTCATTTCAAATTAAGCTTCAAATAGATTTCTATAGGAAAAATTATTGACAACAGAAAACAAATCTATAGTAAAAAAAATAAGCAGCCATTTCTATGGCGGTGCAATTATATAGTAAAATCATAATATTGTTTAAGCAATTTCTATAGTAAAATGCCTGTCAAGGCAAATACTAGAGTAAAATTCATTGATCATGCGTCATGGTTAGCGGAACTCAATGCCGAGTATTGGGATGGTCGCCAACATTTATTTCTGTGTGAAATGAGTCCTATGTTGTATCTGAAGAGATATCCGTAGCCACCGCATAGTAGGGTATGAGGGCTCAGGGGACGGAGAGCTCTGGGGACGGAGGGCTCAGAGGACGGAGGGCTCTGGGGACGGAGGGCTCTGGAGACGGAGGGCTCAGAGGACGGAGGGCTCAGGGGACGGAGGGCTCAGGGGACGGAGGGCTCTGGGGACAGAGGGCTCAGAGGACGGGGGTCTCTGGGGACGGAGGGCTCAAGGACGGAGGCCTCTGGGGACGGAGGGCTCAAGGGACGGAGGGGGCTCTGGGGACGGGGGGCTCAGGGACGGAGGGCTCTCGGGGGGACAGGGGGCTCAGGGGATGGAGGGCTCAGGGGACGGGGCTCTGGGGACGGAGGGCTCAAGGGACAGGGGGCTCTGGGGACGGATGGCTCTGGGGGGGGGGGGCTCTGGGGACGGAGGGCTGAGTGGACAGGGGGCACAGGGGACGGAGGGCTCTGGATTTTATTTGGGCACTTTTGTATTTGACTTCTGGTATTTTCCAACGATGTTGTTTTTTCTTCTCCAATTAGTTCTTTCTGCGGCTTCCGTATCCCGATAGAACGGACCGATTTCTATCTTCAGCAAGGGCTATTTGAGCTGATCCTCTAATCGACGACATGTTGCGTCACGTGAACTCTTGCCAGATGTGAGCTCCGAGAAGAGGATTTCTTTGGGTAAGTATGTATCTGGCATTCTTCTAAGGCGTCTGGCCCATTGAGGTCTGTGGCGAGTCATAATGGTTTCTTGGCTCTCCATTTTTGTGCGGAGGAGAACTTCGTTGTCCGTGATCTGGTCCTGACACGTGTTTCGCAGGCTTTGACGAAGTTTCTTTTGATGGAATCTTTCAAGTTTACGGATATCTCTTCGGTAGTGTAGCCGGGTCTCACAGGCGTACAGGAGAGTCAAGATTACAACAGCTCTGTTATCCATGAACTTGGTGGTTTGTGCTAGCCAAAAATTGCCGAAAATTCTTTTGAATAGCTTCCAGTATATTGCGTGGCAACCTTAATGCAGTAATCGACGTCTTTTTCAGCGGATACATTTGATGTTATTTTTCCATCAAGGTAGGGAAAGTGTTCAACATTCTCCATATTCAGTCCGTTGACAGGGATTTTGACGTCAGGTGGTGGTTGATATCCCGGTCAGGATTGGAGCAGGACCATGGTCTTTGTCACGTTGATGGTGAGTCCCTAGCGTATGTACGCTCTGGAGAAGTTGTCCGATGAATTCTGGAGGTCTGGAGGGTGCAGTTGTCATCGGCGTATTGGAGCTCTGTAACGTGTGTGTTTATTGTTCGAGTCCTGGACTGGAGGTGAGCTATAATGAGGGGTCCGCCATCGGTGCGGTATCGAAGGTCGATTTCAGAACTATAGTAATTTTATTTGTAATGACATTAATATAGTAAAGACTAGCAGTAGAGCCAGGCGTTGCCCAGGGATGTAACAGTAAGAGATAGATCAAGTATCGACCATCATAAAGACTGAAAAATAAAATTGACAAAGATTTATGTTTAAGGTTGACGGACATGCATGTCTTAATTAGTTTTTTTTTTGTTTTTTGGGGGGTTTTTTTACGAATTGGTCAAACCCAAACTCAAACAAAACATTGTTTTCAATCGTTATGAGTCTACCGATTGAATCGAATTTTATTATAAAAAATTGTCTTGTAAATGGAATTTTTAAAGCATTCTGAATGTAAGAATAAAGAAAAAAGTGTGCAAGACAATAAGAAAGACTACCTGCCAAAAAAAATTGAAGTTTTATTTGAAATCAGTTGAAAAATGTAGGAAAATCCATATCCCATATATAAACGAACACACACACACACACACACACACACACACACACACACACAAACAAACAACCTGGGTTTTATAATAAGTATAACGCGATATGATTTGTCCCCCTTTCGTTTTGGCGACAGAATCGTGTTTTATCGTGGTTTCAAATTGTGTTTTTCCAATTTTTGGCACTGTCAGAACCACCGCAAGGTAATTTTACGTAGTCCTGTGAAGTTTTGTTGAAATCGGTTGAAAAATGTAGGAAATCCGGTCTAAGATATAAACGTACAGACACACACACACACACACACACAATCTGCGTTTTATAATAAGTTAGATATTACTTAAACAATTTCTATATTAAAATTATGAGTAATTCATTTTCTATATTAAAAATTATTAATTATACAACCTTGATATTAAAATCATTGGCAATGTAATTTCTATAATAGAATTATTAGCATTGCAATTGTATAATAAATCTCTTCGTAATGCATTTCTAAGACAAACAATATTTAAAGTGTACTTAACTCAAAACCAATCTTTTATTTTAAAAGAAAATGAAATAGTTACCTGGGGAGAAACATATACATCATTTATGGTGATGCGGCCACAATTTTGGGCCAAACAATGCAAGCGAACTTTGAAATTTCCATTTGGAATTTTATCAATCTGTCAAGAAAAAGAAAAAATAGCGAATTTTAGCCGACCATCTTCAGGTTCCCATTGGAGATTTCATTTGGAAATGTTTCTTAATTAATCTTTATCTCTTCCTATATTCAAACTAAAAATATTTTTCCTTCTCAATTGTTGTTTATCTATTTATTATAATATTCACAGATATACCTTAAAATCTATCATGATCATGACGTTTGGGTTATAGGGGTAGTGTATATACTGTAGCCGTAGCTGCAATGAGCGTGTCTAAGGCAAGATAGCCTGATAGAACTCTAGGGGCTGGTTTTTGAATACAGAGCTGTTCTTCTCCTAGGCTAATTTACCTACCAAGGCTAAAGACCCCAGTCTACGTTGACATCTAACCCATACCTGAAGGAAGATGGATTCATGCCTTTTTACAGATAGATAGATAATGTGTACACAGGAATCAACACTGCATAGTGACTGTCGGTTTCATAACTTATGTGGTCTTCAAATATGCATCATGTGGCTAAACTGTTCATACTATTGATGCTCTCTTTCAATATTAGGCACTCTTTCCACATGAATATAGCAAAATTGAAACGATATGTGTGTGTGTGTGTGTGTGTGTGTGTGAATGACAAAATGGAAAAATTGTCATTCAGTTACCCACCATTTGTATTATATATAGAGTTTATATAACATATCTCTTTTCTTTGCTTTTGTTGTTCACTGAAGACATTTAGGTTTCAGATCAAAAGATGAATGTGAGAGAAGAGTTCAGAATTTCAGCCTTTATTTCCTGGTATTTACATTTAGATGTGTTAAACAACTTAGGACATACCACCTTTTGTTTGAACACACCCATTCTTCAAATGAGCAAATCTATTGTAACAAGGGACTGACAGGTGTTTCTTGTTGCTCAAGCGTTGCCCTTTTAACGCTCAGTAACTCCTTGCGTCTTAGTGGCTTTATTGCCTTGCTTAGGGTGAAATGTTGAAAAAACGATTGCTTGATATCAATTTCACTGTTTAAGAAAATAAATAAGAAGGATATTAATCCAAACAGGTGTATTCAATAAAAATAACATTTCTAGAACTACTCCTACTACTACCAGTTATATATAAATATTTGTGTGTGTGTTACATGTTACATATATATATACATATATGTTATATATATACATTGCATATATATATATATTAAAGACATTTTTATGATTAAAGTTCTTTTTTTATAGATACAAGTATTTAAGTAAATGCTCTGTTTATAATAAACAGTATTAAATAACATTTACCGGCCTGAATGTCCGAGAAATTTTCATAAAAAATATTCGTCCTTTGACAGGATTCAGAACCTGCATCCTATAGGAACCGTCATTTACGCTGACGTGCCTTAACAAAACTCGGTACAAAAGAAGCGTTCAGTAGGTATTTGTTTATATATGTTACACACATATATATATGTTATATATACATTACATATATATATATATATATATATATATATATATATACATATATATATATATATATATGTCATATATATACATATATATATATATATATATATATATATATATATATATATATATATATATATATATATATATATATATATATATGTATGTATACATATGTTAATAAATACATATACCTACGTTTGATGTGAGACTCGAGTTTCGTTGGTTATCCAATTCATTTGGCACAAGATATCGCGATATCTCGTGTCCGATGAACTGGGTATTCAATGAAACTCGATTCTCACATCAAACGTAGGTATATGCTTATTTATTAACATAGATTTCTTAGCTCTGTCTAATCACATTGAGGACTATTATGTCTACACCTCTTAGCTAAATTTGGTAATTATTAATTTGCTTACCAGCATATGCACACCAGTACACGCGTATACGGTCGCTAATATCTAACTATCTCATTTTTATACCCATATATATATATATATATATATATATATATATATATATATATATATATATATATATATATTCCAATCGTATAAGTGATTTCTTTTCTGGACATAGTGGGTGTAAAAACTGTCCAAATGATCTGTATATCCGGATACTTTTAGCCATTATCAAATATATTTTCTGCTTATTTGAACATGTAGATCTTTTTATATTTTTATAGGGATGGCAATGTTTTCCTATCCCATTTCTGAAAACAGTCATTTTATTACGGCCATATTCGAAATGAAAAAAAATCCCATCCATCCATATATATATATATATATATATATATATACACAATCCAATCCATCTATATATATATATATATATATATATATATATATATATATATATATATATATATATATATATATATATATATATATATATATATATATATATAAACAAATAGGTTCCCCCACCCCACCGGTCGGGCTTTCGGTAGTAGTATGTACCGGCCCTACGTGTTGGTAAAAATTTACTTAAATAATAATTAATTGGCAATAATTTACTTAATTAATAATTAATAATTAATTGGTAATAATTTATTTAATTTATAATTAATTGGTAATAATTTACTTAATTAATAATTAATAATTAATTGGTAATAATTTATTTAATTAATAATTAATTAGTAATAATTTACTTAATTAATAATTAATTGGTAATAATTATTTGGAATAATTTACTTAATTAATAATTAATTGGTAATAATTTACTTAATTAATAATTAATAATTAATTGCTAATAATTTACTTAATTTATAATCAATAATTAATTGGTAATAATTTACTTAATTAATAATTACTAATTAATTGTTAATAATTTATTTAATTCATAATTAATAATTAATTGGTAATAATTTATTTAACATAATAGATAAATTTAATTATTTTAATTTTGTCACGTTACCCTACAAATTTCTCAGGAAATCGTGGTCAGATTATCAAAAACAAAAATCGAAATTCTCTTCCAACCGACCGTATAAGTAACAGTTTGTTCATCAATTGCTTCAACTCTTGGGCTACGGGAAGTTGTGTACAGAAAACCATCCCTACTTCCGGTGATTTGTTGTTGAAAAGATGTGTTTATTTTGATTCCACCAAGACATTTCGATCGGGTACCTAAAAGAAAACAAAAAAAAAACTTTTAAAGAATAAAACATTCATTTTGGGGGAGAGGTATCAAGTTGTTGGGTTATCTCTTTTAGAGCAAAATTCTTTTTTTCATATTTAAGGCCAGAGCATTTCCCAATGTATTTGATAGCAACTACCATTCTTGGATGAGACATTTTAAACAGATTAACCCTAATCTTACGTTAAAGACGCTGCCTCATAAAACATATCAGAAAAAAACATTACTTATATTTCACTTTTATCTACAACTCGAGGTTTCATGGGGACGTAAAGTTGTCAATGTTACAGTCGCCCCAGGTGATGAAATACTCATTCCGAAAACATTTTTGAATGAGCATTATATATATATATATATATATATATATATAAAATGGACAAAGTCCGACAATTATTTTAAGGCATTTTGTATGTTTATACGTTCTTATAATAAACAGTATTAACAACATCTACCGGCGTGAAGGTCCGAGAAATTTTCATACAAAATATGCGTCCTCCGACAACAATCAAACCTGTATCCTATACGGAACCGTCGTATAGCCTGACGTGCTTTTTATCGATTGAGCCACAGAGGAGCGTTTCGGTTAGCAAGGTCGATTTTACCGTTTTTAAACTACAATTCTCCATGATTTTCTCTCGTACATTCATATATGCTCATGGCGTATCAAATGTAAACAAATGACGTCACACATTATGAAATGGACAAAGAACGTATAAACATAAAAATGTCTTTATATATATATATATATATATATATATATATATATATATAAGACATATATATATATAAAAAAATATATATATATATATATATATATATATATATATATATAATATTTATTAACAATTATAAGAAAAACATGTTATAAAGCGCTACACAATGTAGGTAAAACATGATTGCATTTATGCAACAGTTTATAACATCTTTTTGTTATAATTATAAATAAATATTATTAAGCTTTAGTCTATATTGAGCACTTTTTAAAAATATAATGTTTGGACATTGGAATTCACCTAACTTGAATATATACATATAGTCGACTCTCCCGTCGAGATTCGACGTATGAGGGCCAAGCAGATCAGTTTCCAGGAAACCGACAGCCCGACACCGGCACATGAGATTTGATTATAGTGGTGAAGGTTTTGTGCAGCACCATCCACACTTTTTGAAGGGACGAATACAGAGACCTGGTGCACCAAGTGCCACAAGGTTCCCAAACGACCCTCCGCAGGTTTTGAATTCAGAGTTGACCTTCTCCTAGACTGGTTGCCATCCAAGGTTATAGAACCCAGTCTGTCCTGCTATTTTACCCATAGGGAGAGAAAGAGGATTCATACCTTTCCCAAGGGTATTAGTGAATGTAATGGATTCGACTGGAATTCGAACTCGGCTCTGCGATTCCTCAATCCAAGCCGCTATCCATTACTCCACCGTGCTTCCTCTAATATATATATATGTGTGTGTGTGTTTGTGCGTGTGTGATTAATACAATTAAAAGGTTTGCCACTTGGCTGACTGATATTACATTCAGTATCTCGACTCCAGAGTTTCTTAGACGGACCCCCCCCCAAAAAAAAAACTACGTTCACTCGTCATGGAGTAATTATACTTTTCTCTTTTATGTGTGCACTTTTCATTTGTGCAAGGTTGATTTTGTTTGCATGGTGTATGTAGTTGGCAATCTAGTAGAACGCTTAAATTCACACAATCGTGGTACCAGGGAAAAATCTCATCAGAACAATTGCCATGAAAATATTTGTAGGAAAGAGAGAAAGAAGCCATATCACGTCGGTGAGAAAGTGACTGCAGTCGAGGTGCCTGGTCAGGATCGATTACATTACAGATTCTTCTTTGAATTTTGTTAAGAATCTCGAGAGGAATACCAGGAGCACCAAACCAGATATGGCAACAGTTTTCAATGAACGGTAGATTTATAAATGTGTAAAATGGATTCTGACAAGAAAAATTTGATGGCACGATACAGTGAACCTATTTTCCAAGAAGTAGACGTTGAAATTGATTCGATATAGTCACTTGACTTCAATGGAAAAAAAAAACGTCAGCTCAAGTAGGCGTAGAGTTCTGCTCTCCTGGCCTTTAGCATCAGCCATGCTAATGGCAGGCAGATTAGGTTCTCTGTGATAATTAAATGAAAGCAATTTTGTTTTGGAGGCGTTAAAAATTGCAAACCATTTCTTGACCCCAGTTATTCACTGATTGACGGTTCTTTTCGAGAGCAGTTGACAGGTTTACTTTGTCGGCTCTGACCGGCTTGCTACTAAATCAGGGGTAAATGGTTGTGTCATCGGCATAAATGCCTAGTTGTGAACTATGACATCGGGGAGGTCATTAATGAAAATCAGAAACAGTGTAGGTCCAAGGATAGAGCCCTGTGTGACCCATGAGTTTGTATGAAATGATCTGGAAGCGTACCCGCTCAACACAACCTTAATTACACAATTTGTTAGAGACGATTGGATTAAGTCAAATATACATCCTGTGATACCATAGCCCTTGAGTTTGCGAAGAAAGCCAACTTTTATGGTTATGCCCTCAGACAAGGACGTAAATGAGAGGAACAGATATTCTACTTGTATCCCAGTGTCAAGGTCAAGCGACTGGACTTTAAACTAAGGAGGGACACACTGACACTGATCTTAGGCTATGGAAACAAAATATCTGTGTTTTGTCTTTAACCCAAGAAATCGCTTTTTCTTGTGGTACAAAAATCTCCCCATAATATTTGCTGAGACCAAAGTAAATCTTTATATACTAAGTCTGGCACAAGGCCACAATAGTGGAGCACTCAATAAAGCTCAGACTCACTACACACAAGAATTGATTAAAAAAAATCGGATAAAAGCTGGATAATCATTGTGCTACTGCGGTCACGTAAATAAATAAATGAGATCCTGAAAAATTTTGGAAAGGGCGCTACATAATCTTCTCCCAAAGATCTATTTGTGTGATCGGCTGAGTTGATAACAGAATTAAATAGGAACCAAATGATAAAAGAGCGATGCAAGTAGTTCACTGTCCGTTGGAATCCGGGTAAACAGACATCGTTAACCTTGGTTGGCACCCTGTATAGGAGAAGGATCACTCTGATTTCAATATCGGAGTATATGGAACCCCTTTATCACCCAAAGGATGACGACAAGCCTTCAAGACGCCAAATATTTAATTCCTGTGACAAGGGCTGATGAACTGCATCTAGGTAACCAGCTTCCGAGTAATAGTTGGAAGAAGACCCTCAACTCCGCCGATGCCTCCCCCCGATGAGAATAATGAACATGCAGGATATTCGGGTGGTGTCATCGGTAGCAGCTTAGAACGAGAAATCGGAGAGCCAATTTTGAATTCCAGTCGAGTTCATTAAATTCCATTATATGCAATTACCGTTGGGAAAGGTATGAATCCATCCCTCCCCCAGTTATGGGTTAAATAGCACGACAGACTGGGTTCTCAAGCCATGTTTGGCAATCAGTCTAGGAGAAAGACAACTCTGGTTTCAAAACCATATTAAATGTCAATGGTTCCCCGCCCTCAGTAATGAAGATAGCAAGAAGCAAAGTGAAGAGAAGAAACTTACCAAAATTAAAATCATACGAAAAACTGGCAAAGCGTGAATGTTCACTGATATAAACAATGTCATCTTCAAGGGAATGAAAAGACGGTCCGCCACAATTTACAGAAGTTATAACTCCTTTAGGTTGACGAATGATTTGATGAGGAGATCCGGTGAGTTCAATTTCTGTGGAGAAAAAAAAAAGATAAAAAGAAATAGGAAACATTACAATCAGCGAACCACAAAAAAATAAAAAAAATGTTCGGACGGGAGTAAATCTGAAGTTGAAATGTCGCGTTGCTAAGTCAAATTTTAATGTAGGGTGGGTGGATAAATAAGATGTTAAAAAGGGGGTTCAAAATCAGATGTTAAAACGGGGGTGTTAAATCAAATATTAAAATTGGGTGTGCTAAATCAGATGTTAAAATGGAGGTTGATAATTCAGATGTTAAAATTGTGGGTGATAGATTAGATGTTAAAATAGGAAGAACTAATTCAGATGTTAAAATTGGGCGGTAATAAATATTAAAATTGGTGGTGCTAAATCAGATATTAAAATTGGGGGTAATAAATCATATATTAAAATTGGGGGTGATAAATCAGATATTAAAATTGGAGGGTGCTAAATCATATGTTAAACTTGGGGGTAATAAATCAGATATTAAAATTGAGGGTGCTAAATCAGTTGTTAAAATGTGAGGGGTGCTAATTCAGATGTTAAAATGATGGAGTGTTAAATCAAATGTTATAATGGGAGTAACCCTCTTAAGACGATCTTGAGGGTGGGGATATGTCAGCTTAAATGATCTTAAACCCCTCTCAACAATTGCTCTTAATGAGAGTGCTAATAACGTCGTGTTGGAGTGAATCACCAAATAATGGGCGAACTATGGAAGAGGAATATCCTCCTAGTTTGTATTTCCCCCATTATTAGCATTATTATATCCATATCACAGACGAAATGGAATAGTTGAAAGAAAAGTAATGATAAAGATGCTTTGTTCTCAGAGAGTGTCTTGTACCGCTCTCATACACAAAAAGGTATATACATATTTGACCCACACAGAGAAATTATAACATGTATGTAACAACAAATATAGTGAAAATGTAAAAAAAGTCTTACTTATAAACATTCCAACCGGGAATTGGGTCTGCCGGAGACTCTTCTGTGTTTCTGGAGAAACGTGTTTCCAGATTCGAGTGGGTCGGATTCATCTGCTATGCCACTAGCTAGGACACAGAGAGGCAGAATTAATCTCAACATAGGCTGAGGGGCTCGGGCTAAAAAAAAAAAGCAGCTGCTTGGTTTGACTCCTGGAAACTAACAGAAGGACTGTCGTCACTCTATGAAGTGATGTCACTAAGCGGTTGTCCCGTGACCCACGTTACTATCTACAAAAGTGAGATCATCGCTTCTTGTATCCGTACATTCTAAATAATGTCAAATGACTGGATCCCTCAAAAAGAAAAAAATCAAACTAGACATTAAACCGAAGGCGTTTTTTGCATATAGTCTAAGTATTTTGCCTCAAGCAACGTAAAAGCTGGTCCGACAGCATCAAAGAGTGGACGGAACCCCTGAGCCCCTGAGTCCTGTCTGTTTCTTCTGCTCTTAGGTCCACCCCACCCATCGACGACTGAAACAGTCAAGAGAGGGATGATGACGATGATGATGACTGGTAGGACAGTTGATCCAGTGTGACGCTAAACAATCTTTTTCACTAGAATCTCTCTTGCATATTTATAAATCTGCCATTCTTCAATGCATTGAATGGTACTACATCTGGCTTGGTGCTTCCGTTATCTATTTAGAGATTCTTCGCAAAATGCAAAAAAAATAAATAAATAAATAAAAAAATAAAAAAAGATGAGGACAATAGTCCGAATAATGTAAATAGTGTACCGTTAAGTAATAATAAATATTTAAATACATACGTGTTGAGCCATCATCCGACAGGTCAGCAAAAACTTGAACCAATGCTATACCAATTCCAATTTCATCATCCAGCCATGATCTTTTGTAAATCCACTTAGAATCAGAAGCAATCAATTCTTCCGAAGGAATCCGACAAAGAAACAAACAATTAACAAATAAATTAATTGCACATTTGTCGCTTACAGTTACAAGAATTTCTTCAGGTGTTATTTTAGTGTTTCCTTTGAAATTTGCTGGGGCGCCCGGCACTAAACAAGAAGCTGTAATGAAGTGCCTGTCTGAATTGTTTAAAAGATTCTCGCTGATATTAGTAATTGTAGCAAATCTGCAGGGCCCAGAGGGTCCAAATACACGTAGATTGCAGTTTTCGGGGTCAACTTTAAAGGTCCATTGTTCCCTGTGAATGCACCCTTCTCCGTAACTCTCAGCTAACAGGTGCACGTGAGCGGTTTTGTCTGCGAGAACAATAAAATATAACGAAGCTGAGGTCGCATCTTCAGGCCCACACGAGTGTGAACAAAACACAATCAAAGCGGCATGTTTACCAATTGGACAAACGTTAAGAATAGTGGTCCCTGCAGAACCATCACAATTGTCACTGAAGTAAGACAGCGCTTGTCCACTCACATCTGTTGCAGGTCGATGGTTCTTACGATTATGATATACAGTATAGATGGAGTCAATGCAGCCTTTGACAAAAAGGTAGCCATTGCTGTCAACCGAAAACTCCCAAAGGTCATGACCTTTAATAAAAGTCTGCTCAAAGACGTTGCTCTTGTGCCCACTGCGAATCAGATAGACTGCTCCAACTGGTTTGGAATCGTTCATAGCACTGCAGAGAATTAAAGTGGCACCACCACCATGGATTCCATCACGATTACCATTCACATTAATGTGGAGCAAGTTCGGTTCCTTGGAATTCTCAAAACCTTTGATGATATAACCATGACCAAGATGTCCAAATTCAATTTTATTGCTAAGGAACATGATATGGTTGTTACCAAAAAGGCAGTCTGCGATCAGTTTGCCGTCTTCATCTGTTATAAAAAAGGTGGACGGACCGAAATGGCCTGAAATAAAAGGAGTTACAAAAAATTAAGATGGCGACATAAGATGGAGAACTGAGAGGAAAGTACATTAATATTGTACTTTTAAGTACAATATTAATGTTGCAGTATTATTGAAACAAAATTACTAACGGTTTTGATGTATTTTTATTTGTTTCTTCTTTCCTTGCAACGATAAAATTTAATTAAATTTCAATTTCAACTGATTTATCGCAAATCAGCCATGACCCCATACCTCAGCTCTTCTCTCACCTTTTGCCTGTATCTTCCCATTCCCTCCCTTATCCCTTCCAATACAACTAAAATGATTCATTATCTCATACCTCTGCTCTTCTCTCGCCATTTGCCTGTATCTTCTCATTCTCTCCCTTATCCCTTCCAATACAACTAAAATGATTCATTATTCATTATCTCCATCCCTTCCTCTAAAATGATCCATTATCTCCTGCCTATGCCCTTCTCTCACCCTTCTCTCACCATTTACCTGTATCTCATGCTTCTTCTTTTCTTTTGCCTTTTCATTCTCTCCTCCCTCATCCCTTCCAATACAACTAAGATGATCCATTATCTCATGCCTCTGGTCTTCTCCTTTTCCTGTATCTTCTCATCCTCTCCCTCATCCTTCCAATACAACTAAGATGATCCATTATCTCATGCTTTTTCTTCTTTTTCATCCTCCCTTTTCCTGTATCTTCTCATCCTCTCCCTCATCCTTCAATACAACTAAGATGATCCATTATCTCATGCCTCTGGTCTTCTCTTCTTTTCCTGTATCTTCTCATCCTCTCCCTCATCCCTTCCAATACAACTAAGATGATCCATTATCTCATGCCTCTGGTTTTCTCTCCTTTTCCTGTATCTTCTCATCCTCCCTCATCCCTTCCAATACAACTAAGATGATCCATTATCTCATGCCTCTGGTCTTCTCTCACCCTTTTCCTGTATCTTCTCATCCTCTCCCTCATCCCTTCCAATACAACTAAGATGATCCATTATCTCATGCTTCTTCTTTTCTTTCGCCCTTTTCCTGTATCTTCTCATCCTCTCCCTCATCCCTTCCAATACAACTAAGATGATCCATTATCTCATGCTTCTTTCTTCCTTTTCCTGTATCTTCTCATCCTCTCCTCATCCCTTTTACAACTAAGATGATCCATTTCTCATCCTCTCTTCATTTTCCCCTTTTCCTGTATCATCCTCTCCTCATCCTTCAATACAACTAAGATGATCCATTATCTCTTCTCTTCTTTTCTCTCACCCTTTCCTGTATCTTCTCATCCTCTCCCTCATCCCTTCCAATACAACTAAGATGATCCATTATCTCATGCTTCTTCTTTCTTTCGCCCTTTTCCTGTATCTTCTCATCCTCTCCCTCATCCCTTCCATACAACTAAGATGATCCATTATCTCATGCTTCTTCTTTTCTTTCGCCCTTTTCTCTGTCTTCTCTATCTTTTCATCCTCTCCCTCATCCTTCCAATACAACTAAGATGATCCATTATCTCATGCCTCTGGTCTTCTCTCACCCTTTTCCTGTATCTTCTCATCCTCTCCCTCATCCCTTCCAATACAACTAAGATGATCCATTATCTCATGCTTCTTCTTTTCTTTCGCCCTTTTCCTGTATCTTCTCATCCTCTCCCTCATCCCTTCCAATACAACTAAGATGATCCATTATCTCATGCTTCTTCTTTTCTTTCGCCCTTTTCCTGTATCTTATCATCCTCTCCTCATCCCTTCAATACAACTAAGATGATCCATTATCTCATGCCTCTGGTCTTTCTCCCCTTTTTCTTCTTCTCATCCTCTCCCTCATCCTTCCAATACAACTAAGATGATCCATTATCTCATGCCTTTCCTCCTTTTCATCTTCTCATCCTCTCCCTCATCCCTTCCAATACAACTAAGATGATCCATTATCTCATGCCTCTGCTTTTCTCTCACCCTTTTCCTGTATCTTCTCATCCTCTCCCTCATCCCTTCCAATACAACTAAGATGATCCATTATCTCATGCCTCTGGTCTTCTCTCACCCTTTTCCTGTATCTTCTCATTCTCTCCCTCATCCCTTCCAATACAACTAAGATGATCCATTATCTCATGCTTCTGGTCTTCTCACCCTTTTCCTGTATCTTCTCATCCTCTCCCTCATCCTTCCAATACAACTAAGATGATCCATTATCTCATGCCTCTGCTTTTTTCTCTCACCCTTTCCTGTATCTTCTCATCCTCTCCCTCATCCCTTCCAATACAACTAAGATGATCCATTATCTCATGCCTCTGGTCTTCTTCTCACCCTTTTTTCCTGTATCTTCTCATTCTCTCCCTCATCCTTCCAATACAACTAAGATGATCCATTATCTCATGCCTCTGGTCTTCTCTCACCCCTTTTCCCTGTATCTTCTCATCCTCCCTCATCCCTTCCAATACAACTAAGATGATCCATTATCTCATGCCTCTGGTCTTCTCTCACCCCCTGTATCTTCTCATTCTCTCCTCATCCCTTCAATGCTAAGATGATCCATTATCTCATGCTTTTCTTCTCACCCTTTTCCTGTATCTTCTCATCCTCTCCCTCATCCCTTCCAATACAACTAAGATGATCCATTATCTCATGCTTCTTCTTTCTCTTTCCCTTTTTCCTGTATCTTCTCATCCTCTCCCTCATCCCTTCCAATACAACTAAGATGATCCATTATCTCATGCTTCTTCTTTTCTTTCTCCCTTTTCCTGTATCTTCTCATCCTCTCCCTCATCCCTTCCAATACAACTAAGATGATCCATTATCTCATGCTTCTCTTTTCTCTCTCACCCTTTTCCTGTATCTTCTCATTCTCTCCCTCATCCCTTCCAATACAACTAAGATGATCCATTATCTCATGCTTCTTCTTTTCTTTCGCCCTTTTCCTGTATCTTCTCATCCTCTCCCTCATCCCTTCCAATACAACTAAGATGATCCATTATCTCATGCTTCTTCTTTTCATTTTCTCCCTCATCCTTTTCCTGTGATCTTCTCATCCTCTCCTCCTCTCCTCATCCTTCCAATACAACTAAGATGATCCATTATCTCATGCTTCTTCTTTTCTTTCGCCCTTTTCCTGTATCTTCTCATCCTCTCCCTCATCCCTTCCAATACAACTAAGATGATCCATTATCTCATGCTTCTTCTTTTCTTTCGCCCTTTTTCTGTATCTTCTCATCCTCTCCCTCATCCCTTCCATTCTCTCCCTCACAACTAAGATGATCCATTATCTCATGCTTCTTCTTTTCTCTCACCCTTTTCCTGTATCTTCTCATCCTCTCCCTCATCCCTTCCAATACAACTAAGATGATCCATTATCTCATGCCTCTTCTTCTCTCACCCCTTTTCCTGTATCTTCTCATTCTCTCCCTCATCCTTCCAATACAACTAAGATGATCCATTATCTCATGCCTCTGTCTTTTCTCTCCCCCTTTTCCTTTCTTCTCATTCTCTCCCTCATTTTACAACTAAGATGATCCATTATCTCATGCTTCTGCTCTTTCTCATCCTGTATCTTCTCATTCCTCCATCCTTCCAATACAACTAAGATGATCCATTATCTCATGCTTCTTCTTTTCTTTCGCCCTTTTCCTGTATCTTCTCATCCTCTCCTCATCCCTTCCAATACAACTAAGATGATCCATTATCTCATGCCTCTTTTTCTCTCACCCTTTTCCTGTATCTTCTCATCCTCTCCCTCATCCCTTCCAATACAACTAAGATGATCCATTATCTCATGCCTCTCTTTCTTCTCTCACCCTTTTCCTGTATCTTCTCATCCTCTCCTCATCCCTTCCAATACAACTAAGATGATCCATTATCTCATGCTGTTCTCTCATTTTCTTTCACAACCTTTTCTGCCTCTGTCTTCTCATCCTCTCCCTCATCCCTTCCAATACAACTAAGATGATCCATTATCTCATGCTTCTTCTTTTCTTCTCTCACCCCTTTTGTATCTTCTCATCCTCTCCCTCATCCTTTACAACTAAGATGATCCATTATCTCATGCCTCTCTTTTCTCTCTCCCTTTTCCTGTATCTTCTCATTCTCTCCCTCATCCTTCAATACAACTAAGATGATCCATTATCTCATGCCTTCTTCTTCTCTTTCCCCCTTTTCCTGTATCTTCTCATCCTCTCCCTCATCCTTCCAATACAACTAAGATGATCCATTATCTCATGCCTCTTCTTTTTCTTCTGTATCTTCTCATTCTCTCCCTCTTTTCCTGTATCTTCTCATCCTCTCCTCATCCCTTCCAATACAACTAAGATGATCCATTATCTCATGCCTCTTCTTTTCTCTCACCCTTTTCCTGTATCTTCTCATCCTCTCCCTCATCCCTTCCAATACAACTAAGATGATCCATTATCTCATGCCTCTTCTTTTCTTTCCCCTTTTCCTGTATCTTCTCATCCTCTCCCTCATCCCTTCCAATACAACTAAGATGATCCATTATCTCATGCCTCTGCTCTTCTCTCACCTTTTTTCTCTTCTCATTCTCTCCCTTTTCAATACAACTAAGATGATCCATTATCTCATGCCTCTTCTTTTCTTTCGCCCTTTTTTCTGTATCTTCTCATCCTCTCCTCATCCCTTCCAATACAACTAAGATGATCCATTATCTCATGCTTCTTCTTTTCTTTCGCCCTTTTCCTGTATCTTCTCATCCTCTCCCTCATCCCTTCCAATACAACTAAGATGATCCATTATGTCATGCCTCTGCTTTTCTCTCACCCTTTT